TCAATTTTGATTGGTTCTTGAGAGATGGTTGCTAAGGTAACCAGAGTGGTGGGTACCATGTTCAACCCGAAATTACGTTTTTCCAAATAGTTTTCCTGCTTGAATAAACTCTTTGCAAAGTGGCAATTAGCAGGTGTAAGTGTCTTTGGGTGGCTATTTTTCTTCAAATTCTTCATTTTTTGCCAGCTGTCAACACACTGGCAATGCTTTAATTTTAATATAATTATTTTAATATTTTACTAACTGTATAATATGTAGTTTGCATTACTGTTGATAAATAAATAAATGATTGCACTGTTCAGTAAAGAAATATACCAATTGTATTATTTAAACTGACTATACACTATAGAAATGATTTTCATTGAAAAATCAAATCAGTACCAAAATTATGGTTACCCTGTAGTAGTGAAAGGCACATTAAAAATGAATATCACCCCCTTCAATCTATTTTTACAGGTTTTTATGATTATTTCAGATTTTTCTATAGTTTGCGTAACCAGGACGGTGAATTTTCTTCATTTTCCATCAAACATTTTGTCTTGCCAATATTTATTAGGAGGCCCCATCGGGGGGCCTCCTATCAATTTTGTAGATATTATTATTCTTTATTATTCTTTATTCTTTATTATTTATTCTTCCTCCCTCTTTTTCTCCTACTTCCAACTACCTTTCAACTAGGTACTACATAGTCCTACTAGGGACCTGGGCTGAACTTGGCGGGAAAGGAATTTTTATCTAGGTCAAGGTCAAAGGTCAAAATCTAGGTCAAATCTAAGTTTTTTTCAAGTTTCTCAAATCCTGACACTACACTTAAATATTTTTGGCTGAATTTTTGCACACAGATAGATATTAGTATTCTTTTAGTCTTAGCCTTTTGCCGTCTAGAGAAATTTTGCCTAGATTTTGAGATATTGAAGGTCAAAAAAAGGTCAAAAAAGGTCTTTTTTCAACTTGCTTCAAATTGACCAAATTTTTTTTTAAAACTCATCTACAAGTTCTCAGGATTCCAAATCTGACCTTACTTTTGACCTTTGACCTTTGGTTGACCTCCAGTGACCCCAGAAAGGTCAAAAAAGTTGATTTTTCAAATCGATTTTCTGGATTCAAATTTAGGTATATTTATTCACAAAAGATCTTCTGAGGTCTAAAAAAGTAAAATTTGCAAGGTCAAAGGTCAAGGTCATCAAACGAAATCACAAAATGTGTTTTCTAAGTTTCTCAAAATTGGAGACTACAAATCAATTTTTTTTACTGAAAGTCAGAATATATATTCCTCTAAAGGTTCTACACATATTAGCAATTGACTATTTATTAAAATTTTGCTCCAGTTTTGAGATATTAGAACTCAAAAACTGAAAAAATGTCAAATTTCAAAATTTTTCAAAGTCAAATTTCAACTTGCTCTAAATTGACCAAACTTTTTTTTAAAAAGCATCTACAAGATCTCAGGAACTCAAATCTGACCTTAGTTTTGAACTATGACCTTTAGTTGACCTTCAGTGACCTTCAAATGTCAAAAAAGTTAATTTTTCAAATTGATTTTCTGGATTCAAATTTAGGTTTCTTCAATCAGAAAAGATATACTGAGGTCTAAAAAAGTAAAACCTGTAAGGTCAAAGGTCAAGGTCATCAAACAAGATCACAAACTGTGTTTTCTAAGTTTCTCAAAGTTTGTGACTACAAATCAATATTTTTGAATTAAAGTCAGGATATATATTCCTCTAAAGGTTTTACACATAATAACAATTGATTATCTATTAAAATTCTGCACCAGTTTTGGGATATTGGACCTCAAAAACTGAAAAAGGTCTAATGTTGAAATTTTTCAAGGTCAAATTTCACATTGCTTCAAATTGACCAAACTTTTTTTTAAAAATCATCTACAAGATGCCTGGAGTTCATATATGTCCTTGTATTTAAGATTTGACCTTTGGCTGACCTTTAAATGTTCAAAAAAAGCCTACGGGGCCTCCGTAAGATTGCTTGCAATCTTCTAGTTATATCTGTCAATTTGATCAAAATCGCGCCGCTACGTTTGAAAATAGTTCAAATTATGTAGTTTTTCCCATTGAGCTCCATTATAAAAATGGAATTTTCAAACTTAATATTTTAAAATTCTACGCGGTGAAAAGTTGCATATTGAGTAGTTAGTTAATGTTATGGTGTTAAAAATTCAAAACAAAAAGGAATAAAGAAAAAATGCCACAGAGAAGTCTCAATAGAGTCTCTTTAATAACTAATTATTTACGGTTTGGCAAATGTAAGCAAAGGAGGTTACTTCGCTAAGGCTTTAGAACCACACTATGCCCAGGTATAGATTTGTTATCTCTGGAAAGTAAAATCAATTCCCTAGAGACTGGGCGCTGTTGTATCACCCTCAGAAATAGCTGTGGAACATTATCTCCATTTCTGCAGGGTAAGGTCACCATTTTTACTGATATGATCAGTTATATTTCGTGGTAATGTCAACAAGTTCATTACCACGGATTAGATCATAAACGGAAGGTGAAAATGTTTCTATTATCTAATATTTGCTCTTGGGGACTTATCAGCCCCGGCGACTTAGCAAGAATTTTTTGTTTGAAATAAAGCAAGACGGAGACGGAAATGTGTTTTCATCAGTATGTAGACAGTTGGTTTATTTCACCGGAGATGGAGCACCTTTTAAGTTGGAAAATAAATTGTGCGAAATAATTGATATTTCTTTTTTTTGCTTAATGTCATGATGCTCCGGGGTCTTCCCAAGATTAAACAATACCACCCCGTGCCTAATGTTGCCAAACTTGGAGAGAAGTGTAACTTTATTATTTTTTATCTACTGGTCATATAAATTGAATATATTTTTCTGGTTATTGCAATGAATTTTTCCACAAATATATTTTGGGGGAAATCAAGACCGGGGGTTCGTCCGAACCCATCGAACCCCCGGTCCCTACGGCTATGAATTAAATCATTATATCAGGATGTATCTGGAGCCATTCGTGTCAATGGATATTTAACACCCTGGTTTACCATCAGCAAGGTTTCGAAGGAAGGCTGTCTATTATCTCTGACAATATTTGCGATCTATGTGAATGCCCTAGCTGCAGAAGTAAAACAACTGAACTGTGGGATCAATACAGACAACACTAATGTCTCAATACTTTTATATGCTGACGACATAGCCCTCATAGCCAGCTCTGCAGAAGACCTTCAGAGAGTGATTGACACTGTAAATACACGGTGCAGGAAGTGGAGAATGAAAATCAACCAGAGAATGTCCAAAATAGTACATTATCGCCCACCTTCAAAACCCCGTAGTAATCATCAATTCAACTGTGGCAACATGAAATTATCATATGCTAGCACCTATAAATACCTATATGTATATGGCTAGATAAACATATCAATTACAATAAAACTGCAAAAGAAATAGCCAAATTAGCAAAGTGTGCCCTTGGAGTTATAATCTCTGAGTATAAACAGTTATGTGGAATGGATCTCTCAGTGTATAACAAATTGTATGACACCATGGTTCAGCCTATTATTAACTATGGATCCTCAATTGTTAGGCTGTCAAAACATAGCTGTATTAACAAAGTGCAAAATAGAGCTGGAAAGATTTTCCTGGGAGTTGGGACAAAGACCAGCAATGAAGCAGTAAGAGGGGATTTAGGTTGGACACAAGCAAAGGACAAACAGAAAATTGAATGTGTACGCCACCTTATTAGACTCAGAAACATGAACCCCAACAGATTGAACCATAAGATCTACAAATGGTCTCTAAAAAGACACTCAAGCTGGGATTCCAGAACACAGCACATAATACAACTAGCAGGCCTTGAACAACATTTAGGGACACAAACCCCATGTAAACCCTTCATGAGAAAAATGAGTGATTATTTTCAACAAACTGATCCATTTCTTACAAATATTTGGAATGATCAACATAACCTAGTCAATAGTAATAAACTGAGGACATATAGACAGTTCAAGTACGGAGTAGTAACTGAACATTATAATAACATTTACATGCCAAGACATCATAGAAAAACTCTAGCTAGCTTTAGAACTGGGTCCCTTCAACTTAATGTTGAGACACAAAGGTATAATAACACACCTTTATTAGAAAGGAAGTGTAAATTGTGTGACTCAAATGAAGTTGAAGATGAATTATATTTTCGTGTTAAATGTTCACATTATACAGAATTAAGAGACATGTTGTATCAGGAAGCCAAAGTTAAAGTACCTTATTTAAAATGTTCTCAAAATGTTTATTTAACTTCAAACGTTTGTGAAATTAAATATGTGCAATGTTATCAACCAAAGTCATAATTACTGTATTCTCATTTATTGCATCTTGAAATCACATGTTTATATTGTATGTTATTTAACTCTAGTCATATTGTCTATGAATTGTTCACACTCTGCAAACTTACTTTACATCCTCTGTGATATTATTCGACATACCAATGCTATATTTTTCTATTGATTATCTTTGTATATTTATGTGGTGTCTCATAAGCCGATGTCGGCTGTTGGGTTTTTTAACACATGTATTTTACTTGTAATATTTTAGTTAACCAGTGTGACACAGAAATAAAATATTTTTAAACTAAACTAGTAACTGTACATTACTTGTGTATTGAGACTGTAAAGAATATAACTAAGTACCAAATATAGCAACTCCACACTGCATGCATATATTGCATACAAGTACCTTCTGCATATAGGGTCCTTAAAGTTTTTCACCCTATTTGAACTATTCATTTGTGGATCAGGTTATATTAACTCTCACAAAGTTATGTCCACCACCACAAGTGCTGACATATTGTAATAGTCCCCAACCTTTTGTGTATGGTGTTTGGCAATTGGTGTTCAATGTTTGGTGTTCAGCAGTTGGTGTTTGGCATCCAGTGGTTGGTGTTTGGCATCTGTAACAATGGCACTTTGCAACATTTTGCATCCTAATGTTTTGTTGATTATTGTTGTTAACTGTTGTCATTGACATGTGTTTCCAGGAGTGTATGGAATGTGGAACCTGTATGTTATAGCTCTACTTGTCCTCTATGCCCCCTCTCACAAGTATGTTTCTGCGGCAGATGAAGGTAAGTAAAATTGAAGTAAATTAAACCACAGGGTTCATTAATGTGCCTACTTTTGTCTTATTTTGGAGAATTCTGCTTTCTTACCAAATGGTGCTTTTTACGCTCTGTAGTTATTGTAGATTATTGAATAGTCTTTACTTCCTAAGTGACATCTATAATTAAGGGAATGCATAATTAGTTCAGCATTCATAGTACTAGTGCAAAGTGGGGTCAAACGAATGCCCCTGTTTGTCCTAAGGTTCTAATACACCATTGGAAAAGTGAAAGCTGACACTCTCAACTTTCCAATGGTGTATTGTAACCTTAGGACAAATATTGGCATTTATTTTTAATTAAGGAGAGCACTTAGAGGCTCTACTTCGCACGAGTATTATACAAGATGTAAGGAAGTTCCCACCACAGTAGTATGAGTAAAACATTTGTTGGCCAGAGCAATTGCCTTGCCTGAGAAAGGGTCTATGAGTGTCTATCAAGTATTCATTTCTATCTTACTAGTTCCAGCTAGGGGCTTATTTATATACAGACTTTGAGGGCATAATCATCGGCATGAGAGGCTTATTACAATTATACAGGCATAAGGGCATAATAGACATGAGGGGCTTTATAAATAGGCATGAAGGCATATAGCCATGAGGGGTTTATTTATGTGCATGCGCGAGGACATAATAGCCATGATGGGCTTATTTATGTACATGCGTAAGGGCATAATAGACATGAGTGGCTTCACAAACAGGCATGAAGGCATATAGCCATGACTCGGGGCTTCATTTATATACAGGCATGAAGGCATAAAAGCCATTAGGGGCTTTTTATATCGGTATGAGGTTAATAGGATGCAGTACATGAGGGTACAAGCACATGAGAAGATTCACGCATAAGGGCTTTAGAGGTTGGACAAAGATACATCATGAAATTGGTTGTGTGAGGATTTACATTTTGGCATAGGGGCCAATAATCAAATCACACAAGGGTGCTTATTGGAAGAAATGGTAGTTTTGTGATACAGAATATATGGATTGAAATTGCGGAATACAGAATATATGGATTGAAATTGCAAAGAATGATGAATTTTTTAAAAAAAAACAGAAATTGGGTTGCATATAAGTGTTGTTATTGTGTAATCAACAAAATTTACAATGAGACCTATTCATGCTAAATAGTCACACCTGGGAACTCCAGGGTCACTGAAACCCTTTATTTTGTAGGGTTAACCTGTAATATGGACTGCACTTGTGAGACTTCTCTCATGCTGACTAATATGGACTGCACTTTTGAGACTTTTCATGCTGACTAATATGGACTGCACTTGTGAGACTTCTCTCATGCTGACATTTGAGCATTATTATGGCATATCCATTTGAAACTCTACTTATTTTGAAATCAAAACAGAGTCAGTAGTGAGATATTCATAAAGAGGAGTCAATCTATTCTGTAATAACAAACAAAAGCCTTATTTTTGATCAAAAGAAGAAAGGTATTTGAAATCCCTTCCACCCCACCCAAGGATTACAATGTATCATATCTGTTACTCTGGGTTTCATCTTATAGAATGTTTTCACCCAATCACTAAGGAAACATATATTTTGTTATAGATGACAGTTTAGATGAACAGATCGAGTTTACTCAAATAGCTTCTGAGTCTTCAGCACTTGCTTCATTCGCCCGTAAAGCTGCTGCTGACTAAAGGGGGCGCCACAAGAACAAAATTGGAGAACAATGCAAGAATCATCAGATTAGTAAAACTCCCCAAGATTTGCGATATTTAAAAAATTGTTGAACATAATCACCAAACTTAACTATATATTTAACTTCCAAGCTTATAATAAGCACATTTTATTACTTCCAAACTTATTATAAGCATGTTTTAAAGTTATCACTAGTTGTATATTATGGTAAAGAATATTATTTATTATTTTTTGACTGCTGATAACTGGTGCCAATGGTTTCTATAAAGTTTGGTGGTTATTGTCAAATCTAAGCAAGCAGTTAACTAACATTATATAGGACAACTTAGTTAACACAGTTTAATAGCATTACTACATTTATACAGCAATATTTAGGAGCCATGTGATACTGTAAAAGTTGTAATTTTGCCTAATAATTTAATTTGCCTATTGCCTAATTTTTGCCAGATTCAGAAAATCAAATGTCGGAAATATAATCTTCATAATTTTATCAAATGGGAAGTTTCTTGTCATTTTGGAAATTAAAATTAGGAAAATGATAAAATTTGACCATTGAGCAAATTAACCATTCAGATTAAATTACCACTTGTACAGTATTTGATGGGAGATGTATTAAGTGGCCAACAACTGCGTTGAATAGACGAGCAATAAATATGTTCCAGAAAACAGGAGACAAAGTCTTCAAAAAAGGATCTTCCATTCTTTTGAGATAAAATCAAAGGCCAAAATTTTACTGAAAACGCCCATACATGAAACTGAAACTATGAATATGAGTGTTAGGATTACACCCCATTTGGCTGTGATTTGCCTCATACATTTGTAGGTTCTTGTTGCTCTTGAATAAGCAGCTGTTCCATGTTTTTGGGGGGACCTCAGTAGAAAGCAGTTGTATATTACTAAGTAACTGCTGTAGAATGTATGCCAATATGGTGCTTAGAATAAGATATTTATTGTTACTTTTATGTTCATATGTTCTGATGTTGATAATCTCTGATATAATGTTGCATGCATGATTGTCAATGTTTTATTCTTGTCTAGTGGTCATTTTGGAACATCAATGTAAATCTCTTGAACAATTTTCAGCTGCTATCACTGATTGTAAAATAGCCCCTGAGGTACATTTTGGGCATTGCATTAGAAGGGAAGCAGTCATAAGTGATGAGCATATTTGAAAATGTAATCTGTCACATTTAATGTAAACCTAAAACTGCAGTAATAATTGACATGTACATGTATATATTTATATTATTAATATTAAACTTAAAACTAGTGGAATTATGAGAAATGACTTTCTTTTCTCAAAAATGAACTTTCTGAGAAAGTCTTAATCGTGAGATTATTAAATATCCTCAAATCGTTTCTGAATCGGAGAATGTCAATCATTTTTGCAATCTTTAAAGAAACTTGGTATTCAGTCTAGAGAATAAATTTTTCAAATAACTATAGTTTATAACTCATTCCATTTATGTCTGTCAAAGATATCTCTTTTTATGACACATTCAAATGAGCAGTATAAGAGAGCTGTCTTGCTGTCGACCAATTTTTTTGTTTATTTCAGAACTTATTTCATTTAAATATAAAACATCTTCGTAATTTAAACTTTAATTTTTCTTGCCAAATAATATTTTTTCCTGCCTTGATATCATATAAATAACAAAGTGTAATATGTTTGCCATGATAATAAATTAACTTATCAACTCCGAAACAATACTCGCAATAATTTTAATGGAACATTGTCAATGATGATATTTTCTGATATAATGAATAAATTCTACATATAAAGTGTAATCATTAATATTAAATGTATACATATAACTGCTAGCTAACATTTTTGTAGGAAAACATACATCAGTGATCTCCTCAGCATTAAGCAAGTGGGTGCAGCACCCACCTGAGATTTTGATAATAGGCTTGACCCCACCTGAGAATCCATTTGCACCCACTTGAAAATGGAAAAAACCATGAAAAATTGGCATATTTTGACCAATTTTGGTATGAATTGTGAAATTCGAATTTTGCACCCACTTGAGAAAAAATCCTGTGGAGATCACTGTACAGTATAGAAACTACATGTATGTTCAATATGTAATGTACCTGTACCTGTATTTATAATAGCAATATATTGACATATTTTAGATCTCATTTTATAGCTCTCATACTTGTATTTAGATATTATTTTAGTAGTTTATGTACACAGTCAGTCAACATACAACGAGATTATATACGATTTTGTGGTCATCTACATAATGTAAAATGTATTTTATAAAATATTGTCATTTTACAATTAACATTTCATCCTAGATTTCTTTATTACAGGTTATACTATACATGTATATTTCTTAGCATACTACGCAAATATTTATTCATAAGTTCTTAACTTGAAATATATAGCCTTAGTTTTCTATAGTAAACTTCTGTTTGTTGAATTCATCTGAATTGAAATAAATCATAACAAGTGTTATTATGATGGTGGATGGACCTTTGTATTTGGAGAGTGGATGTACCCTTGTTCAATTTAATGTTTAATCGAGTGACAAAAAGTTATCCCATAAAAGCAGTTAACTGATTTTACAGTCTGTAATGTCCCTTGTACAGGGTATTAATAGTTTGAAAACATAAGAATGAGATGATTTTCTGAATGAGATATGTTTTATGATATGATTTTTATGTCACAACCAAAAGTGGTGACATATTGTTATCATCTTCAACTTTTTGTGCCAGCATTCAGTGGTTGGTGTTAGGTGTTCGGAGTTTGGCATCTGTAACAGATGGCATGTGGTGACATTTGCATGTAAATGCCTGGTTGGCTGTTGGCCCCAACACTCCTGAATGCATGTGACATCTATCAGTGAGTTATGTCATAAATTACATCTGGAGGACTTATCAAACATTGTTTCAGCCCCTTTAGGTACTGAGTCAACATATAACTGTCACAGCATTATCACACTTTTAAAACATGTTCAGTTTTGTTTACCAATGAGAATAATACAGTACATGAGCTTAGGTATTAAGTAGATTCATCACAATTTATAGAATACAGTATAGGCGTGAGAAGGAAAAAAGTTGAAAACTGTTATCAAACATTGGGAGGTGACCCCTCCTGGAATTTTCTTAAAAGTATACCCCTTTGCAAATGTTGGCTATGGGCCTGTGTGACCTCGCATAGTTGCAGCTTGTGAGTGTTAATGACCTTCCCATACCCTTCAATAATTTACCATTGAACTTGAAAAGTAGTAAACCTTTTTTGATTGGGTCTTTCTGATACTAATTATCCCATAGAACAAAGTTCGGAGGGATATAGGGAACACCTCCGTCCGTCCGTCCGTCCAACATCTGTCCATCCGTCCAGGCAATAACTCAAATACCGTTGGGCCGATTTTTGTTCATATTTTGTATACATATACCATATGGGGGTAGAAAGTCTGCTCGAAAGGCGATTTTCAAAATGGCCACTCATTTAAAAATGGTGGCCATTTTAGTTGCTATTTTACAGTAATTTAGGTGCAATATGTAAAACTGTAATAGCAATATGTTTTAAATGTAATAAAATCATATAGGACATTGATAAATCTAGAAATGTAGTTATTTAAGAAGCACATGGCAGCCATCTTGAAAAATGGTGGCCTTTACTTGTTATTTTACGATTTTTGCTATAACTCGAAAAGTAGTGGAGGGATTTTGTTCATATTTGGTATGTGAATACTATAAGCATGGCACACTGCCTAATGACACTTTTGGTAGAAGGTGGCCATTTTGAAAAATGGCTGCCATTTTTGCTATATATTTTGTTTGTAAAAATACCAGCCATGGCTGTTCGATGGGATTTGCTACGCTTTGGCGTTGCTGTTGTCTAGTTTATAATTGGCTGTAACTTTCGCCATCAATAGACTTATATATTAACCTTCTTTTTTTGGAAACATCAAAGCTTTAACAAAATTGTGTGCCAGTTATCGAACTTCCGATTGAGGATTTTTGAAGCTGTTATATTTATGAGAAAAAAGTAATTAACAAAGACTTATATCATATTTATACATTTTTCGGGTTATTTTAGGATAGGGGCTACAAACTGTCTCTTTAAATATACCAAATTGAGGGTGAGCCATTATGGTATTCATAAAAAAAATCAAAAAAGATCATGGTACTTGCCAATATGATTGTGTAGAAAGGGCTATAGTCAGAGACTAGTATTGAAGTCTCTCTAAGTGACTATAGAACTCACTGGTGATAGCACTAGTCACACACACTTGTCAATCACTTGATTTCTCTAGACACTTCAATTTCACTTGTGACAGAGCTAGAGATGCATATTTCACTCGTGTATGATGATACACTATTGATTAGCTATTTCACTAGTGGTTCCTGGTAGAGACCTTTTTGTTGTACATAAAAATAGATTGATGGCTTGATATTGGCATATCATTTTAAAGAGATGTAATGAGACTTCTCCGTGGCATTTTTTCTTTATTCCTTTTTGTTTTGAATTTTTTACACCATAACATTAACTAACTACTCAATTTGCAACTTTTCACCTTGAGAATTTTAAAATATTAAGTTTGAAAATTCCATTTTTATAATGGAGCTCAATGGGAAAAATGACATAACTTGGATTATTTTCAAACGTAGCGGAGCGATTTTCTTGGAATTGACAGATATAATAAATATTCGTAAGACGAAATGTTTGAAGAAAAATGAAGAAAATTCACCGTCCTGGTAAAGCAAATTATAGAAAAATGTGAAATGATCATAAAAACCTGTAAAAATAGATTGAAGGGGGTGATATTCATTTTAATGTGCCTTTCACTACTACAGGGTAACCATAGTTTTGGTAATGGTTTACTAATTTTAAAAGCATATCTTCCAGCATGTGTATCAAGCAGAAGTAATACAATAAGTGAGTTATCATTAATTGGAATGGTATTATTATATTCCTTAGCAATGATGACAAAAAGGTAAAATCAATCATATCACATACTAGTTCTTACCATCAAATCGATCTGTTATAATGCATATTTAACAATATAGCAGTAGATCTTCAAATTTAAGAATTGAGCTAAATTGTAAGATAATAGATAAATTGCTAATCTCTCTGTATAATCCCTTTCTCTGAATCATACTAAATTATAAAACTTAATATTTTAAAATTCTACGTGGTGAAAAGTTGCATATTGAGTAGTTAGTTAATGTTATGGTATAAAAAATTCAAAACAAAAAGGAATAAAGAAAAAATTAATCATTAACATCTCTTTAATTACATTACTCTTTCCAATATGCCTAACTTAACTGGTGTGTAACACAAGTTCAATATAGGAATAAAGATAAAAGCATTATCTCTAAATTCAGGTTCTTCATTCAGAAAGTTATTAATGGATATAAGGGTGTTGGGCACATACGTGTAAACACTACATTATTCTTACATGCAGATTTTTTTATTATTTATTTATTTACATTTTTATTATATTAATTTACAATCCTATAGTTGGTAAACACTCCATACAGTTTTTTACACTTAGATTTCATTCACTATAACATTGAAATTAAAAAGTACAAAATATATGAAACATGTGAAGTTCAACTTAATGCAAGGGGTAAATACAGGCAAATTCAACAGTGGATTCAAGTAACCTGTATTCGATTTCAAGTAGTCATATTGTGATACATCAAGTTGTTTTACTTATCTCTGGTCTTGGACTTCATGTGTCAACATGTCTGTAAGTATATATCATTATACATGTATTGCATTTGTTACTTTGATGATAAGTAAAAGTAGATAGAACTAAATCAGATTTTGAATATCTTTCTATTGTTTTTGAGTACATACTGTGATGTTGAAGTGAGCAAAAAACTAGATAACTTGTCAAATTAAAGATGAAAGTAAATTGTTTTGAATTTGCATAAAGAATGCTCAGGTTTTAAAACTCATACAATCCCATTAATTTGTATCACAAAATTTAGTCACTAACACCATGAAGAATCCTATCAAACAGCTTCATTTTAGCCTTAATAGAGAGTTATTCTAAGGTCAGGTTCAATCAGTATTGTCACTGTTGGTTTAAAGATTTTTATTTTGTACAACTTATGTTTACTCATAAAATGAAAAGTAAAATGTAGAAACTCTAAAAATGTTCATATTTATTTACCCATCCAAGAAGTTTTATAAATGTTTGATAAAACTTTCAGAGCTCTGACTACTATAGCAGCAAGTATCAGTTGACGCCATTGACGATTGATGAATTTAAGGTATTATGATATTATATATGCTCAAAGGTTCTTTTACTCTATGTAAAAGCAAGCTGCTGCTTCCATCTCGCCCATCCCCCTGCCCTCTACCCACCATTGAAACAGCTGGACTCTGCACACAGTTGATAATTTAGATAATTTCATTAAAATCTATTTGATTTGTGATTGTATGATCCAACAATTGGGACTCTAAATAATTTTAATGATTCACCACGTTTCAAGAGGAATATCAGCTGAAATAATGTTAATCCAGGGGTTTCTTTATAGATAATAAAAATATATGTTAGTCTTGAATCTTGATGAAATATCCAAACTTAAATATATTTGACACTGGTCGATGATCGTTGAATGGCCCCCCTGCACTAATTGTTGCACCTTTAAAATTATGCATATCCAATATTACGAAGGAAAAACTCTGCTGAAAAATCTGACCACTTTGCTTACTCTTCTAATGAATTTTAGTGAAAATATAAAATGGTAGTGAATAAAACAAACAAAGGTTTGAAAATTTGATGTTATACTGATATAAGTTAGTTTATCACTACTCAGTGTCAAATATCTAGAGTACATGTATTTCAATAAAAGTGATGACCTTATCCTACAAAAATGGACATTTTCACAGCAAGTTTGCAGAGTGATAATATATATATGTACTATGTATAGTAGTGCATGCTTAAAGGAATTCATTAATTGTACTTTCCAAAGATACCAAATATTCATCTGAAATAGAAGTTAAAATCCCATTTTGAAATCAAACCCCTTTTGAACTTTTTGAAACTTTACTTACAGATACCAAGTTCACATGTTGGCAACATGCAATTTAATCTTACACAAATTGAGTGCTATCTGTAGGATTTATGGGATGGGGTGTCATTTTAAAGGCATTATATATCTTACTTAATTCACTGTAATAAATTTATTCTTAATTATACTTTATTTATTGATGGTAGCATATGTTCTATTTTTATTTTAGCCATCAAAGAAATCTGCTTGTCTTCAGAGAAAATGTCTCCTCATTATCTTACTTGTGGTAAGTCATAGAATAAATTTATTAGGACAAAATAGAGCTCATGGCTCGCTTAATCCTAATTTTCTCATATTGTACATATATTTCTGAAATGATGATGCAAAATATGACCCCTCTACTTTTCCTTGGATGCAAATAGACTTGTCATTTTTAACTTCAATTTATTCATGGTTTGTCAGATTCAGACTTTTGCAAGAAACAATGTTCAACCATTCCAAAACCACATACGATTATCTGGTTCATGGTTGAGAATTGCACCATTTGAAGTACACTTAAAGGTAATCCCAATGATCCTTCGATATTTACAGGTGGCTGCTGTAGCTGTTGCCCTAGCAATTGGCCTTGGAGTCCATTTTGGGAGAAATCAAAGTGGTGAGGTTGGGGGCTTGGAGGGACGGAACTCAACTAGAACAACAGAGAAGGTTGTTACTATCCCATCATCCACAACTGTTACAACAGAGGAGGTTGTTACTATCCCATCATCTACAACTGTTACAACAGAGGAGGTTGTTACTATCCCATCCTCCACTGAGAACCCAGGAAATTTTACATGGTTGTTTGAGCCATGTAGGGGTCCAGATCCACCAACATGTCCACCAGGGTAAGTGACAAAATATGCTGTATATAACTAGTTGTTAATGTAAAATCCCTAGACAATAACAAGACCAATGTTTATGCCAAATCATGTGTGTTGTGCTCCCCGTTATGGATTTCTCATTGTTTTTTGAAATATTTTTATGCCTTAAGTTTCACTTAATTTCCGAAAACCCATTGTGAGGATGAAAATAAATTTAAAGCATATTTAAATGTTCCATGATCCCCAAATGAAATGGTTCAAGTGTTTGATTTTGGGGGCAAAACTTCCCATAATAATATATTTCTATCTGTATGTAAAAATGATCATCTTTTTCATTGGTTTGTGGTTGATATCACCATCATCTCTGTTAAGTTTATATTCATTTATTGATCGGGTCACTCAACTGTAAACTATGGCTTCTTAATCACCGTCGTTCATCTCAGCATAGCTTTGCCATTGTAGCATTTATTTTATCTTTCAGAGTTCCTCCATTGATCTTGCTTTCTCTGGATGGCTTCCGTATGGAATATATTGATAGGAAGCTGACTCCTGTGATAAATAGACTGAAGGAATGTGGTATCAGGACACCTTATATGAGGCCTATCTACCCATCCAAGACATTCCCAAATCATTACAGTATAGTCACTGTAAGTATTTATCTATGTCATATATGAATCCATTTAACAGCCTATTCTATCAAATATTTAAAGAAAATGGGATCATAAATAATTATTTTTAGAAATGGTAAAAAGGTAAAATGTCTTTTATTAGCAATTAAGAAAAAGAATATCTACCTGGCTGGTTTGTCTAAAATTTGAAACTTTGTTGACTAGAGACAATATTATTTCCCCTAGCATCGAGCATTTATTTCCCCAGCTTGTTCTGACATTATACATTGAAACTATATATGATCATTCATAAAACGTACATATTTATCAATGGTATTTATATGGTTTTCAGGGCTTATATGGAGAGTCACATGGTATAGTTGACAATTCAATATATGACATGGAACTGAGAGATAGATTCTCGCTTAGTAGACCAAGCAAGTTTGACCCAAGATGGTGGCAAGGGGAACCAGTATGTAGACTGATTTGCTAATTATCCCAATGAATGAAGTTCAGTAGGGATATAGTGAAGCCCTCTGTCCGTCCAAACATAGGATGGCTGCTATTTATCAAAATGGCTGCCATTTGACATTAAAATGTAATCTTTGATAACTCAAATACCAGTTGATGGATTTGGCTCAAGAAGATTTTTTAAATGGTGGCTGAATTTCTGAATTGATCACCATTTTCGGAAAAAACATAAGTCTTTGATAACTCAAATACCAGTTGAGTGATTTGGTTCAAAGGACGATTCTCGGTTTGGAGAAAAGTCTCCTGGGCTAATAATTTTTTTCATGAAAAATATAGAAATATTACCCAAATTAAACTATGAATATTCAAAAGAGGACATTTAAATCTACAAGATGTAAAAATAACAAATTGGTCTGAAGCAGGGATAACGCTCAAATAGACAGATTCAATAGAATACAAGTCTCGATTTGGGGAAAGAAGCTCATCAGTGTACTGCGCTAATATTTTTTTGCGAAGAATCTAGAAATATTACCCAAATTAGATTATGACTATTCAAAAGAAGACATTTAAATCTATATTATGTAAAAAAATCAAATTTGTCTGAAGCAGGGATAATGCTCATTTAGATTGATGAACTTCGTTCTCCAAACCGAGAATCGTCCTTTAATTCGCTGATATGCTCTGTTCAAGAAGAAATTTTTAAGATTGCCACTAATTATCAAAATTTGCTTTGTTCAGTGGGGTTTGCTACTCCGTGGAGTTGCTGTTTTTCTAGTTATTTATTAAGAATTAAAGATTACATATCACATTTAGGAACAATATTATTGACTGTGTGCATTGTTTCAGTGTTTTTGCTTTATTCTTGAAGTTATGGAATACTATGAAGAAACAGGGCAAGAAATCAGCATCTTTTATGTGGCCAGGCTGTGATGTTCAGATACAAGGTGACATCACATACACACACTTAATATATCTTTTTGGATGCATGTACATTTTAATTAAACTAAGGCCTATGTTTCCTTTGTAATAAATACCCATAGGCATTATTCTGAAAGTACTTTCAATAAAATGCAGATTTGACAGTTTTTAAAAACTGTTATTAATTCCCTTTGTTAATAATGTTGTTTCTTGTCACCTGGAGATTATTTATTGTTGAGGATAAAAAATTGTATATATTTGACTGGACAAATTGATAAATTATACCTCTTTTCCCTCAAAATAAATGTGTTTCCTTTTCAAAGTACTTTAAAATTTTTAATGAATGCCTGGGAATTATAAGGCACATTCTACTTTAAAAATCTGGAATATGGTTTTTCATCAATACAAAATAACTTCCTTCAGAATATATTCTTTATCTTTCCCTGGATAAACGTTTAAGCATTATACAAAAGTACATACATTTAGCATACACAAAAGAAACTTTGTTTTTTATTTTTCAGGCATGTATCCAGATATATATGTTCCATATAATGGGTGAGTTAAGCATATTGTCACAAATGTGTAAAGGAACAATATAAAAAACTAGAATAAATGTTTGGATCAAATATCTTATCTTGTATAACTTAACTGTTACAAAACTCTCTAATGCACAACACTAAGCCTTTTAACAAAATTCGAATTCTATTTTTCGATACTTTTGATAGTTCATGTACAGGGTGGGCCAACGCCACTTTTTTTCAAAATGCTATAACTTTTTTAATTTTTGATACAAAATCATAATTTGTATACCAAATGAAACTTGAAGTTGTTGTCTAGCCATGGATCATGAATTATATACTTTTACTTGAATAAAATATGTCACCAGTGTCTCACTTAAACATGTGATGTGCCATGAGAAATAAGCATAATTTGCAAAATGTTCCTGAACTGATGACAGCCAAGCTAATGGGCCTGATGCAAACCCCAGTGAGTATAGGGTATGGGAATGTCTCCAGGAGATTGTATTAAGGCACCCATTCTAAAAAATTACTCAACTAAAGCTGGCAATTAGGACAGGTTGAAAAAAACTTAGCTAACATTTCATTGATACTGGTATATCAGCAAAGAGACTAAAACTAAAATCGATCATCAAATAGGGTGGCGGACCAATTGAACTCCTCTTTCAGATCAAATATAATCCATGTTGAAGGACTTGTTACATTATATTATTGCTAAGAACCCCTGGCACTATATAACTGCAAAATTTGGGGTATGTAGGTTGGAAAATAAAAAAGTTGTAGTGTCTTGAAAAAAAAGTGGCGTTTTTTTTTGGCCCACCCTGTATATTATGAATATTTCTTGTCAGTTCCATATCATTTGAGTACCAAGTGGACATGGTGTTGGGCTGGTTGGATCTACCAAAGGAGGAAAGGCCAGAGTTTATCTCTATGTATATGTTTGAGCCTGACACTACTGGCCATAAAGAAAGTCCATTTGGACCTGAGGTTCGTTATGCTGACAATTAAATAGCTTTATGTATTATATGGTGAGATATATTGTGGTCAAAATTATTGAAGCATTTAAATGTTTTTTATTTTCTTATTACTGTTGTAAATTGAAATAAATTCATTTTAAACAAATCATTTCCTTTGTATGTCGGAGAGTATTTGATGGCTATTTTTTTTTTAAATTTGCAAATTGTTTGACCATACTTACTCTTCAATGTTTCACTTCATCATACTGACAATTTTACTGTTTCAGCTTCCCCCTGTATTGGCCAGAATGGATGGACTTGTAGGGAAACTGATGGATGGTCTGCTGGCTAGAAGGATGGACCAGTGTGTTAACCTAGTCTTGGTCTCAGATCATGGTACAGTCATTTGTATCATATTAATGTTAAAACCACTAAGTTGTTAAATAGCCTTGGAGGGTTTGGTGAACACTTTGAGATGCTGGATCATTTACTTATCTCAACGAACAATGGAAACCCATCTGTCCCTCCGTCACTCTGTCTGTCCGTCTAAGAAATATTTGGTGAAAAGGTGTATATATATGAATAGGGGTTGTGTATCTCTTCTTTATCCCACCCTAAGTGCTTTATATGATTGTATAATAGTATTTTATAACTGCAATATAACACAAACACTCATCGTATACAACTCTTGAGAACGATATACAACTCCTGGATAGCGTATACAACTCCTGGGCAGCGTATACAACTCTTTGACTTGATATACAACTGCTCAATTTAGATAACTTTTTATTGATTTTTTCTTTTGTCATATAAAGCTTTTTGTAAAGCACTTAGGGTGGGATAAAAAGAACATATAATGGTTGATTCTGTATATCGTTATACTCTTGTGAGTAAATGATACATTCACTCGTTCCCTTCAGTCACTTGTGAATATATCTTATACTCGTACTCGCTTGAGTCTAAACATGATATACAGAATCAAGCATTATAAAACCTCATAATAATCTATAGTAATGGTATGCTATACTCAAATTGAAGGAACTTTAGAGTAGATCACAATTAAGATATTGCTCTTCTGATTTGTGCCATAGAAAATTCACAGTGGCTGCCTAAATCGCGAGTTTGCTATAATTAAGAGATCTCTTCAAAATATGGTTACATTGTACTACACTAGATCTCAAGAATTACATTGCCTTTTTAATTTGTAACCTTTGACCCTTAAACAGTTAGGGGATTTAAGGGTTTTTTGATAACTTTTTTCTTATTTGGTCTTTTGACCTGTTTCTGGCTTACCTTGATATTGAATAAGTCATGTTTTAGAGAAAAAATTATTAGAGTTGGTTAAAGTTACTGATATGCCCAAATTGTCAATAGTTTTGTCTTAAAACAATAAACCCCTATGTTCTTAGAATATGAATTTCTTCATAAATAAGTAGGTTCAAAATACTGGGAATTGAATAACCTTTCCAATGATACCTAAACCACCCTCATATGATTGTTCGTCTTCAGGATCATAGATTTGATCCCCCCTTAACATTGGTGTAATTCTCTTAAGCCTAACTGTTAAGGGTGAAAACTCCAAAATGGTCACTTAAATGCTTAATTTATAATAATTTGGGGAAATTCTTATATATCCCCAATATCTGTCTTTTATTATCAGCAAATCATGGGTACAGTAGATGATGGTAAATAATACATTTTGATATATACAGATTCATGAATATTATTCCGTGGAGTTACCAATTTCTAGTTCAATCATTACCACATATGAATAATTAAGTGACATATCAGTGGAGAGGAGAAATCATGGAACATTGAATGAAATCAATGCAGCCATCACTTGTTTTTGGGGTTTTACAACATATTCGTTTATTAGGTATTGTCCAAACATAGAATGAAATATTTGTTTTATTATATCATTGCTAGACATTCTCTGCGATCACTTTGCATTTTAAAGAAACATGAAATATTTGTTTTAACCTGTAAACATTTATTATAATCAATAGATATATCATAAACCCATAAGATAACATAATTACGTACAAGTATCATTGTATAGTACACTTTTATTTTTGTCCAGTGCAGTTGTCACAATTCCCAGATGGGCAATACGCCAGACAATAATCCACAAATTGAGGGAGCTGTGAAATATGCTTTGGTATTTTTGATCACACGGTACTTAATCAGACAATCAAATCACATGATTTCTAGCAATGATATAATAATTATAATTATCTCACTTCCATTTACGTTTCCTATTCTTCAGTCCAACTTCATTCTCAGATTCATTTGATACTATGAGTTCTTGTAGCTCTGTATTGTCTTCACATACACTGGGCTCTATGCAATGTGTTGAACTGCTTGATTCTGGTGGGATTGTCTGAGATAAAAGTTCATGATTATATGAGTAAAGTTCAGTATTGTCCTCACCTAACTCTTGACTCCATGTTATTAAAATCAACGTTGGATTGCAACTAGCTGTTCTTAAGATTCAATCTTGTCAGAATTCTCTCTGTGTCAACTACAACTGAATAATTATTTGCAAGGTTATATTGTTTTATAATCATTTCTCTCTTATCCTCATGAGATAGGATCTCTTCCCTCTCACTAAAAGTAAAAGCATTGTCTGGATTCTGGAGTATACTTTGTTTCATGTGTTCTAGCACACACTCTTTAGACAACAGCTCCAGATATTCACAGTAGTATGCATGAGAACTAACACATGTTGATTTCAGTAGTTCTGTGAGAATGTATACTACAAGTAGGAACAATTGTGTTGCAGACCAGTGAGTATCATCACCTGATTTATAAATATACATATCTGGATTGTCTTTATCAAAGAGATCGTCAAGCCATTTTGTATTACTTATCTCGATGTTTGTGTTATTCTGTACAGATCTTAACAGCAGTTTGCATAGATTGTGTGAGATGTCAATGTAACAATTTCCAATTGGTTGCTCATGTGCACTGCTATTACATTGCTCTTGGTGGTGTCTTACTAAGGTGAACAGTGCATGTGAATGTAACTTTGTTTTATTACTAGTTGCCTTCTGATACTGTGAAAGCATGGATTTTAATGCAATCAGTACAGTCCTGTGACGATCATCTATCCTTGATGCTCTCAAGTTTGGTGTCTCATAAAAAGATTTCATCCACCCGTTTTTGCCATGCAATGCCATATAGAAACTGTCCTTATTACAAGGCAGCTGAGGTATTTTGAGTATTTTCAGACAAAATGCCAGGTCTATGTCTGTTACACACAATGGTCCCCACACTGTTAGTTGGATGCAGGGACTTTGTGAGTTGTTATACAGGATAACTTCGTTCTCTTTCAGCTGATATGATTCTACATATACAGGCTTCTTTATATATATCTCTCTCTTGTAGACCAGTATACCCTCAGTGCATAGTTGTAACAAACAATTTGAAACAGTTAAAAGTATGAGCCTATTTAATTCCTCCGAATCAAGTGAATTGTGTTTTATTAACCCTGGATGTTTCTTATTGAGATTTTGTAAATCTGTGTGAGGATCATCAGGTAACTCTACATCTAACTGACCAGGAAAATCGTATTCCTGTGATTTACTATCTATAAGAGATATCAGTACATGTCTGGAGAGCACCATGGGGAGGACAAAATCACACTCACATGGTGTTCCTATTTTACTTCTATTTGACATGCTTCCATTCAGTAGTACATGTACGTCATCCACTGCTAATGCTGGTTGCATTTCATTGAATTTATTAAGAATTGGTTGTATAACTCGAGCCTTGATGTATTCTACATGTCTGTCTAGCTCTTCTTGGCTGTGTTTCAGTTTAGCTGAGTTGTATATTTCAGTTATATGATGAGAGAGATTTTCTTCTTCATTTGCAGTGAGAGTGTTCTTCATTAAAGGAATGGTTTTCACATAATTGTCTGAATCTGAGTCACTACTATGATTAGGTCTATTTCTGCTACTAGCTGCCATGATGATATAATGTATGAATAATACTTCTAAACAATTCTATTAAACTGCAGGTTTTACTATGCTAGTTTCCATTGTACTATAATCTAACTCTTCTACATCCTTATTCCTTAATACACAGTGGCATACGATTTTAAGTCCCAATTTGTTATAGTTGATGTTTAAGCATGCACACTTGTGGCCATGGAGAGCTACTCTAAAATTGAAGTTAAATTTATCTTGAGGATTATAAATCTGTCATCATATCCTGTTTTTAAGTTTTTAATAATTAATTGGCCTAGTACATTTGAACTTAATTTGAGATTTGTGACTCAACAAGTTAATTATTAATTGGTAGATATACATGTATGATCAGTCTAATTTTTAAAGGATTTGTGATAGCGTTGTACTTGGACTTTATTTTATTTTATTCCAAATTTTTAACTGTTTTTTAAATGATTTATGATAGCACCAGAAGTGGTGACATATTGTTATAGTCTTTTTTGTGGACTTTTTTGTGGATGGTGTTTGGTGGTCTATTTTTGTATCTAAATTTTGGTTTGTTGACTGTTTGTTGAATATTACAAATGTAATTATTTTTTTAATGGAGATACCTAATGTTGATACAGTAGTGTTTTTGTACGAAAATGTTGTTCAGAGATATTAAACTTATTAGCATTTTTTGGGGGAGGGGGTTCTATGCCCGGTAATTTAGGTTTGTGTTCTGTTATAGCCTTGAGCTATTTATTTTGCTAACCTATCCAGAAATTGATTATAACGTACATGTAAAATTTAAAGGGATTTAATAAGCCTGTGTTGGCCATTGTTGGCAAACAGCTAATTTGCAGTACATGTCCATTTATTCATTGTATTTTGGAGTGTTTTTATTACAGGAATGCAGGAGACAAGTTGCTCTAAGACAAATAGACTGGATAGTTGGATAGATGTGAACAACTACTATATATTTGAGGGCCAGGCAGGTCGGATTACCAGCAAGTATCTCTACAAGAATAGAGAATATGTGCATGTCGATAATCCAGGTTTGTGTCCATTTTAAATGGAATAACTTAATGTCTCCTCAGAATCAGAATTTAATTTTTCTGTCATCACCAAGAACAGTTATACATGTTATAGGTATATTTATTAAAACTGGCACTTGGCTCGTGCATCTGTCTGCCCATTCATTCCTTTGTTTGTTTCATGAAGTAGTTGATACTTTCAAGAAGATGAAAGGGGAATTTATTTGGAATCTCAACCCCAATCACTCTCCATGAAAATAACTTGAAAAAATTCTGAGTCAGTGTTATATGTTCATTTGAATAAGAGAAAATAAAATGCATGATTCATTGATTTGCAGCATCTTTCTGATGAGACAAGGTTGGCATTTTTCTTCAAAATGTGCACATTTTTTAGATTATAAACATAAACATTTTATGATTTTCATCGGTGAAACAAATTCAGAGCCCTGTGAATGTATGTGCAGTTCTATGTATGAAATTATCGTTTTGTCGGTTTTTGTTTCATAGATTTTATGTTTTCTAGAACCAGCAGACAACATTACTGCTCACCTAGAGTGTAAAGATGAAAGACTGTTGGTGTATAAGAAAGAAGATGCTCCTAAAAGACTCCACCATGCAAATAACAAAAGAATTGATGAAGTACTCTTAAAGAACAAAGACAAATGGCTTGTTTTTAGGTACAGCATTGGTGTATGTTGTATTTTATATTATCCCACCCTAAGTGCTTTATATGATTGTATAATAGCATTGTATAACTGCAATATAAAACCAACACTCATCGTATACAACTCTTGAGAACGATATACAACTCCTGGATAGCGTATACAACTCCTGGGCAGCGTATACAACTCTTCGACTTGATATACAACTGTTGATGAATTTAGATTAACATTTTATTGATTAAAGATTAGGGTGGGATAATAAGATCATATAATGGTTGATTCTGTATATCGTTATACTCTCGTGAGTATATGATATATTCACTCGTTCCCTTCGGTCACTCGTGAATATATCATATACTCTCTTGAGTATAAACACGATATAGGGAATCAACCATTATATAACCTCATAATATCCAGAAATGGTGACATATTGTTATAGTTTCCAACATTTTTATGGACAATGTTTGGTAGTTGGTGTTTTGTGGTTGGTGTCTGTAACAAATGACACGGATGGTGACATTTTGCATTTTAATGGCTTGTTTAGTTCTACCCTGAGTTCCATTGCTAGTACACCTTTGCAAGTGATAAATGTATTTCAATTCTGGGTTCATATCAGTTATAAGCGCCAGATTTTTAGTTGGAAATATCATGTTTGATTTTACAATTAGTAGTCATAAATACATTGTGTTGTATTTTGTTTCTAGGAAAGGGTCATACAATTGCAACAATCAAGGGGCACATGGATGGGACAACAATTTTGATGCCATGCATGTAAGTGTTTCAATATATCTGAAGGCACAGCTGTAGCCCTGTCCATATATGGGTTGACTAAGATAAGAAATGTTTTGAAGTTAAGCAACTTTAAGTGAGAATAGTCACAGTCCCCTGGCTCTTCTTGACAATCAGTATGTTTATTTAAGTAATTGTATAGTCTATATGGTAATCATTGTCATGATTCTCGTGAAATACTCATTGAATGCACAGTACATGTACATATACTGTATTTCAGGCTTTGTTTACTGCTCATGGTCCTGGATTCAAATCCCAGTTTGATATGGAACCATTGGAAAATATTGAGCTGTATAACATGATGGCAGGTAACTTATCATCAGCGTTGAATTATCATTTACCCCATACTTACCTTTTGTCCTTTTTGTACCTGATAAAATAGACTGATTAGCTCTATAATCAATATGTAAAAATCACAACTGGTTACATTTTATTAATGTTGTAAATTATCAAATTAACATTTAAAGCCTAAGAAGCAGTTAAGTAAGTGATGCAAATGTTTTTCATTACTTTTAGATTTACTAGATGTTGAGCCAGCTTCTAACAATGGCACTAAGGGGTCTCTCAACTATATTATGACATCACCAAAGCCACAGCCAATCAGAGAAGTGTCTGATGTGTCATGTTCTGGGGATTTCCAAAGTGATGTGGTAACAGATTGTAGCTGTGATAATTTGAGGGTAAATATAATATGTGATATTGAACTTTGAAAAATTACTTGCTTGTACTATGTACATCTACATGTATATAAATATCAAAACATTCACCATACATACTGTAATTAAAGTTGCTCGACCTCTAACACTGATCCTAAAATACACAAAAATTAATGGAATTGGGAATTACCTCATCATGGATTTATTAGTAGAATTTGAAGAAATTGTTATCCCACCGAACGAAGTTCGAGCGGGATATAGAAAAGCCGTCCGTCCGTTGGTCCGTCCGTTCATCCGTCTGTCCGTGTGTCTGGGCAATAACTCAAATACCAGTTAACAGATTTCATTCAAATTTTATAGGCTTATGCCTTATGAGTGTAGGACCTCTGCTCGAGAAGACATTTTTAAGATGGCCGCCATATTTCAAAATGGCGGCCATTTTTCGTAAAAAAATGTTATCTTTGATAACTCAAATACCATTGAATAGATTTGGATCAAATTTTATATGCTGTTGCCTGGGTACAAAGGAACCTTGCTCAAGAAGACATTTTCAAGATGGCAACCATATTTCAAAATGGCGGCCAATTTTTTTGTAAAAAATGTTATCTTTGATAACTCAAATACTGTTGAATGGATTTGGTTCAAATTTTACATGCTGATGCCTAGGGACATAGGAGCTCTGTTCGAGAAGGGATTTTCAAGATGGCAGCTAAATTTCAAAATGGCCGCCATTTTTCGTTAAAAAAACATAATCATTGATAACTAAAATACCAGTGAATGGATTTGGTTCCAATTTTATATCCTGATGTTTAGGGAAATAGGAGATCTGCTTCAGAAGAAATTTCAAAGGGGTCAGTTGAATTTCAAAATGGCTGCCATTTTTCATAAAAAAGGTAATCTTTGATAACTCAAATACCATTGGACGGATTTACTTCAAATTTATATACTGATGCCTTTAGATAAAGGAGCTCTGCTTGAGAAGAAATTTTCAAGGTGGCTGTTTGGTGGGATTTGCTACTCCGTGGAGTTGCTGTTTTTCTAGTTCATCTAGTCGGCAGTATCAATCCCTCTCAAATTATTATATTTTATTAATATATTACCGAAATTTACAGAAAATAATTTTGTCAGACTTTTATGAATTGCAAATCTTTGGGACATTCTCAGGTTGTTGTTTAGCCACTAGAATATACGATTTTCCTTCAATTTTACATAATTTATTTATAAGTAATTTACTGGTATAGCAATATTGTATTTTGGTATGTTACAGAATCTAACAATGAAATCTGAGAGTGAGCTTAATGAACAACTTAAACTAACAGCAGAGGAGGTGACTCAGTCCTGGAGCAAACATCATCCCTATGGTATTAACTCCCCCAATTCTAGCTGCTATTTTGTACAGAGGGACTATGTCAATACATACAATGCCCAATTCAGAATGCCACTTCTGTCCACCTTCATTTATGATAAAATGGTAAGTCATCTGGTTTGAAATTTAAGATAGTTTCAGACTTTCAGAAAAACTGAAAAATTTGGGAAAGTGACGTTTCAATATAATTTCAACAAAATATTTTGATTTTGAACATGTGCATTCTATAAGGTGTTAATATCCATGTAAATTTTTAAAAAGATGTACAGTATTTCTTAAATATCCATTTTAGAAATAGATCCTCATCCCCCATCTGAAAACCAAGATTTCATAATTTTTTGCTAATAGTTGATTTTGATTTTTAGCCCAGTGTTTTTCCCTCTGATTGTGTACGTGGAGACCCGAGGGCTAAAAATGGCAGAAACTGCAGTGACTTCATTTCTGAAGAGCAGAATATTACACATGCTTTCCTCTATCCTCCAGGTTTGTGTATAGATGTGAAATATTGATACATTGTTGATGTTCATTGTTTTCCTCATTTTAGTCAACAAAATAACTTTTGAATTTGTCATCAAATCTTGAAATTAGCTTTTTATAATACCAAATGAAACACATTATTATATCACTGTCATATTCCCCACTCTCTCATTGGTCTACACATTACACGTGACATGAAATAATAAGACGTATTCAAAGGCCATGCCTGTGACATCAGAAAAAAGTCGTATTCAACAGTCGTTAATTCACCAGGTGTGTCGTTTTGTCCAGTGTACATATGAAAGTGATACAAAAAATTTAATCATTCTTGTTCTTATAAGACATTCCCAACAGCAAGAGAGTGGTGAATATATCAGTGAATAATAAAACAAATATTTCATACTGTTTTTGATGAAACCTGTGTATTCCCCTGGCTCTTCAAAAATAATATGAAATATTTGTAGAATATCAGTTTATGCATAATGCGTAAATTGTCATATCTGCATTATGCTTGAATGTAACTTTTGATTATTCATAATGCTTAAATTTAATAACTGATAATGCATTGGTTTAATGTTATAGGAGTGTCAGCAACTGATGATGGAAGACTGGATGCTGCTATAACATCTAACTTAGTTCCAATGTACAATGGATTCCAGTCAGGTAATTTCCATTAGGTTTAATTAATCAATGATTTTGAATCAGTGTTTTCTAATTGAAGATTTATAATAATAAAGTCATACATCATACAAGTGACTTGATTAAATGTCACCATTTAGTGGTGACATATCGTTATTGTTGGCTATTATTTTCTTGTGGGTGTTGTTCGGCGGTTGGTGTTCAGCATTTGGGGGTCAGCATCTGTAACAAATGGCACGTTGTGATATTTTGCACATAAGTGCCTTGTTGTTAACAAATAACATGCAATTCCAATTTAAAATATCTCACCCATGTGAAATCATATGGAACTGAACTCTACAGTGCACTCTTGAATAGTTAAATAAGTAATTAACTTAATTCTATGGCACACTCCCCAACAGCTTCACTACCTCATTAAATGTTGAAACATTCATGGGATTAAAATAGTTGAACTTACATCGCATTGAAATAGCAAACCCATCATGTGTTTTTACTTATAGGTATCTGGAAATTCCTGTACGATGTATTGGAAGAGTACAGGGAGCACTATTCTGACATACACGTCATGGTTGGTCCAGCCTGGGACTATGATGCTGATGGCAAGCCAGATGACATTAACAACATAACTCAGTAGGTTAATAAAACACACAAAAAGACTTGCTGTAAAAAGACTGTAGAGTTACAGGCAAGCAAGGATATTACCATTTCACCTGGATTCAATCTGAATTCACATCCTTGTAGAGGACCCCAAGCATCTAAAGTCAGATTTTATGTGTAGTAAATTGGTTGAATTCATAGCTCGACAAAATTATATGATATAAAACTCCAAAGTACTACGTTAACTAACCTGTAATTGAATGAAGTTATACTGTAGATGTTACCTATATAGACAGAGTGTACGTGCAGTGCAATGTTGAGATTTGATTTTGATTTATGAAAAACATTGACATATTACTATTTTAGATTGGTACAAGACAGTGGCGTACCCATCCCCAGTCACTTCTATATGAGTATGATTCGCTGTAGAGTTGGGGATAGTGTTCAGCAATGTACAGGAGAGCTAGATGTCCAGTCTTTTATCCTTCCCCACAAGCAGAAAGTTATGAACTGTATGGTAAGTTAGTCACAGTCACTATGCACAGGTTATAGTCACCAGGTAGAGGTATCAGTCACTATGTAAGCTTATCATCACCAGACAGGGTAAATTAGTCATAATGTCTAGGTAACAATCACCATGTACATTTTCAAGTCAATGTACAGGTAATTGTCACCATGTCCAGGTTCAACTCACCATGTACATGTTATAATCACAATGTACAGGGAGTAGTCACAGTGCACAGGTGAAATCACAAGGTACATGTATGAGAATCATTCACCATTTAAAGCAAACAGTCCCCATCAGAACCTGTCAAGTCCATTGTATAAAAGTCTTAATGTACATTGTAAGATGTGTTATATTTTCAGCCTTAAATATGTGAGATAATTTATATTGTTAGTACCTCAGTGTAAATACTCGCATCTGATTGGTCAATTAGCGGTCAACATTTTTGCCTGTACCTCACCTGTGCATCATGGGATATCATATTATTGACCGCTTATGTTACTGTACTACACTTGTGAATTATGGGAAATATGACGTCATAATGTTTACAGAAAAAACATGGTAGATGGACATTTCGTAAACGTTGATGAAAGTGATATTTTGACTTTGCTAGACGACAAGTATAGCAAAAATACAAAAAGAAACGAAAAATTAACATTAATTTACAAGTGAGTATGCAGTTATGTGCCAAAAACAAAGAGTTTAGCTACCACTGTCTTAAGATTTTCTTAAAAAATTATTGTTGGCGTGGTTCGGAGAAAAGATTGTGAAATGAAGCCATGATTGATGACTGTCGTCTATATGTGTATTATTAGTTTCTTCTGACTAACAAAACAATTGTAGACCTCTCCATTCGGTCAACCGTCAAAACCATATACCTCGACTGTAAACCTTGAAACTACTGTTGACCTCGACCTTCGGTCTCTGTCAACAGTAGTTTCTCGGTTTACAGTCTCGGTATACAATTTTGCCGGTTGACCTCTGGAGAGGTCAACAATTGTATATTGTTAGTACCTCAGTTGAAATACTCGATTTTGATTGGTCAACGAGCGGTGAATAATTTTAACTGTACACCGCGCAATGCATTGCCGGTGAATAATATTCCCAGCATTCCACTAAAATGACGTCATTATCAGACGATAAAATGGCCGCCGCTAGCACTAGCCGTTTCAAAAATGTTGAAGATGAGGATATTATTAGTCTCTTAGAGAGTAAAGACAGTCAAAATACGAAGAAAAATCTAAAACTTTGTACAAAGCTTTTAGTGGACTTCGCCCAGGAGAGTAATTTGACTCCATTGAGTGAACTTACTGCCGATATACTGAAATACAACATGAACGTCTCGAGGTTCTGGATCCAACTTCAAGTCAACTTCAAGGGTCAGAAAAATCTAAGATATTCTTCGGACTAACAAAACAATTATAGACCTCTCCATTCGGTTTACAGTAAACCTCTGGAGAGGTCAATAATTGTATACTGTATGTATCCCGACATATTCTCTAATTCCAGAAATCAATTGATTATTTGCAAGAACATGTTGCACGTGTGAGAGACATTGAGCTCCTCACTGGGTTTGAATTTTTCGTAAACACATCATTTGAAGATGCTGTTAAAATCAGAACGTTCCTACCGGGTCACCTGTGGAGCAGGGACAGTTGGGTGGAGGAACCCTGTATGGAGGAAATGAAATGCCCCGCAGGGTAAGTAAAATAGACATAAAAAGTAATATTATTTTATATTTTTATGTAAACACCACAAGTGGTAACACATTGTTATAGTCTCCACCTTTTTTATGACGATGGTTGGTGTCTGGCGTTCTGAGTTCAGCATCTGTAACAAATGGCAGGTAGTGACATTTTACATGTTAATGCTTTGTTAAAAGGTGTGGTTGATAATTGGGACATGGTAGCAAGTAAAATCTGCATATTATCTCTTATGCAGTGATAATATGGGTTATCAACCACATATAGGTAGCGATCTGAGGCACTTCGATCAGGGTGTTGTCGGGACAATTTCTCTTGTGACTTAGGTTATGTATTTAGGTCTATCTCAACAGATTTTACTGGTCTTATGCGCCGCAAATGGTGCGAAAGATGTTAAAATTGCATTTTCGACCCTAAAATTCAGATTTCTTGGGGGTACATTATTATTTAGCTATAAAACAAAAACTAAACAACCAATGCTTCTTTCTTTTAGTGTTTCTGTTAAGAGTAATTATATTTAAGATGCGTATGTAAAAAATTTGAAGAATTTTAACTTAATTTAAAAACAACAACATTTTTTCATCCTAAAATAATCGAATTTAGGGGGGTCGAGAGACACTAATCAGAATTGATATTTTAATTTCTCAATCAATCTTTGTTTAATATAAATGAAACTTTCCTGAAAATAGCACCAACATGTCCCCAGCATATTACCCATAAAGAAAAAACTCAAACTCTGATGTTTTTATCTATTAGAGTCAATTTACCTCTCCCCTCTTTCCCTTATAAAAGGGGTGTGGCCATTAATACACGTGGATTTAAACAGTAGCATGATGTCACATTAAATGAATACATGTACATATCATGTATTTTATCAAATATATTACCATAAGATATTTTCACTTAGGTGTATACATATAGTACATACCTGTGAATTATTTATAATACAATATTTATTCTATGTAGGCTCGAGATATAAGAATATTAAAAATCTGAAGTTGAATATTATCTAATACACAGTTCACAACTCAGTCATAATATTGATTTTACTCATTGTATGAATTTCTGTCATCACAAATGTAGTTTTTATTCACCAGAATATATTTGATCCACAAAGCTTTGTATTTCATAAACCTTCATTTTGATCTTCTAAAGTATCATCTTATACGATAACATCTACCAGGTCCTGTAGTAGAATTTTATCTGGATTTGACACCCATTGAAATCAAAATGGCCATCTTTCATCCTCCATCCATGTGACACAGGGGAGGGAATTGATGGGTAGGGGATGTGGGCAAGATTCCATATGTGTGCTTGATAACTGGCCCTTGCCAGATGAATGAATCTTTTCTGTAATGAATCTTTACATGGGGGTAGGAGGCTTATGTCAGTGCCTTCATAGCTTGTTATCACACTTGGAGCAGATTTTGGTCTTGGATAAGGTATATCTCAGCTTAATTATATTTGAACACTTTTTGTTTCGATACATCTGGCAAGTAAACTTCTCAGCACATTTAGCAGTTTGATCACTAATGACCCCTCCAATGGTGCTGAAACCTTTTTGAAATTGTACAGATATCATAAGTAATTTTAGGGGGGGGGGACAGTTTCCCCCTTCTCACAAAGGCATTGAAGGAATCACATCCAGTGAATGAATGGAAGGCTGGTAAAGCATTACAAATTTACAAATGTCTGAACTGAGCGCATTTCCTACTTCCTTTACATTAAAGGGGCAACAAGGACTGTAGAGAGAAAATTTGAATTTCTTTCTTTTTTCTGAGCTATCAGGTCAATATTTGGCTTAACATCTTCTTTGACATACCTATTTTCTGAAAATGTATGGATAAACTCTCAATTTAGAAGTGTAAATTCAGTTCAAAGCTTCTATATTTGATTTTTAAGATTCACCACGTTTCAAGAGGAATATCAGCTGGAATTATGTTCATCCAGGGGGTTTCTTTGTAGATAATAAAAATATATGTTAGTCTTGATGAAATATCCAAACTTAAATATATTTTGACACTGGTCGATGATTGTTGAATGCCCCCCCCCCCCCTGCACTAATTGTTGCACCTTTAATGAGTCATATGTGGTCTGCACTACCAGTGTCGAAAATTAATGGAGTTTGAATAAGATTGGAAAGTGCACAAGAAGTACAAAAACATCGCTACCTGGGGATCTCCTAACTATAGTTTTTTTCTGTATTTTCAGGTTCATTTCATGTTAATTGCATGGAGTATAATGTTTATATCTGCCTCTTTGTGGGAAGATTTCAGACTAGGTTCAACTCTATGTGTAACAGTAGTTCTATCACTGGTGCACTGTACAGATCTCACCACATGAATCTGTCTTTCTTTGAGTTTAGGAGCATTTTTATCTTTTTCCATTCTTCAAGGATCAACTGACTCAGCTGCATTTCATTCTCATCATTTAAAAGGAATTCCTTCCAATTGTTAGGAATCCTGGTATTAGGTCCTTTTATTATTAGCTTTTTGGAGACACGCCTGCGTATTCTTTCTGGTTCTTTAATTGAATCTTTCTTATAGGAAGCATCTGAAGGATCCTCTCTGCCAATAATCCAAATGTTTTGGGTTGCTCAGGAAGTATATGGAACAATGCATTGCCATCATAGACTATAATTGTTTTTTCTGGTTTGGGTCCATGTAATATTATATGTTTCCAGCTCATGTAATAATTTTGACTTTTCTGTTTTAACCAAGTGCCCATCAGGTGTTCCAAGAGCCCAGGGTATTGGACTCGGGGATATTCCAATATTCGCTTTAGACTGATACTATGCTGCTCTGATAAAATGACTTATACATGATTTCTGTCACAGTGTTGCGACAGCCAATCAGATTGCGAGTTCTTAATCGGGGAAATGGTAACTGCTTATTGCTGGGGGTAAAAAGAAAGAATATGTTCTGGATTTTGAAGCCCTGTGATCAGAGGATGGATATGAACATGAAGTATTTATTTTTAGATGAACATGCCAATATGGCCACGCCCATCTAAAAAGGGAAAGAAGGGAGAGGTAAATTGACCCCTATAGGCAAAAAAACATGTTAGAGTTTGAGTTTTTTCTTTATGGTAATGTGTTGGGGACATGTTGGTGCTACTTTTAGGGGTGTTCCATTAATATTAAACTGAGATTGATTGAGAAGTTAAAAAATCAATACCAATCAGTGTCTCTCAACCCCCTAAATTCTATGATTTTAGGGTGAAAAAATGTTGCTGTTTTTAAATAAAGTTAAAATTCTTCAATTTTTTTACATATGCATTGTAAGTATGATTACTCTTAACAGAAACACCAAAAGAAAGAAGCATTGGTTGTTTAGTTTTTGTTTTATAGCTAGATAATAATGTACCCCCAAGAAATCTGAATTTTAGGGTCGAAAATGCAATTTTAACATCTTTCGCACCATTTGCGGCGCATAAGACCAGAAAAATCTGTTGAGATAGACCTAAATACATAACCTAAGTCACAAGAGAAATTGTCCCGACAACACCCTGATCCAAGTGCCTCAGATCGCTACCTAATAGCACGACTCTTGGATTACAGTGTATATTACTTGATGGTATTTCCAACTCCATGTTATCAGCTCAAAGATATTGAATGTCAAGATTGGTGACATAGAGATTCAAATGTCAACTGGCATATTGTTTTTTATATTGACAGTGCAGGAGATTCCCCCTTAATTCAAGTGCTTGGTGTGGTCACAGTGGTACCACGTTTCAGATTAAGATAATGTCTAATATTTTATTTTTCATAAAATATATGAGGGCGGGGCTACTAAACTGTAATATGGTCTCTACTAGGCAGAGTGTAGTTTAACTAGACTCTGCACGCAGGGTACTGCCAAACCTGAACACATTGGTGCTTTTGTCAGTTTTCCTTAATTAAAAAGAATCCTTAATTAAAGAGATCATAAGATAATTTTGGCTCTTTAAAACACATTCAAAATAGCCAGTACAGTTTAAAATACATTGATTATTAAATTATGCTTCAATTTTATCAAGGTGAAAGGTAAAAGATAAAATGTGATAACATCTTTTGAAATCATGTAATAGAGGTATCAATCTAATTTTTCAAAATCATCATTGAATGAAATTAATTTGTTGATTGGGGCATGCACTTCAATAGAGTTAGGGTGACGTGACATAATAAATATAAGAGATGTGTAGATTAGAAATTCATGATATATTCACAATATAATGCGCAGTTTATGTCTGCCACCTCTGAACCTCTATATGTCATACTTAATTATTACGCCTTTTATGTTGCACCCTTTGTTATATATCTGTTATATGTCAAATATCAATTTTGTGTTATTTAAATGAGAAAATAATTGGTTCGGAGAAATGGTAAAAAAGAATCATTTTGATACTGTTTACCTCCTTTTATTCATAATTTTCCTCCCATGAAAACCTTTGATCTGCCAATGTAAAAAATTGTTCATTATACGGCTTGAAATATTTCTTTAGTGTCTCCATTGTCTCAATAGAAATTTCAGGATGGGATCTACCCTTTGTGCGTCCCATACACCGCATCCCTGTGTGATACTCTTTAATGAGGCAATGGAAGTTGGGCTTTTCTGGATTGACTGGAAATTTATCCTCTGAGAAAAAATGTTCAATTTTAAGGAATTGTTCTATTTTTTCAAGTTCTATCCATGGTGTTTCTATGAAAATGCCTGCATCAACCAAATGTATATTTTCTTTAGGGAATAACATTAGCCATCGTGCGAGGTGGCTAACATAAAAACTTTTTTCAAAATACTCTTTTCCTGTTCTTAAAGTTTTATTGTTAATGTGGAATATATACTCTTTAAATGACATTTTTCTTTGTCCATAATATTGATTCTGCACATAACCAGATATAAGTCGCTCTATAGGATCACGAACCATGATCAAAAATTTCACATTCTTTTCTGGATATGCGGCCAGAATCCTCTCTCTTGCATCTTGGCTTGTATAACAAAGTGTGCATCGTTCATAAATGACATTGTCTATTGAGACATTGGGCATGTGGGCCATGTGTTCTATATGTCCTAATTTATAGTAAGTGCTATAGAACTCAGCTAAAGTAACTTCCACCACCTGTGGATGATGAGTAAGAAAAGAGGTCATGGTACCAGTGCCACCTTTGAACATCCCGATGAGGATAACATCAGAGAGCCTGTGTTTTGTTATGCCAGATAGCTGTTCCTCAATTTCAGTTCTTTCTTCCTTCACCCGGGATTCAATCTCTAGCATGGAATAATTCTTTGTGTAAAGTTCCTGAATTTCCCCTGCATCAAGATTAGCATCAATGTCTTCCCTCAGATTGTTGATTATTTTGGAAGTAGTGCTTTTGTATACAATAATATAACTCAAAAACACAATAATAGTAAGGATTAATACCTTCATTCTATAATGCCTGGTGTTGAAACGCATGTTTCTTCGTTTTACTTATATAAGGTTAGCTATTTTGAAATTATACATTTCCACATTGATTGCAATTGAATGATTGGTTTATTGGAGTAAAACACAAAGGGTAATGTTGGAGGAAGGTTCAAAGAGGCCAGATTGTTAGCTATGCTGTTATCTGAATTTATTATTTTTTAAATGTTATCATGACAATTGCATGTAATTACAAATCTTTGTCAAGTTGACCTGTTCCTATAATTTTCATTCGAACATGACTATATTCACGCCTTCTATAAACTGTGAACAAAGTCCATATGTCACCCAGTATGTTTTTGTCATAACGGCGGCTGTAGTAATTGCGGGCCATAATGAATATTCGAAACTTTTGGCGAGTATTCATGTTCGAATCATAATAGTAGATCTCAGAGCAGGTGTTATATCAATGAATCATACCTTAGGGCTAGGCACAAAAGCTTCAGAACCCCTCACTCCCTCGGTCGTTCGGGTTACAGAAAATGTTTGTGCCTTGCCCTGCTGTTTGAATTAGTCGATATAACACCTGCTCTTTGGTGTATATTTCTTAATTCAGTCCTCCTAATTTGTCAGGTTATTTAAACAATATTAGAAGTAAACCATCCAAATTATCTTTAAGCATTAGTCATTTGATTCAATGATGTTGTATTTGATAACAAGATGTGTTGTTTGATGGCAGAATGTTGTGCTTGATGTGACATGCTGTGATATTTGATGAAATGGCTTGGTTATTGATGATGTGGCATGGTATTTGATAAAATGGCGTGGTATTTGATTACAGGATGTGGTGCTTGATGACATGATGTAGTAATTGATGGAAGAATGTAGTATGATATTTGATGAGAGTATGTGGTATGAAAGGATATGGTATTTAATGATATGATGTAATATTTGATGATGGTATGTGGTTTGATGACAGAAGAGGAATTTCAAGACATAATGTGGTATTTGATGAAGAGGATGTGGTATTTGATAACGGGGTGTAGCATTTGATGACATAATGTGCTATTTGATGAAGAGGATGTGGTATTTGATAACAGGGTGTAGCATTTGATTACATGATGTGCTATTTGATGAAGAGGATGTGGTATTTCATAACAGGGTGTAGACCAATTGATGATATGGGTGCTATTTGATGAACACTATGTGGTATTTGATAACAGGGTGTAGCATTTGATTACATGATGTGCTATTTGATCACAGAATTTGATCTTTACTTTGTTGATTTGGTATATTAGTTTATGATATTACGTCCATTCTGTAAGATTTCCTAGAAAATTAGTTTGCTGTTAGAAGGTATAATGTATACACAATCTGTGTGACATTTCATCATTGCTTTGGATTTTTGCAAAGTGATTCGAGGTTGTGTGACACTTGATAGAACCAATGCATGTGTGAATGAAAATAAGTTATGTAAGAAAATTAACTGTTGGTATAACATAGATTGAAAATTGCATACCATGATGCAAGTTTCCCAGATGATGATGTCTATTTCCCATATTATGATGTTAGTTTCGAATCATATAGTTTGACTTTTAACATGGATCGTGTATTGTCCAATTTTGATACAATATAAATTCCATACTTAGGGGGTAGGATAATAAACATTAGTCTGTGGAATAACCCCTTCATCTGTCTGCATCTATGTAATACAAAGTATCAATCTCTTTGCCATAATTTGTGGATATATGAAAATTGCCATACATGTAGGTCTGATCCTGTGCTTGTAATTGTATTCTTTTTATGTTGGTCCAGGCTGGTAAATTAAACCATTTGTCCCAGGTCATATTACCTTGTTTTATTTTTATTTTGGAGGAATCAATATTTAGTATACAGCTTCGTGAATAAATAAATAATCAGGTTACACAATTATTTTTAATAAGAAAAAACAAAATATTCTTGAAATACTTTCATTTTATTACAATTAAACTGTTCATTATATTCAAAACCATCTATAACCTTTAATACCTTAAAATAAACATAATGGGGCAATATAATTAGAAAATAACAAGAAAATGATCAAAGCTGAAGTAAAAATAAAGGAACTCGCTAAAGGAGTTCATAAATCAAGTCCTCGTCCTAAAATTAATCGTGAATTGTCGCAGCTTCTTACAATGATATCCTTATATGTCTATAATTTTGATTTTTCATGATATACCCTATAACCAAAAGTGTGACACATCTGTAGGCCCATGTAACACAAAAAAATGACTAGTCAAAGGCAATTTGCAATGCCTGTTTTTCCAGATGATTTAATAATTAATGACATTGTTGTGTGTAACATCATCAAAATTACATGTCTGTTGTGTCGTCCATTACTTGTAAAATGTAAATTGCTAGTCAATGTTTCATTGGCCTAACAATTTAGGCATTGAAAACATTATGCTAGGAGGTTTCTTAAACTGAATTTATAGTCATTAATCATAGTGTTCATACCACGAAAACCTTTGACCCGTTAAGGTAAAAAATTGTTCATTATATGGTTTTAAATGTTTCCTCAGCCTTTGCAATGTCTCATCAGAAATGGTAGGATGGAATCTTCCCTTTGTATGCCCCATACAATGCAATCCTGTTTTCCTATACTCAAGTAATAAGCAATGGAACTTCGGCTTATCTGGGTTGGGCTGAAACCGCTTCTCTGTGAAAAATTGCTCAATTTTAAGAAATTTTTCAATTTTTTCTAGTTCTATCCATGGTTTTTTGATAAACATATCTGCGTCTACTAAATGTATGTTTTCTCTTGGGAATAGCATTAGCCATTTTGCGAAATATTTCACATAAAAACAATGTTGAAAATAATTTTCTTCAGTACGCAATGTCCCATTAGCATGGAATACATACTCTTCAAAAGTCTCATTTTTTTGTTCTTTCATTTGTATTGTCTGCACATAAATAGATATTAGTCGCTCTAGTGGATCACGGACCATGACCAAAAGTTTCACATTCTTTTGTGGATATGCAGCCAGAATCCTTTCTCTTGACTCTTGGCGTGTATAACAGACTGTGCATCGTTCATAAATGATTTTGTCATCTGAGACATTGGGTATTGTGGCCATGTGTTGTTCAGGCCCAACAATGTAGTTATTAGCATAGTACTCATTCATATGAAGATGCACAACCTGTGGATGATAGTGTGAAAGCCATACTGTTATTGTCCCAGTTCCTCCTTTAAACATTCCGATGAGGATCACATCAGCAAGTCTGCGTTTTGTTACACCGATTAGTTGTTCTTCAGTCATATTTCTTTCTTTTTGCACCTGTGTTTCAATCGCTGTCATGGAATCCTCCTTGGTGTACAGTTTTTGAATTTCCTCTGCACTAAGACTCGCATCAGTTGCTTCAATATCTTGGTATTTGAATGTTTGCTCTTCGCTCACATTTTCTTTTTCATGCATCGTAGTTTCAATCTCTGTGATAGAATCATCATCTTTCCTGTACAGTTCCTGAATTTCCTCTGCCCTAAGACTCTTATTGGTTGGATCAGTGTCTTCTTTCTTATTATAAGCTGTAAATTTATATACAACTACGTAACTAAAAAACAGTACAACAATTAGGGTTAATACCCTCTTTCTGTAATACCTAGTAGTCATTGGGGGAAAATGCGTAACTTTAAAAAATGGTGTTCAAATGTTCCTATATGTTTCTTCTATATTATATATTGTTTGGCATGTTTGCTGTTGGTTTATTAAGCTTGATTACGTGACAAATCTAAAAAGCATGCAGCGTAGCAATGTTAGATCAATGACGTTTGTAACTACCATACTTTGACCCTCAGACATCCCCCTAACACAGCTTGCTTTTTAAATGTCAGACTAATTTGAAATAAATAAAAAACTTTGAATAGAAGCTTTTGTTAAGTGGTCTTAAAGGTCCAATGTAAAGGCTGAAAATATAGTTTAATCATTCATGTATTAATTGTTATTTATGACTTGAAAAACTATTTACATTACTATCTACATTTTTGGAAAAACATGACTGAAAAATAAGTTGTTCCTCTTACAATTTTCAAATATTTGAATTTTTTACTTTTTTAGAAACAGAAGTTGTTAGATCATCAACTACAACACGTAACACTGTAAAACACACTATTTTTCTCTATTCAATTGCATAGATCAGGCAAAAGTCAGAAGTGTGCCTAAGATTTAGACAAAAATGTGCTAAATTCAAATCCCTCTTTTCGGTCTTTATCTGCAAGGAAAAATTGCTGATTTTGACGTCAAAAAGTCAAATTTTCTGTAAATACTAGACACTTTGTTGATGTAGAACTTTCAAATAATTTGTAGTAGTTGCTGTATATGCAACTTATGTCCTCTGAAGATTTCAAAGCTCTTGGAATTACAGTTTTTGGTGTTTACTCTATAAAATTTGACAAAAAGTAGGACTTAAAAGTCATTTTCAGGAAACGTTCTCATGAATAAAGTCAATGGCAGGTTTTGTGATTGACAAGTTTCTCAAAGTTTGCCTTATACTTGATCATTTCTTGCAATGAATTACATCATTACTAGATTTAAGCATTTAAGCATGCTCAATATATGTCAGCATCAAATTTTTATCGCACCCTAAGGTGCTATATTGTAATTGGTTGGGCGGGCGGGCGTCCCGAATAATCTTGTCTACAGTTTTCCAGCCAAACCGTTTGAGGGATTCATTTGAAATTCTCAGGGATGTTTCTACCTATGAAAGTTTAGAACTGATTAGTTTTTCGGCATCTGGGTAAATGTTAAGGCGGCCATTTTGGATTTTCCGTCCTAAAATCTTGTCTGTCAAGGCTTGTCTACAGGTTTCCAGCCAAACCGTTTGAGGGATTCATTTAAAATTCTCAGGGATGTTTCTACCTATGGAAGTTTAGAACTGATTAGTTTTTCGGCATTCTTTGTAAATGTTAAGGCAGCCATTTTGGATTTTCCGTCCTAAAATCTTGTCTGTCAAGGCTTGTCTACAGGTTTCCAGCCAAACCGTTTGAGGGATTCATTTGAAATTCTCAGGGATGTTTCTACCTATGAAAGTTTAGCACTGATTAGTTTTTCGGCATTCTGCGTAAATGTTAAGGCGGCCATTTTGGATTTTCCATCCTAAAATCTTGTCTGTCAAGGCTTGTCTACAGGTTTCCAGCCAAACCGTTTAAGGGATTCATTTGAAATTCTCAGGGATGTTTCTACCTATGAAAGTTTAGAACTGAATTAGTTTTTCGGCATTCTTGGTAAATATTAAGGTGGCCATTTTGGATTTTTCGTCCTAAAATCGTGTCTGTGAAGGCTTATTTTAAAAAATAAAAAAGAATTTATCATTGAGATCAATGTTAAATTAAAACATTTTTTTAGAAATAACTAAGAAGTCAATCTTTCCAATTTTCACATATTTTGTAATACATCAGTATATCTTTTACTAGGATTTTTTTCAGGAAAATCTGAATTGAAGAAAAAAAGCTGATACTCTGTGAAGTAATACCTTAAAACGTGTCTCTTGAGAGTTGTTTACAGGTTTCATGGATTCATCCTAAAATTTTAGAGATGTTTGTATGGAAAGTTTAGAACTGATTAGTTTTAGGCAGTCTGGGTAAATGTTAAGGTGGCCATTTTGAATTTTTCATCTCGAAAAGTGTATTCTGTTCAAGTAAAAATAAGTTATTTTTCAACTTGCTTCAATTTGACCAAATTTCTTTTAAAAATCATCTACAAGTTGCCAGGAGTTCGAATCTGACATTAGTTTTAGGATTTTTGGATGTAAATTTTGGTCAGCTTAATCACAAAAGACCTTACTGAGCTCTGAATAAGTAAAATTTTCAAGGTCAAAGGTCATCAAACCAGGTCACACAACTGTGCTAACTAAGTTTCTCAAAACTCGAGACTACAAATCCAAATCAACGTTTTTGTTTGAAAGTCAGGATATACATTCCTCTGAAGGTTCCAAACTGTGTGAGCACAGGACCGTGGGTCCTTTATTTTCTCTGAATCACCTTTCTTGTTAATTTTTAACAAATTTTCTTTATTTTTCTATACATTTCCCACAAATGTTGAGTTGTGTTGGTGAAGTAGATAAGGGGGAGGTCCACAGTCTTGAAGCAAGACTTGCCTAAACTGTCATAATGGCATATATGGGTCCTATAACCATCATTATGACCATCAGTGGGCCTTCTGTTTTCTCTCTGGTCATAATACCTTTAGAATATCTTGTATTTTTGTCATGTTTTGATTTAATCAATTTATATACATTTTATTTTTGTAATCTCCATAAGTGTTCAAGTATTACAATCACAGTGTTATACCCCATTGAGCTTCTCTACTGCAGCTTAATGATATTAGATTGAACTTCAAGTTTACTTATCTCTCTACTTTCAGTTTCTCCCTCCCTCCTGTTATCTTGGTCTGTCTTGATGGGTTTAGGGCTGACTATCTGTTGAGAAACTTCACACCTACCTTGGGCAAGCTAGCAAGCTGCGGGACCCATGCCCCATATATGCGGGCTGTCTACCCAACCAAGACATTTCCAAATCATTATTCTATAGTAACAGTAAGTTATGATTAATTGATGCACAGTAAAATCTGTCTAAGTGGTACACATTTGGTACTCCTCAAAAGTGTTCCACTTGGGGGTGTTCCACTTTAGAAGTTTATTTATCATTAAGTCAGTTGATCTTGGGACTCTGGAAAGTGTTCCACTTCTAGAGGTGTTCATTTTTACAGGTTTCACTATATGCACATGATCATTGTTTCTGGGGTTTGTATATTGTTAATGGCATTAAAAGATTACATGTCATAGAAAATTATAGATGTCACATGGAAAATGGTCTATGTTTATGACTATTCAAAGTGGGTAAATGTAGGGCGGATCTGCTAATATTATTCAGCTTATTATGTCATCACCACAAGTGGCCACATATTTTTATATTCTCCAACTTTTTTGTGGATTGTGGTAGGTGTTTGGCGTTCAGTGTCTGTAACAAATGGTGAGTTGTGACATTTTGCTCTACTGCTCTATATCTTGTTCTATTTAGGGCTTGTATCCAGAATCTCATGGGATCATTGACAATAACATGTATGATATGAAAATGAACAAAAGGTTTAGCATAAGCAGCTCAGAGGCAAGAAATCCAGAATGGTGGAAGGGAGAACCAGTAAGAGAAAATTCTATATCTACCAGTTTTCAATTTTATCCTTGTTTGAGTGTTAAAGTTCACAATAAACCATCATGAAACTTTAAATGTTGATATACCTATTTTATGATCATGGAAATTTATGCAGTCATTGATTTACACATTTATGGTCATGATAAATTAGTCATTGAATCTAGAAAATTTGGAATCCTCTTTTCAATGATATGATAAGCTTTATCATGGGCTTTCATTACTTTATCTCTCACTGATCTAAAGTAATGATTCTTTATCCAAAAAAAAAATTTTTTAATACATTTTCCGTTGGTCTTGAATAGGCTAAGAAATCCGTTTCAAACAATTTGAGATTTAACTTGAACTTGAACAAGTAGGCTTAGCACTTATTTAGAATTCAACGTCATAAAATGAATTTTATATTTTCTCATGATTTCTAATGTGTGTTTATAGACACTCATCCTTTAAGTTGAAATGTAATCATCATTGTATCAGACGTTTTGAATTACTGTCAGCGCTTATTTTCTTAGATCTGGAACACCCTTCAAAAGCAAAACAAAACTGCAGCTACATTCTTCTGGCCAGGCTCAGATGTAAAGATAAAAGGTAAATCCATTCTTATTTACTGGAACTGGTCTAGCAGACCCCCTTTTATTATGTCACTACCAGAACTGGTGACATATTGCTATAGTCTGCAACTTTTTGTTGGATGGTGTTTGGCGGTCACAGTCGGTGTCTGTGACAAATCCTTACAACAGATGATGACATTTTGTCATCTAAGCACCTTGTTTAATGCTATGGGTTTCTTTGGAAAGTTCAGGACAAAGTGGTTGTGTATATCATTGGGCATGACATATTGTGTATCATTGGGCAGAATACTAGTACCTCTTGGCTCTTTATCTACCTGCTGTCTTCAAGAGATAGTTGAGCCTGTGGATACCACAAAGCTAAGCTCTCTTTTTAGTAAATAAACTTAATCATTGAAGACTCAATATTCCTAATATCTAACATCTCATAACATTTTCGAAACATGAAAACAACAAGGTTTAATTCATTGTTAATGAATTAGACTTATTTACTTATTGGTCTTTGGATAGTTAATCAACAGTTGTATTTTAATACCCTTTGGCATAACATTCTCAGTGATCAATATATTAGAATATATTAACTAATAAATAGTAAATGATTCTAACATTTTTGATCCCCTTTAGCTAATGTACATTTGGGTCTTACTAAATGTTAACAAAAAACTTCAAAAAGTGATTTTAATGACTTTTTGGTCCAAAATAATTAAAGTTATTGGTCCAGATAAATTCAAGAGCAAATAAAAAAATAGGTTGACATTTTAACTCAATTGATCTCTACCCTGTTCACTGGAAATTATTACTAAACAATTTTATCATTGGATTGCATAGCAATATTGGGTGTAATAATATGGTGGCACTATAAGATCTACAAATCTCTTGTAGTTAGTATGGCTGAAAATTCAAATATCGGAAAAATAGAACTCCCAACAAGTTTAATTCAAAATTAAATTCTTTTAAATGTCTAAAACAAATTCAAAAGAAATGAAAAATAATATTTAAATGATTAAAATATATTTTCAGATTTTGCAAGAGGTCTTGAAATGTTTGTCAAAAAATGATGCACTAAATAATGAGAAATATTTTGCATTTCAGGAATGTATCCAAACTACTACAAACCTTATGATGGGTATGTATGTTTATTCAGAAGGCCTAAATTATTATAATTTGTAGTCAAAAATGTTGATATAGTGTTTTGTCTCTTATTCTTTAAAACCTTCAAGGCCATATTTGTGAATCCCTTTCGATAACAAGACCATAATTATGCAAGCATTATTTGAATTAGCGGAATCTTTAACAGGATTGAAATGGCCTGGGAAAAGTCACTAAAACCATGGACTTTCAACTAGAAATTGAGAGTCCATGGTACAACTAAGATGGTTTCAGAATTTCTTCAAAATTGGCTGTCATGGTCAGGGAATTTGAGAATTCTGTAAAAAGTCAGACTGAAAATTTGAAAATTGGGCTAGAAACTGAAAAGATACATGAAATAAGACAGAAAAATTGAATGGAAACTTCTAAAATTGTATATACCTGCAAGTCTGTGAACTTTCTCATTTACCTAAATTTTTTGTTGATAAATATTTTTTTTATTTCAGAAAGATTTCCTACCAGGCCCGTATTGATCAGATTTTGACTTGGCTTGATTTACCTGAAGGGGAGCGGCCTGATTTCCTCACTCTGTACTTCAATGAACCAGATTTAGCAGGGCATATATGGGGCCCTGAGAATAAACCTGCTGTAAGTTATGTAATCTTTAAGCTAGAATCAGAGGTTGTATAAAATGCCAATCAACAACCATGAATTTGAATCAATGTGTTCGGTTAATTGAAGGAATTTGATATATTGTATATTCAAAGCTACAAATCTATATTACAATATTTTCAAAGCTTTTTCAATTCAACATAGACATATTCAAAAGTTGATGGACTGAACCACCTTATATTTTTAGTGTAAGTAATGTTATCTTAAGAATTAATTAACTGGTGAACAATCTGCAAATGTTAAGGAGTCACAATATTATAAAGATTGAACTTCAGATTTATTGGGAATCTGAAGTGCTCAGTAAATTAATAAGTGTATCTAATATAGTTAAGGGGTTACTTTATTACAGTTTATCTACAGATTATTCTTCAACTTCTGGCAGCTATAAATCAAACCGCGTGAAATGTCAGCTTTCAAATGCAATTAATTCTCGTCTCGAATATCTTTTCAAGCTAGACGTATTTCATATGAAATATGCTGATCTTTCCATACAGTGAACACATTGAAGGAAGCTAACATTGTCATATTTTCATTATTTGTAATACACTATTGTATGTCACATAATACATGTGCCACTTGATTCTTCCCTCCCTTTAAGTTGAAACTGCAAAACACTTGGTCCTTTTGAGTTAGACCTTGATCTTTTAACACTTGTTTCAATGAAACCAACTCGACGAACAGACCTCTTCATGCATTTACCGCAGAACATTCTCTTACACTCCTGGAAGAACTTGTCCCCCAGTATGCAGTAAAGAACAAAATTGATGCAGCTATTGAATGTGTTCAAGAGGCTGGCAATCGTGTCGGCAAGATCACGAGATGATTGTGGTAGGACACAGACTTCTATCTCACATGACTTGAACAGTTCACGTTGAATCAAATCCATGAAGACCGAGACGCATTTTGGTAGATTGCACACCATATATACTAGAACAATCCCGATTAACATGACAGTGAGGTTGCGATTCGACCTCAGTGGAAAGTTCAGCATCCTTGAACTGACTTTGGCAGATTTTTTAACGTGTACCAGTAAGAGTGTGTTCATCACAGCGATACAAAGCCAGGGGACGATATACCAGAAGATAGGAATCAACAGCTTGTGGAAGATACACTCATAGTTTGTTTTCAGGCCAAAAGGTGTCGCCTGAGTCAGTGTGATACGTTGTCCATCTAAGTTCATTGAGATGACATTATATGTGAAGAAAGTTGGGAGAGTAACAATGGTGATGATGCCATATATTGCACCAATGATGACTCGGGTGAAGATGACATCACAATGTCTCTTGATAGAGAGTGGGCACGAGATTGCCATGTACCTCTCAGTTGTCAAAGCAGTAGTGATCAAACTGGAGGCCCCAAGAAAGATAAAATGAAATGGTTCTATGTAGACTTCCACATAGCCATTCAGCCAGAAGCGTGCTTCCATGTAACTCTCCTCTGAGAGTAGAATGTAGTAGGCTTTGTAGCGGAACACAGCTGTCAGCACAACGAACATATCACTTATCGAAAGTGCTTGTAGATACGTCGCAGTTGTTGAAAGTCTCAACCTTTTCCGACTTAGCACTATCACTGAAACAGTGTTGCCAATTAGTCCAAATATGGCCATTGTTATCCAAAGTGCGTAACAAACTTTCATAAATGTCATATGTGTGTAAATACATGCTGCCAATGTGGGTTGCTCTGTTGTCATATTTCTCTCTTCAGCTAATATTTCCATATTGTTATTTTCCTTTATTGAACCTTTTAGCTTTTGTGTTATGGTCTGAATCTATTACTGAATATAACTTATTAGTGCAAATTATGTTTCATAAGTCTCCTAGAAGTCTCCTTCCATAATCATTTAATATTAATTGTTATGTAACAGTCATTTACATTATGTAATCAGTCTTCAGATGTGATATGTATGACATTTGTAGCTGGAACATGTGCCTTTCTTTTGCAACATTTACAAAAAGTCCTCAAAAATTCTCTTCGAAATTTCGCTCCAATTGTACAATAGAGAATGAAATTGATCCCACTGTTGAGGATATTAAGGGTGTTTCCAAACACCCTAGCAACCTGGTAAGGGTCATCAGGCCCCCAGGGGCTCTCAGATCCAGGCTCACATACATCATTCTCTGTTTCCTTCTTCACATGGATGATAACGATGACGCAGAGTGGGAGGTTGCACACCATGTAAGTGATAGTGATGGCGATAAGTAGCCTAGTGAGATGACGATGCGGATTCATGTTGACAAAGTCATGCACTGCTACTGCATTGATACGCCTCGCTGACATCCTAACATGGTGAATCAGTAATGCGTTACAGACTGCTAAACACACCCAGGGTATCAGGTACCAAAATATTGGAATGATGTAACTATGGAAAAAGCATGTGTAGTGCGAAGTTTCCTTAAAATCAGTTGCATCTATTATATTGATTGTCTGATTCAAAAATGGTGGTTTTAGTGATATAATCTTATAGTCAAAAAAGTTGGGTATTGTTAAAGCCAAAGCTGTGATCAATATTAGTATTATAATAAAAAATGTTACTGATTTGTTACAAAATGGTTTGATCTTCATGGGAAATTTCACTGCTAAAAAGCGCTCAACTGTCAGTGCAACAGTCAACATGCTTGTGGTGCCTAGTGCAATCCAATGAAATGGTTCAAGATAAACATCAATGTATGGCTTGTTGGTGACCTCATACATGAAATAGTCCCATCTGGTCCAAAATATTGAAAATGTTTCATAACGGAAAATCGCAGTCCAAAGAACGCACAAATCGGCAATAGATAAGGCTGTAAGATAGGTGGCGGTAGTGGTGTTTCTCAGGCCAGGCTGTAACCAGACTATTATCGCAAGAATGTTCCCGATTGTTCCCAACACAATTATAATGTTCATTATAATCCCATAACATATGTGCTGTTCATTGAATTCTGATGCTTCCATTGTCTGAAATGTCAGTTTCCGTTTAAGTTAGAATAGTTTCTCTTGCATTACTGAAAATATTTCATTTAATTAAAGATCGGACTTGTGCTTCATCTACATCTGAAAATATGGTGCAAGCTGCCAATTCTTGTTCCTTAAGTGTTTAAAGCGTAATTATGGTGAGATTGAGACATAATAAAACAATAGAAATGTGTCATAAGCCAATTACTTAGCTACCATTGGAGTGCAGAACTAATATTAACAAAGCATTCATGGAAAAGAAAACTTCCATACACGGTCATTCCACATATAAGGAGACATTTAAGGTTCCAAACTTTTGAAAAATGAACTTCGTTTCATTGCATTCATTTTAAGATTTTGATTTTGTTTTATGTATCCTCTATAGAATCCCAAAGTTTTGGCATTTTAACTTTTATATATCAAAAGTTACACTATTTTGAAAATAAGAGGTGTAAAATTATAAAAAGCGTATAGTTTAAGATTCGTTCTCGATACCTCTTTTATTCTATGGAGATTTTAGCTAACTTGGTATGCGATGTCTTCCTCAGGTAATCTCTTTTCTATAGATCACTAAGAAACAAAACTATAAATTGCATTTGGGAAATCACTAATCATTTTAATCAAGAAATAACATAAATTTACGTTGTAATGCATAAATACAGTCGCTTCTCAAAAAAATTATTTTACAAAACGCAACACTGTCTTGTATTCTCATGATGTTTAACACAACATGTGAAAAGTTATTTTGGGCATACAATGAAACTATGAGATTTCGCTTTCAAATCATCATATATTTGTATGTGGCAAAGACATCTAGTAATAATCAGAAATAAGTTAAACTTGTCAGTGCAAAACAACGTCGCTTAAAGTAAAAATTGACGCAATTGTTAATCCACCGAATCTTTCTCGATCAAAGTCTTAAAACACAAGCTCCTGTCCATTGTATTGTCACCATAAACCATTTTATATCTATTAATAGAGATAAAAAAATTACTTTGAAAATAATAACGTATCTTAATATCATTATGAAAACATTTTAACTCGATCAATATCATTTATTTATTTGTTTAGAAGAATATAAACTCGTGATATGACCAACTACAAACAAAAACAACTTCTTAAACAACAAAACATAAAATGCTTCATATATAATAGCAGAGGCAAATGAAAGGGAACGTCGCTTAAATCTTCCTTTACAAATGTCAAATGTTTACTTCGCCGGAATACGGCTTTAGCCAACGTTTTCACTAGATGTGCTCCACTTTTGCAAGATCAATTGCATGTCACTGGCGGCGATTTTCATCATCTTATTTCAATTGTTTTCCATTTAGCTCAGCAGGGGGCACATAGTATCGTCTTCTTCTGATACGTTCCTTTTCAAGGTATTTTTGTCCCTCAATTCTTTTCTTTCTCTACAGTGCGTATCAAAAAAACGCAGATTGTTATCTTGGAAAAACACAAAACCAGTGATAACAGCATTGATTTCATTCAATGCACCAAAGCCATGTGTCTCCTCTTTACAATGATATATCATTCATTGATATTTGGTCATGGTCGGGTGAGTAATCATTCCATTTGAAAAGTGGGCCAAAATTAGCTTCGGGCCAAGTTATAAACATTGCAAAAGTCAGTGTACGGACTACGGAGCCCGATGCAATATTGGACGAAAACGTAAAACCAATGCTGACTGCATCCTTTTAATTCCATGTACCAAAAAGCCAAATTACTCCTCTTTGCAATGAAATATCATTCATTCACAGGGAGTCATCTCTGTCCGAATAATCATTAATTTTGCAAAGTGGGGCAAAATTCAGCTCGGACCCAAGTTTAAAACATTGCAAAAGTCAGTACAAGGGGCATAGGGGCTATTGGAAGAAGGTGTGACAGGTATGGCATAGACAGTAAAGTGTTCATACTCATACTCTTGCAAGAATACATCCTATACCCCTTCAAATTGCCACCACTTCCTTGCACATAAAGATGCGCTCATCTGTCCACGTCATGCATGGTTCAGCCCTAAATCATGTGTGGGTTAAAGCAAAGAAAAGCAGCCCATGGGCAAATCTTTCTCGAGGTTTTGCAATATCTGGTGGAGGAATTGTGAGGACAGATGCTCCTGAGATAGCTCCAAAAGAAAAAGTCACAACAATTAAAGTCAGGGGAACTTCCATTGGCACTTAGCCCTTGTACTGATTTTTTCAATATCTAAAACTTGGCGCAGAGCCGATTTCTCACCCAACCATTACCACATGTGAATGAATGACATATCATTGCAAACAGGCGAGACATGGCTTTATGGTACATTAAATGAAATTGATGTAGTCATTACTAGTTTTGTGATTTTACGAGATAACAACTCGTTGCGTTTTTTTGATACGCCCTGTATAATTCTTTTGAATTTCTGCTTTAGTCTTGGCCATATTCTGCAACAAATTGTGAATTCCCGGGTAAGTTACCACTGTTAAGACAGAAATAAAACAAGTATTAAGTGACGTTATCAAAAGCAACGTACCTTAATTGATATAAAACTCAAGTCGTATGTGATTTGGGAAAAAAATTGACATCATGTTTTAACAATGACCAATTAAGTTGTTTATTTAGAATATCTTTCAACCGAATCGGGATATCCTAGATCTTTGATTAACCAGCTTTGCTTAGGCAAAAGATACAGGTGTTGTACTTACGCGATTGCTGTATTATTTAGGGATTATTAGGAAGAAATCCCTACTCCTTAGACTGCAAATAAAGTATGGCGTATCATGAGATCACGTGATGACCTCCTCCACTTGAGTAAGTAGCATTTATTGCTGAGTTATCAACTTATTTCGCACTTTCCGTAACGTACCTTATTGCAACGTACATGAGGAAAACTCATTACATGTTCCAATAAAGCAATATAACAGAGCGAACAAAGGTAATGAGCACATTGTATTGAATGTCCGCCTTTTCATATTCAAGAATTTATTCGCTAATTCCATCAAGATATTACAAAATGTTGGGAAATGTTGTAACGTACCTTAAAATCCTTATCTTTTGAATTGAAAAATGACACCTTTATGACCTATAACTTTTGTTCTGGATAGAATACAGTTTTTAAACTTTGCATGCATTTTGATAAATCATTTTCTGATAAAATATCACTCTGGGTTAAACATTTAAGTAATTCGTGCATTCTCTAGAAATTGAAATATCTAAAGTGGTATTTTAGAAAAAAACTGGCGACATGGGTTCCGGGCATCTGATTATTAGGTTGGAAAGGATTAAATTACTCGAAAAGTTGGGAAAATAAAGTATATACCCACAGGTATCTTTTCAGGAAGTTTGGATGTGTTCTGAAATCTATAACTACTTCAGTTATGCTTATAAAACATCACTAGGCACTCTGGCGACATAACGTACCTGAGGAATTTGTCATCAAATTAAGTTAGAAAAAATTCTCACTTACTACCAAACAATTAAAATTTGCTGTATGGTGGTTGTACAAGTGGGTATTGGTCCTAAGTAGATGTTCTTAAAAAGTTTCTATATATATCTATTAACGCTTGAGAAAAAACCCTTGGCGACACGAATGTCTGCTTATATGTGGAATGACTGACAAACAGATGTTGAGAATATTAAATAACCTCAAACTATTTAAGAAATTGAGTATTCATATCCCAGGATTCATATCAAGTAAGGTATTTGCATTTGAGTCAAACTTCTTCAAAACCTTCATTTTGGGTTATGCACTATAATTATCTCATTGCCATATTTCTCATCCTGTGATTTGTTGAACAGATATCACACAACATAAATATCCTGTGATATTTCCCTGTGGTGCTTATAGTTCATTGGTAAATAAATGAGCCTCCCTTGTTACAGAATGAGTCAAACATAAAAGTATAAATAATAAAATATTTTGCTCTATTTTGGTGAATTCCTGTGTCACTTTCATAAATAATATTCCCCTTGTCCTCCAGGTCTTCCCCTCAAAGCAACAAAATATTTGCATAATGTATATTGTTTTATTTTCAGATGCGTGATATCTTGGAAGAGGTGGATGGATATATTGGCAAACTGATGAATGGTTTACTACACAGAGATCTCCATAACTGTGTCAATATCATAGTGGTAGCAGACCATGGTACATTCACATTATTTCTTTATTGTTTATATAGGTTTCATTCTTGAACCTGTTTTGATTGTTTTATGATTTGTAATGATTACAAAAATTCTTTTTAATGAAAAATCTTATAATGCTTGGTGATAAAGGATTGCCATAAGGTATGTACTAATAGAAACTAAATTAAAATGATTGAGGATAAAAGATCGACCTAGGTTTATATAAACGTATCAAGTTGAGATCGAACCATATGGTTCACCTTAGAACTAGTATTCATTTGAGATTTGTGTATGGGAACTATATCCATGGATGATATGAATTTGAATTGTTATGTCACCAACAAAAGTGGTGACATATTGTTATGGTTTCTGTTTTTTTTGTAATGGGGGTTGGTGGTTGGCAGGCGGCGGGTGGCGGTTGGTGGTTGGTGTCTGTAACAAATTCTAAAAATGTCTAATAACTTAACAAATACTGTTTAGACTGACTTCAATTTTTTCAAAATCATGTACAAGTTCTCAGAAGTTCTTTGACTTTAGATTTGAGATTTGACCTTCAATGACCTTCTCAAAGTCAAAAAGGTCTTTTTTCAGCAAGGCTTTACAATATTATATCTGTATATTAGGAATGGCTGAAACAAACTGTGACCAAGTTGTGGTTCTGAAAGACTGGCATTATCCACTGAACAATGTGTATGTCTGGGAAGGACCATTTGGACGCATAGCCAACAAGTACAAATATTCCAGTGGCGGTATGGCACCTCTAAATGAAACTGAGCAAAGTAAGAAAAATCTAAGAATCATGACTTATAATATATTTAGAAATAATATTGAAGGTGTAAAATCAAGTCAAGGAAGGTTGTTGTCTTGTATTGACATTGTTCTTAACTTGACTGTGTGTGTGAAGACCTTAAGAGAAGGTATTTATCTATATGGCCTTAAAGGGTGGCACATATCGTTTAGCAAATCGAATGCTCGTTTCTGGTGTTGCACACTGTTTAGTATAAAAGGCCCGATCCCAGAACAATACTCAAGGGTTCACGGGCTCGAGGTCATTGAGTCAACACCTCTAACTGTTATATAGCATTAGTATATTATACATCTATTAAAGGGAGATTTTTATTTTGACAAATCAATTTCACATTTTTGGGTGAAGTTTCGGGATCTTCTATTTGTGTATAATAAGGAAAAATTGTCATCTAAATTTCCCCATAAAGTATAACACAGCTTGGCATATGAAATATCCTCCAAATGAAAAAAAGCATTTTACTACGTAAATTAATATCACTTACCAATTATGTCATTACAATATGCTAAAAGCTACCATAGTCACCTTTTATTGGAACAATTATTTTCTACTTTCACTTTCACTTTCGGTTTCCCGGAAGCCCCGCCCACTTTACGTCATAGTTGCGCATGCGCACCATTCATTTTTCTACCATTTTGAAAGTCACACAAAATTTTCAAAAGTGCGATAAATTGGTCCAAAAACGAGCGTTACAAGTCTACTATGTCGACGAATACAACGCAGTTCGATACAACAGAAGGGGTTAATACCCAGGGTGATCAGCGAGTTAGCCCAGCGCGCTCGGACAAAGGTAAATCACCGGTTGTGAAGTCTAAAGTTCTAGAAAAAGTTCGGCGTGGCCGTAGAGAAAGTCGAAGTAATTCAACTTCAAGTGGGTCAGACTCTGACACTTCGTTTAAAAGACGTAAAAAACATCGTCACAGAGATTCGGCTTCTCCTAAACGGCGACGTCACAGAACTAAATCTATTTCCTCAAGTCCGAGGGGTAGATACAGATCGAGATCCAGGTCTAGATCCAGGTCTAGACCAAGGAGATCACGTTCTCATTCCTCAAGTCCGAGGGTGAGATACAGATCTAAAGATAGACTTCACAATCGTAAAAGGTCTAGATCTAAGTCCAGGTCTAGATACAAGTACAAACATAGATCAAAGTCCAGGTCTAGATCAAAGTCTTTGTCCTCAAGTCCGAGGAAAAGACACAAATCTTCACATCATAGATCTGCTTATAGGTCTCATAGATCTCCTTCTTTAAGTCCAAAGAAGAGGTACTATCGTAAACAATCTCCTTCTATAAGTCCTAAAAGGAGACGTTACAGAAATGATAAAGATTCACCCAGGTACGATAAGTATCAATGGGAGAGAGATCAATTTATCAATCCGAGAATTGATCAAAGACAGGAAATGTTTCAGAATTTCTTGCAAGACCAGCAAGTTCTGAGAGCGATGTATGCAGGATCATCTGCATACATACCTCAAAATATTTCCAAGAGAACACAGTCAAGGCCATGGTCTGTGAATGATGATCACACTCAAGTAAATGATGATCACATACAAGAACAGGATGATCACATTCAAATAAATGATGATCAACAATTTAAATCACCTCCTACTCTTACAAGAACCATTTCTCTTAATAGAGATGATGATTCAGTTACTATAGAGTTGGAGAATGATGGTGAACAGGAAGATCCTGATACTAAGCCATCAAATGAGGTGGCAAGAGCCAAATTAGAATTTTTGGCAGCCACTGAAGTCGTTAAAAAATCTTTCCCTGAGATAGCAGAGATGTCAACACCTAAGAATAAGGTCAAATCTTGGTCTCTAGTGAAAGATAAACCTTCAGTATTGACTAATTCTTTACAACTGCCACTTTGCCCAGGTGTAAAGAATAACTTGATTGAAGGAGTCAAAATCTTTAACGACTTACCCCAGGATGCCTTTTCCAAAGATTTACCAAATCTTTGTAAGAAAAGATACAAACTTCCTAAAGCCTTATACCAAATCGTACCAGATGAGGATAAGTTTGAACCCTGCAAAATAGACGAAGATTTTTCGTCCATTGCCAAACCATTCAAGAAGAATGATTCGCAAAAGGCCAAATTAGACCCTCATTTTGCGAACCTGTCATTGAAGACATTGACAGATTGGGAGGGTGTGTCTAGAGAAAATCTAGTTACTTCCTCTCACACTGAATGGTTCATTGGTTCTGTTAAACCACTGTTTGAGGATCTGTTAAAAGAAGAAGGAATGGATCCTTCTTTATGTCAGAAAATAGAACAGGCTTTGACATTAATTAAAGCAGCTGGTCACTGCATTGAGGATGGGTATCGTCTTAATGCTTTTTTGCTCAATCAAATAGTAGCATGCAGGAGACATTCTTACCTTTCCATGAAGGCGGATAAAGATATCCCCTTTGCAGATCTCAAAGAACTTATGACTCTTGAGCCCCAAACTGGGAAGTTGTTTCAAGACAACTTGGCCAAAGTGAAAGAAAATTTGAGGAAAGCTAAAAATGATATAGCGCAGAATCAAATTCTAGACTACACCTCTAAAAAGGAGGACAAAAACAAACCCAAAACTTCCAATAAGTTCCAGAACAAAGATAGTTCTTTTCGTGGAAAAGGACGGGGTTCAAAGGGTTTTCCTCGAGGAAGAGGCAGAGGTAAATCTGTCGGTAGAGGAAAGTCCACTGATAAACAGTGACTTATTCCAGGTCGAAAATTACCTCCATACATCGTCAAACGACAAAGTGGGTGGGAGGTTGATGGAATTCTGGCAGGAATGGAGTCAAATAAATGCTTCGGCAAAAGTGATAAACCTTTTAAAAGAAGGCTATTATCTTCCATTCAAAGAAAAGCCAAAGTTACAAAAGACTCCCCTTTGGTCAGAATTCCACAATCCTCTAAAAAGAGAGGCAGTTTTCGACCTAATCAACACTCTCCTAGAGGAGAATGCTATAGAACAAGTAGAAGACATTTCTTCCCCAGGGTTTTACAGTCGAATATTTCTGGTTCCAAAAAAGTCATCCGACAAATGGAGACCCGTGACAGACCTGTCAACTCTAAATCTATTTCTGAATGTCCCATCATTCAAGATGGACACTCCAGAAATCATCAAAAGAAATCTGGAGAAGGGAATGTACATGACTTCTATAGACCTTCGACAGGCCTATTTGCATGTCCCTATCGCCAGGTCTCACCAGAAATATCTGAGATTTGCCGTGAAAAATCGGGGAGTCTTCCAATGGAAATGTCTTCCATTTGGTCTAGCAACAGCTCCTTTAATTTTCACAGAGATAGTTTCTCAGATCAAAAAATTCCTTCATTCAATAAATATAAAGATGTTCCAGTATCTCGACGATTGGATGATAATAGCATCATCACACCAAGTAAGTTCGGAGAACACAAAGACTGTGTGCAACTTAACGAAAAAGTTAGGCTTTCTCCTAAATCTGGAGAAGTCAGAGTTAAATCCAACTCAGCAACTTACTTACCTGGGCTCACTTTACGACCTAAAGAAAGGTCTAATTTTACCCACTCAATACAGAGTGAAGTTACTCGAAACAGAGATACAGCGTTTCCTAGCGAAACCTTTACAAACAGCAAAATTCTGGAAAAGAATTTTGGGTCTCCTAGCGGCAACAGAGAAAATTGTGCCATTAGGGAGATTGTTCATGAGGGAGATGCAATACGATCTCCAGAGAAATTGGAATGCCTCAAAGGACATGAACATTTTGATTCCATGGTCCAAAATGACAAGACAAGACTTAGTCTGGTGGCTAAACAAGGACAATCTTGTGAAAGGTGTTCCGATTCAAATGCAGAATTCAGTAGATCTAAAACTGTTCACAGACAGTTCAATGACAGCTTGGGGAGCACATTTAGAAAATCTAGAAGTTTCAAAGATGTGGTCCAAACAAGATCTGAACCTGCACATCAACATGAAGGAGTTGATGGCAGTAGAGTTAAGTCTCAAACATTTTCAACCTCAAGTACAGGGGAAAAGGATACAAGTATCCTCAGACAATGCATCCACTGTGGCCTATTTGAAAAATCAAGGCGGCACACATTCTTACCAGTTATTCAAGGTAACAAAAAGAATTCTGCTATGGAATCAAGTCAACAATATAGAAATGACAATACGTCATATTCCAGGGAGATTGAACATTCTGGCAGATGCTCTGTCCAGAAAGTCTCAGATTCTGTCAACAGAGTGGAGTCTGAAAGATCAAATTTTCCATGCAATTTGCAGGAAATGGGGAAAACCTCTAATAGACCTTTTTGCGACACGACACAACACGAAATTACCTCTATTTGTGTCACCAGTCCCGGATACGCTAGCATGGGAGGTAGATGCTCTAAGTATGGATTGGAAAGGTCTGTGGGCTTATGCCTTTCCCCCGACACCATTAATCTCTCTTGTTCTGAACAAGATGTTGCAAACGACAAATGTGGAAATGATTCTCATTGCCCCATTATGGGAGAAACAAGCATGGTATCCCAGACTGTTAGAGTCTCTTGTAGAGAAACCTCTAAACATTCCAGTAGTTCCAAAAATGTTGAAACAGACAAGACAATGGGTATTTCATCAAAATCCCCAAATATTCAAGCTTCACGCTTGGAGGCTGTCAAACAATCCTTTAAAAACAAAGGCTTTTCAAACAAGGTTGCAGAAAGAATTGCAAAACCTCAAAGAAACTCCTCGATCAAGGTATATGACTCGAAATGGAGAGTCTGGGCTGGTTGGTGTTCTGAACGGAATAGAGATCCATTCAGAACTTCTGTTACTGTAGTAGCCGATTTTCTGAATTGGTTATTTGAAGATAGAAAACTTCAACCAGTTACTATAGCAGGATACAGAACAGCCTTAGGTAATACTCTGAAAGAAACTTCGAATTTAGATATTGGTTCAGATCCTTTGATTTCTTGTTTGCTATCTAATTTCAAACAAGAAAGACCGAGGAATATCTCTAATAAAATTCCAAACTGGGATTTAAATGTGGTCCTACAAGGTCTTATGAGACCTCCTTTTGAACCTATCGAGATAGTTGATTTAAAATTTGTCACGTGGAAAACAGTTTTTCTCACTCTGTTAGCATCTGCAGCAAGACGCAGTGAGATACATGCCTTGGTGCTTAAGAAGGTGTCACATAGTATTGACTGGCAATCCATTTTTCTAGGATTCAAATCTGACTTTGTACCCAAGACCTTACTAAAGGCTGGAGGTACTGTCCTGAAGGACATTGAGATAAAAGCCTTAACAGGTTTTTTGACACCAGATCTTCAAGATGATAAGCTTTTATGCCCTGTTAGAGCATTAAAAGTTTATATGAGAAGATCAAAGCCCATGAGAGATAAACAACAAAGATTGTTTATATCATACAAGAAAGGCTATAAAGAAGAGATACATGCTAACACAATAACTTCATGGGTGAAGAATTGTGTAGCAAAGGCATTACAGTCTTTTCCCAAGCATGCTGAGCAGGTTTATAAGGTTAAAACTCACCAACTCAGAGCCTTATCAACTTCCATTGCTTTTGCGAAGAATTGCACTCTAGACGAGATTATTCAAGCTGGAAGATGGACTAACTTTAACACGTTCGCTTCATTTTACTTAAAGGAAGTGTCCTTGAAAGACTTCGAAGGCAACCACTTCATTGCTGCGAACAAAACTGTTTAAGTAAGTTTAAAAGTCTTATAGTTCATTATCCTACCAATAAAAGGTGGAAAGTTTTTTGTTGTTCATATCCATTTATTTGTTATCAATAATTAAGATATGAATAACAAAGGAGTGTGCTTGGATAAATTATTTTCACTTGTTACTTTTAGTTTTGCGTTGCAAAATTATTTAACTTAATATCCTATGGTAAGGATAGTGATTCAAGTACGAATTCTAATCAGTTAATGCTGTTTTTGGAGTATTTTATTTTCTAAGCTAATATCCCTCCACCTGCTCTGGTGGGATTCAGCATATTGTAATGACATAATTGGTAAGTGATATTAATTTACGTAGTAAAATCCCAAAATTTTATGTAATTTTGGTTTTTATAAGTTAATTATACTTACCTATTATGTCATTACATCAAAAGCCCTCCCTTGCCACCCCGCTTATCAGCTTTAAAATAAGCGTTTCACCTAGTGAAAAATGAATGGTGCGCATGCGCAACTATGACGTAAAGTGGGCGGGGCTTCCGGGAAACCGAAAGTGAAAGTGAAAGTAGAAAATAATTGTTCCAATAAAAGGTGACTATGGTAGCTTTTAGCATATTGTAATGACATAATAGGTAAGTATAATTAACTTATAAAAACCAAAATTACATAAAATTTTGGGAGTTTTAATACAAGGATTTGTATTGGCTATTGTACCTGCATTATTTGCATTATTTGAACAATTACTCTCCCAATAATGTTTTCAGAATCATTTTAAATGGATTACTTTATCCCCATGACAATTTCAATAAATTGGATTTTACAAAACTCCCCTTATCCCTTAAAGATGGACTGATCCAGTTGACTCACATGGAGCTGCCATATTGTTTTTATACGGGAAGCTTATCAGTTGTCTGAATGACCAAACAAAAATTTGAAGATATTAATGATTCCTGATGAACCTCCTTAACTTTCAGCTCCTACTTCAAAGATTTTGGATGATCTAAAGTGTAAATCTGAGCATATGAAAGTCTTTGACAAACACTGGCTTCCTAAACGCCATCATTATGCTAACAATGATCGTATTGATGATGTCATCTTGGATATGGATGCTGAATGGCTGGTTGGGAGGTATTTGAGTTTCCATACGTCTTTACCCTTTGGTCCAAACCTGTTGACATGTTGGGCAAGCTCTCGCTCACTTATCTGAAAGTGACAGATGGTGCGCTAGCTGTTAGCACTTAGATGTTTTTGTTCATATCCATTTTGGTTAGAAAATTTGAAACCATCCCAGAAGAATATATGTCATCTAAAAGTCACTTTGCTGCTCAGATAAAAGACTGCGTGTGTCTGCTAATAATGACCACATAATACAATCTAATGTGATATGATAATAAAGATTTATTGATATAACTACAGCATATACAATCAAAAAGTAATTAACAAAAATGGGAATCAATTTTTCTTTCACATGTAGGTATAGCTACAGGGGATGTACAGGTGGTAACCATGGTTACGACAACCTTGACAAAAGTATGGAATCTCTATTTATGGCCCATGGTCCCCACTTTAAACAAGGATTCACAGTGGAACCATTTGAGAATATAGAGCTTTATAATCTCTTGACAAGTAAGTTAACACTATGAAAAATTAGTAAAGAGAAAGAATTGGAACACTGGTTTATTGATTTAACAATTTTAAAATGACATAATATGATACTGTAGAATAATGAAATGATGTATCAGGAATTTCAAGGTACAACAGCAATAGACTTTTCTAATAAAACCTGCCACCTTTTACAACACAAAAGAAGCTAAATGTACTGGATTCAATGTCAAATGGCAAATAATTCCAATATAAGTTTAAACTCAATATATGTTCAGTACCCGTATCCCCTCTATGAATAAATTAAAAACTAGTTGTGTAACTGTTGATGTACTTTATAAATTGTCATCACAAATCATACTTTGAGGTCATTATTCAAAACATAAGAACTAAATATCTTGTAGGTTTATTAAATGTGACTGGTGTTCCAAACAATGGAACAATAGGAAGCCTGAACCACATGTTACGTAGCCCTGTTCAAGTGCCTGATACACCTAGTGCTATATACAGTGCATCTTGTAGCTTCCCTAATGACGAGGAGTATCAGCAGAGGGCTGGCAATGACACAAGATGTAACTGTCACAACTTAGGGGTAAGTTCTTATATTATAAGGGAGGTGAGTCACATATTTTTAAGAGAACCTCTGTGTGAATGTGTAGAACTATTGTCCTGTGTTAGTTCTCCCCATCATAGTTATGTCCAATGAAGTATACTGAGTATCGAGAGAAATAGTCATAAAGAGGTCCCTTTGAAAATCCATTTGAGAGGGGGACAGCAGTGCCTAATATATATGAGGGTGATAATCTCTTAAAGATGTGTGACTCTATTATATCAGATAAATTAAACAAATGTACTTCACTATTGTTCTCTGTTCAGATTTGTTTCTACATGTATAATTCATGTTCTGATCAGCTGGTTTCCTAAATAAACCTTAGTTCCAGTTAAAAACTGCTCCCAAGGCTAAGACTCCTGCTACAATTACACCTCCGACTCCAAGAACTCCAGCTGCAACTCCAACTCCAACTGCAACTGCGCCTCCAAGAAATACATTTCTCAATAGTGACCCTTTTTCAAACACTTTTTTAAGATCATCACTGACTCTGATGAATCGATGTGGATAATCATTCAGATATACAGATCCAGGATGAACCCAAACATTTCTCATTCCTGGATTTTCTTTCAGTTGGCCTATTGGGATCTCCACCTCTATAGCGTAGTCCATTCTTTTGACATGCATTGCCCTTATTGCTATAAATAGAAATACAAAATTCTCACATTTGGAATTTTTAGGGAATATTTAATTTGCCTAGACTTAGATTGGAATAAAAACAGGTGAGGATAATTGGGAATATTTTCAGGAAAAATTATTTACAACCAAATCGATTCATACATTATTTAAGATTTGGCACCTGAAGGTCCCTTCTGTCCGCACTCCATGAAAACAGAGTCCCAGGAGTATTTTTGGTAATATTTATGTCACATAGGAGATTTCCTATAGATCCCATCTAATAAATCAATCATTTTTAACTCAAAAAATATTGCAAGTAAAAAAGGATTTCTTATGTCATCTCTCTCTATAATTGCCACCATCTTTTGCTAAAAAATTTACACTTTCGAATAGGTGTTGGAAATCTAACAGCTTTTTTATTCAAATTAGTGCTTCATTCATGGTTATTACAAAACATGGCATGGTGCCATGGCATAGGAATCAATTTCTTGCAGTTATTCATTTCAAAATGGCCACTTACTAATCTTATCTAAATGCCCACCATTTTTACTATAACTTAAATATTGCTTGCTCAGTTTTCTCAGAACTAAACTATATATACTACTAGCTAACAATATTTTGCAGTATTTATTTACCACTATCATAATTATTTTGTAAAATTTCTTCTTTTGAGTGCTGTCCAGGATCCATAGTTGTAAAGTAAACACCATATCCAAGCATTGCATCTTTAGTTGTGTCTGTAGATTCATGAATCATCATAGACGACTGTATGCCTTTCAGGCCATCTTCTGAGGTGTAATGATAAACTTTCATCTTCTTTTTGTTGATCGTTCACTGCAGCAGACTGTGGAGTGAGAGAGCTAAGATCTATTTTAGTCTACGTTTACCAGTTTTCTTTTTCTTTTGTTTCATATAAAGACTTATCGGAATAGAAACCATTTAGTTAAGGGGAATCCCCATTTAGGGTTCACCGTGTTGGCATTCAGGAAATACATTGTACTGTACATTGCACTTAGAAAGGTCACAGATTAGATGAAGGTTAAAATGGTTAATCTTCATATTATCAGTCTACCTTTTCGTATGAATCAAGTAGTCTTGGTCTATAATTGTAATGAATGAATAATAGTGGAAATTGAATATCACTTTTCCTATGCTTTAAAATCACAATGTAGAACCTATAGTCTACCTCAGGTCGACTATTTCTATCTACTTTCGAATTGTGCAATGTTCATACTATAATTCATCCTTCGGGAATCCCATCATGCATTTTCTGTGTCACATATATTTTCCAAACTTACATGAATATGATTCATGAAATATATCAAGGTTGCAATGAACTTTCACCATTTACAATCAATCACTTCCTTATTCTCAGAAATGGAAACATATTCGTTTTTCCACTAATATACTCTTAACAATTGAAATTTTGAAGACACAAAAAGTAGACTTGTAGAGGATGGGGGGGGGGGGGTTATGGCATGTTGTTTTAAGATCATGGTGAATAGGCTTGAGTTGATTCTCCTTGCTAAAAGTAAAGTTTATAGATGGGCTTGAATGAAATAATTGACCCAAATGTTTTTCTAAACATTAACCATCTTTTTTATTTCTCAATAAACATCATTACTAAAACCTGGAATCTTATACATGTACATGTATTTGTCCTCGATCATAGAAGATCTTTTTAATTTGTGTATATTATTTGTTATATTTTTTACATCATTTATATGAGTCCTAATTGTATTATTTGTAATCCATAGTTAGTTAGCATCAAAGTCTACATGATCATTGGTTGGATCGTCATGTTCAGGTCTTCATCCACTTTGATGAATTGATGTGGGAAATCATTCAGGTTAACATCTCCAGGGAAGGCGAATATATCTCTCCCATCACTTTCGTTCTTCATTAGTCGACTTCGTGGAATGTCCAACTCTATTGCCCAATCCAATCTGTTTGTATGCATCGCCATTACAGCTATAAACAATAATAATAGTTTGTTATCTTACCTGCTGATGTATGATTGCAGAGGGCAAACAAGAGCCTTAAATGTTTTGATTGATCTTAAAAAGTCTTAGTTCAGTGTTCTCATCCCAATCTTAAAAAGTGTGACAGGTTCCCATTTATTATAAACAGAAAAATATTTAAATTAAAAATGGTGGTAAAATAATATTTAATCTAAAGAAACACTCAAAAAATAGCCACCAAAGAACAGACCAATATGTTACAAAGTTAAGCAATGCAGACTCAAATGGATACTGGATCAGCCGGATCATAGATCATACTGGTAGCTCATTGCAAATATCATTTTTTGTTACAGTAGTAGAGATCACAGTCACCAAACAGACAATAGAATCGACAGAAATGAAAAACTACAATCCACCCCCCCCCCCCTTTCCTACTGTCCTTGGTTAATAGGGTGAAATTTTATTTCAGTCATTTGTACTATCTGTTCTGGTGCCAGTGATGGAGATGCTCAAAAATGTAAACCAAATAAAGAAAGCTTTTGTCCCCTACAAATGTCCAATTCAATAAACATGCAAGCACCAAAGTGAAAAAATAAAGGCACATCCAATGTACAAAGGAACAATACCTAACAACCCCTTCTCAATCCTTCAAGAATGATCACTATCCAAAATCCACAAGACCATTCATTCAAAAGAACAAATTATTTCCAATATTCTTGACATAAAAAAGTACTAAATTGTGCAATTATTATCATAATAATAGTATTTACCACCATCCCAATTATTTCGGATTATCTCTTCTTTGGAGTGTTGTCTTGGAGTCATTGTTGTAAAATAAACCCCTTCTCCAAGCATTGCATCTTTCTTCTTATCAGTTGATTGTTTTATCTTCATTGATGACTTAATGCCTTTGATGCCGGCTTCTGAAGTGTAATGATAAACTTTCATATTTGTTCAGATTCTTTGACAAATTGCAGTTAGTGTTGTAGGATAAATTGTGTATGTCTTAAGTTTTCTAATTCAGGCCACATAGTTGGGTTGTCACTTTATACCAACCTTATATATGTTTAGTTTTGTGAGTTTTGTTTCGAGGAAATGGAATCAATAGTTTTCAGTTTCATTTTTATTTACAAGAATAAAAGAACAGGTATGACATTTTAATGCTGCTTTATATTCATACATTCCTTACTCTTGGGACAAAGTACAAAGGACAAAGATAAGTCACTTTATACCAACCTTATATATGTTTAGTTTTGTGAGTTTTGTTTCGAGGAAATGGAATCAATAGTTTTCAGTTTCATTTTCATTTACAAGAATAAAAGAACATTTTGATGCTGCTTTATATGTAACTTTACATGATTCATCTTCACCATAATCAATATTGTGTTGTTGATTGACCTTCTCCTTATTAGACTCCAGATTGAAAATCTGGAGTCTATTGCTTTTGCCAGTTTTCTTATTATTCTTTCTTTCTTTCTTTCCGAACACTTTTTCTCAGCAACTAGAAGAACTTACTTTAACCTACTTACATGGCCAACATAGCCCATCAACCTAGTTTCTGGGAAATTAGGTCAATTTTTTATCTAGGTCAAAGGTCAAGAACTAGGTCAAATTAAGGTCAAATCAATAATCTGTCAATTATCTTCGTTGGTGTTTGTCCTTACTCCTTCATCTTTTTTTCAACATGTAGCTTAGAAAAAAACAAATCGAGAGTGTGCCATCCGTTTTTTGATTACTCTTACGGATTTTGAGATATGGCGTCCAGAAAGTAGGTCAAACTAAAGAAGTTCTCCAAATTTAACAAATGAGCTATGAAATAAGGGTAGAATTTTCTCAGGAATCCGAATCTGCAAACCAAATTTCGATCCGACTTCTGGTTCGGAAGTTATGGCGGTTTGAAAGCTCAAAATCGCTAAATTTGGTGCCTCATGTTAAGTCAATGGGAAAAAAGACTTTTTTGAAGTGTAAAATACGAGATATAGACTGAGTATAGCTAAAGATAATGAACTTCTATAAAAGAAAGGAACCTCAAAAGCTATTTAGTTTCAATATTTGGACACCAAAATGCCTAGGTCAAAATCTAGGCCAAATTCATAGTTTTTCCTTCTTTTTGCGATTCTGACACTACACTTTAATGATTTGCTTCAAAATTTTGTATACATGTAGCAAAGAGTGTGCTAATAGTGTTAGCCTTTTGCCGTCAGAGAGTATTGTGACCCACTTTTGAGATATGGTGTCCGAAAAGTAGGTCAAAATAAAAAAGTCTCCAAATTTAACATATGAGTTATGAGTTAAGAGTAGAATTTTCTCAGGAATCCGAATCTGCAAACTAAATTTCGATCCGACTTCCGGTTCCAAAGTTATGGCGTGTCCGAAAAGTAGGTCAAAATAAAAATTCGCCAAATTTAACGTATGAGTTATGAATTAGGGGTAGAATTTTGTCAGGAATCCGAATCTTTAAATCAAATTTCGATCCTACTTCCGGTTCGGAAGTTATGGCGTTTTGAAATTTCGGAAAATCGATCTGATGGTATCCTTATAGAAAGTCAAGGAAAAAAGATTTTTTTGAAGTGTAAAATACGAGATATAGATTGAGTACAGCTTAAGATAATGAATTCCTATAAAAGAAAGGGACCTCAAAAGCTACCTAGTTTCAATATATGGACACCAAAATGCCTAGGTCAAAATCTAGGTCAAATTCATAGTTTTTCCTTATTTTTGCGATTCTGGCACTACACTTTTAGGATTTGCTTCAAAAATTTGTATACAGGTAGCAAATAGTGTGCTAATAGTGAGAGCCTTTTGCCGTCAGAAAGTATTTTGACCCACTTTTGAGATATGGTGTCCGTAAAGTAGGTAAAAAAAAAAAGTTCTCATAATTTAACTTAGAGTTATGAATAAAGGGTAGAATTTTCTCAGGAATCTAAATCTGCAAACCAAATTTGAATCCGACTTCCGGTCAAAAATTCCTACTTACCTACCTACTTACCTACTCGGCTACCTACTTTGCTACCTACTCAGCTACCTACTCAGCTACTTACTCAGCTACCTACTCAGCTACTTACTCAGCTACCTGCTCAGCTGCTTACTCAGCTACCTACTCAGCTACTTACTCAATTACATAATCATCTACTTACTCAGCTTCCTACTCAGTTACTTACTCAGCTCTTTACTCAAGTAAATCAATCTGGAGTCTTAAATTGAACTTTGTTCAATTTACCAATCTAGTTATTTTTTATAATGCACCATTCAAAGGTTTGTGTGAGATTCCCAATGTGTGAATGGGTAGGGATTTTGACAAAATTCCGGGAGCAACATGGTGAGTCAATTTCCTCACCCTGGGAGCAATTAAAGCTGATCAAATATAGTCAAAATTCTGATAATGGAATATGCATTTTATACATTCCTTACTCTTGGGACAAAGTACTCCCTCCAAATATCATCCCCCGGAGAAAAACTGCATGTGAAATTCCTGACCCTCCCCACTTGGAGGTCTAACACACAAATTTTTAAATGGTGCATAACAAGAAGGTTCTTTCTCAGATTTTCTTAATGTCATATCAGTGTATCAATTAAACAAGGTATTATTATTATATCTGTTATATTTACACTCATAGGTCACTGAGAACTTTATAACAAACTGAAGTACTTCCTCATTCGGAGAAACATACTTCATGATAAACGTGTGGGTGGATGAGAGCTCATAAACATGACATCATCTTGCATTCTTAATATTCTAATGAAATGACTTGTTTAGTGCACCAATTCACTATAATAGTATCTGGTCTCATTTTTAAGGTACCTAAAAGTGGCAGCCTCTTGCTTTATTTGCCTACACATTGTCAGACAACAAATAAACTGATAATAATAGATAAATATATTGAATTGAATGAATGAATAATAACAAGCAATAAATTCTTGAAAGATAAAAAATTTCAGGAGTGTTTATATTGGTATAGAAATCTACAAATGACTAGACTTTAGATTTTAAATCAGCCATTTTTTATAGATACAATATCCTTCACCCTTTGCCTTCTACATGTATAATACATGTAGAATTTATAATTATGTGGTTGCAATTGCATGCATTTTATTGCATTGCATTTTAGAATGACTTTCCAAAAGATATTGAGTAGTATGATGAAAAATATTGAACATGACTCATATTGAGATGGGAGTTATTACTGAGCAGGTCTCTTATGATGTGCCCATGTATAATATGTTGCTTTTATTATACATTTCAGAATGACTTCCCCAAAGATGTAGAGGAGTATGACAAACAGCTGAACCTAACTAAGGCTGAAACAGAAGCAGTGATCACTGAGCAAGTACCTGATGGTCTACCAGTGCTGTTAGAGGCAGAGAGCGCATGTGTTCTTACACAGCAGGACTATGTAATGGGATATAGTCTCAATGAGAAACGGCCACTTTGGACAGCATACACACTAACTAAAAATCTGGTTTGTTATTCATGCATTTTTATTGTAATTCTCTTAATGTGACTCACATATACGTATAAAGGTCACCATGTCTACATAATGCCACCTTTTTACCATAACCCAGTACCATTTTGTTATTCCCTGAAACAAGTATGAAGCACTGGTGGAATTCTAGTTTAAGAGTCTACATGCTTAATATTTTGATGCCTTTCTTCATGTATTTTTGTATTGTCTGTATACTTTGTTAAAATTATAATTTTGTATTTCTAGGGAAGTCTTGATCCACCAAGCCACAGCTGTTTGAGAGGAGATGTGAGAGTTCCATCAGAGTCCCAATACAGCTGTTCAATGACCACATCCAACACAACTGTTCAAGCAGCCCTCTTTCCCACAGGTTGAAACCCCATGCTTACATGATTTAGTTAATAATGGAATGGACCTAATTAATTTCAGCCAAAAATAGATTAAAGGTGTTCAGTGCTAAACTAAAGAATCCTCATTACAAAATACGCTACTTGCATTTGATCTAGTTCGATTGTTTTGTTGACCTTGATAGTCCATGACCTTTTTGCAGATTTTAGTTCCAGCAGAGACCACCAAATGGATGCACTGATCACAACTAATGTGGTTCCGATGTATGAAGGCTTCCACCAAGGTAAAGGGATATTGTATATAATATAAATATTTATAGGATATCCTATGATTTTGAGGAATATCATTTTTATCTACGAGGTGATATTGATATCTGCAAAGTGAACGAGTGCATATATCAATATCACCGAGTAGATTAAAATGATATTCTGAAAAAAATCATAGGATGTTCTTATTATCCTACACTTAAAAGGAGTGTACTAAATGTATGATATCATTGCAGAATGAATTTCATGCCAAAAAAGAGTCTACTTGGCGGGAAATCAACAAGCGGAGTATATCGTCACAATATCCTCCGCATATTGGGTTTTCTGGAGTATATCGTCACGATATCCTCCGCCCGGAGTATATCATCATGATATCCTCCGGTTATTCATTTTGCCAATAAATATCAAATTTATTTTTTAATGTTATTATACATTTAGTACACAAAGTGTAGGATAATCCATTGTATATAACAAAATGTCACCACTTTGTAAGTTATCGCAAATTGTTATATGCCCTCAGTGATAGTAAAATGGCCCCCTAATGTCAGCCATCAGTCATAGCATTGAGTAGTTTCCCCATGAAATGTCCTGTAACCAAAGCCTATGACACATATATGTGTATCTCCAGGAATATGGCTAGAAGTGTTGAGCTACCTCAAACAGTGGGCTACACTATACAACAAGATCCATGTCAAAGTGGGACAGGTGTTTGACTATGATGGTGATGGTCTCCGTGGTAACATGACAAAGTGAGTACATACATGTACAGTATATGTAAAGTGAAATGAGACATTTTTGGAATGGATATTACATGAAGGTATTTCCTACCCAACATGGATATTGGATTTTTATACACAAAATATTTTACGTTGTCTATTTGTTTTCTGGTTAATGGATATTACATGAAGATATTTCCTACCACATGGATATAGGATTTTTATACACAAAATATACATTGTTTATTTGCTTTCTATTGCCTCTAGCAACTTAGCAATAATAAAGATTGCAATCAATTGGGCATTCAGTGAATACATGTTCAACATTTTATTGCTTGTTTAAAGTTGGGATGAATATTATCTCAGTTAAGTTGAAAACTAGTATTCTGAAGCATACATCCCTCATTTGTCCATAAATATGTACTGTTTAGTGTCGCATCTCATGTATGATGTTCTCCACGATTAATAGGCTGAGGGGCCATTAAAGAAATATTTTTATATTGATTGAAAGATGGTATTACACATAAAGAGCTACATGAACAACCCTGCCATCTTTCTTTTAGCTAGCTAGTACCTATGGTCTGATCGCAAGAAACAAACTTATGTGCAATCATTATTATTTATTTTGGAATGATGTTTTTCAGTGGAGAGGCCAACACAAGTACTATAGCGAGTCATTTCTTTGTGATCGTCCAAAAATGTTCTGATGCAGTGTCTACACCTATTGGTGATACTTGGAACTGTGCTAATCCATCAATATTATCATTCCTCCTTCCACATATGAACTCTACAGTGAATTGTTACACCATGCAAGACTATTTACTGGACAATGGGGCCAGGTTGAAGGATGTGGAATTACTCACAGGTCTACTATTCAGCCCTAGTATGGCAACAAGTGAAGCACCCCAATACAGAACATTCCTGCCCACATCACTGTGGCCATTGACCTGAGATATAATTACATAAAATTACAATTTTTTGTACTAATTAAATGCCCTCTGGCCAAACATACAATGAAATAAAAAACAAATACATGAATTGTAAATACAACTGTTAACAATAAGCAATGACAAGGCACTAACATGCAAAATGCCACATGGACCTGCCATTTGTTACAGACATCAAACACCAAAACCAAATACCAACACCATCATTCACAAAAAGTTGGATACTATACCAATATGTCTTTACTTGAGGTGGTGACATAGAATGGAACAGTATCATTTTTTGTTCACTTATTTTATAGAGAATGTCAATTTGAATCACGAAATATTTTCTTGGATATTTTTAACACATATTACTGCAGGCCCGTAGCCAGAGGGGGAGCTGGGGGAGCGGAAGCTCCCCTCCTGGCCAGAAATTCTTTCAAAATCATGCAGTTTTTCACCATTCTGAGAATTTTTCGCATGATTTTTAGCCAAAATTGTGAAAAAGCTCCCCCCCCCTGGAAAAAGCTCCCCCTCCTGGTAAAAGCTGGCTACGGGCAAGTACTGTATAGCCTATCTATAAAACATGATGTTCTTCTGTGAAATGTGAACTTTAACTATGAACTCTTATCAGATATCAATATTGATCAACTTTTTATATTCCACCCCAACAACATTGTTCAAGGCCAATTTCACGAAAGTTGATAGCTCAAAATACAGAAAAGAGGTATGTTGAAGTGTCTTATGTAATGTGTCAAACATGTCAATGTGTGTCAGTTTGAAGTGTCTTTTAAAATAATGCAACGTTTTATTTTATAAATAAGGCATGCAGTTCCTAATATACAACTCAATATACTGTAACTAACTTATAATGGAATTCATTTGTGAAATGCACTTTCTGATTATCATACAATATCCATCTATTTTTAGATACATATGTTATAATTCCCTTTAGAAAAGACAAATCTCTCAAAATCCATATTTATTTTATTTACAATAGCTATTTGAATGACCTTCCTTAGATGAAGAGCTCTGCAATTTTATTGATAACTTACTATTTAATTGCAAAAACTGATTGAAACATACAATTAATGATATAAAATATCAACCTTTTTAAATTATTAATAAAAAAACATTTAATTTTCATATTAAAGAAAACAAATGGTATGCTATGGTACCAGTAGTACATGGGTACAACGATTGGTATGATGCATATAGGCATAGGCTGAGGGAAAAATAGTAGTAAAATTTTTTAAAATGTAAACACAAAATGAAAAATCATCCCTTGGCCTATGCATGTTTTTTTTTTGTTTTTTTTATTAATCATCTTTATTGTATTCCATAAAATACAGATATACAAACTTAAACAATAACCCAGATGCGAGTAGAAATAATCTTGATTTACGTCATTAAAAATTCAGTCAAAGTAATATCATATTTGAAATCTACATGTAAAATTACATCTAGAAATGTGGTTTTAAAAAGTGTTTATCAACTTTGAAAAATTAATTTTCTTTGAAAATGTGACTTCTAGCTCGGGGAGAATCCCCATAGACCCAATGCTATAAAATCACAAAAAATGAAATATCTTTTCTTTTAGTGGACAGATAATATTTTGCTTTACTGGACATATTTTCATTAGTATAAGTATCAGACGCATAAGGGTTATATGAAAATTGAGCCACTTAAATTGATAATATTCAAGTTTAGGGGAACTTTCTTATATACCTGCCATGTTAATTGACCCGAATCAGCCATCTGGTGGTAAAACTGGTAACTACCTACTCGCATTTGGGTAATTGCCAAAGTCTAATGACATTGACGGCAATTTTGAGTGAAATCCAAAGGAATGTTATTAAGTTTTTACATAATAAGTTATTTTTATGTCATGTTATTGTTAAAATAGATGAAAAAAAAGTCAATAAAATATCATCATGCCTATGCATGTGGGTGTGAATTTTTTCAAATACCAGAATACCATGAGATGAGCTACTCAGGTGTGATATTATAGTATGTAGTTATATGTAATAGCTCAATTTAATTCCCACTGCCCTCTTATAGGTGGTTGATTACTATTTACATGTAATTGTTTAAAATGTAATTGGGTAATTTAATAATGTTAACAGTGAACCACAAACATCATTTATCTCCTTGATTACATTGTTGCCAAGTTTTGTCCTCCATGCAAAGGCTGTCATTCTGGCATTACTTCTACAAGTTGAATATGCATTCTCATGCCCCTTACAATTCATTCTCTCCTTTAACCATGTTAGAGTCTCATCAGGCAAATCTCTCTCAATGAAGTCATATAATTTATGGAGCGTATCAGTTGGTTCAAGGATCAGATCTTCATATTTAAGTTGTAGTGTGCGTTTTTGTTCTTCAGATGTAAGTGAGTTATATGATATGTAGTCCATTTCCATCTTATCACACAGTGCCTTGGCAGCAAATGTTAGGTTTTTATCCATCTGTAAAATAAGAATAAATATAATACTCATTGTCATATATACAAAGGTTTGTGTTGTTTGGTGAATTTTGTTCATCAAGGGTATCTTGTGCATCGGTGTCTTTTGTTGTAGTTGTAGATGGATTATTCATTTTGAAATGGAAATATTCATGACTTTTAAGTTTGAAAATGTATTCATGTAACCAAACATTGTCAAATAATTACATTTAATACATTTTATGAAAAAGATCTATAATTTTTTGTAAACCCAGATAAATGTCACTTATTGTGAGTTCTGTTACCCCTCATTGTTAGATCTATTGCCCCTTATTGTGATCTCTATTGCTCCTTATTGTAAGTTCTATTGCCCCTTATTGCGAGATTCTATTGCCCCTTATAGTGAGTTTTATTGCCCATTAAAGTGAGCTCTATTGCCCCTTATAGTGAGGTTTATTGCCCCTTATTGTAAGTTCTATTGCCCCTTATCGCGAGATTCTATTGCCCCTTATAGTGAGTTTTATTGCCCATTATAGTGAGTTTTATTGCCCCTTATTGTGTATAATACCTGTAATCCTCCGAGTGAATTCCTAGAGGCTAGAATTGCCCTTGGATCTCTGAAGTAGTGCACCATCTTGATATCTGAGTCCCTTTGCATCAGTCCTTTAATCCCTTTTAGCGTCATCCTCAATGCTTTCACAACCCTTAGTGAACTCTTATTACATGGTGCTTGAACCAAATGCATGCACCGTTGTAAGTAAGGCTTTAAATTGTTCATACACGATTCATGCTGTTCATATTGATCACTGAGGTAAGCAGTAGTCCCAGGATTTCCTATATTCAGATATGGATTTAAACATTTTTGTTCAAATTTTGATACAAATTGAAATGTGTGTGAGCAAGTTTCAGACAAGTGCTTTTTACAATTAAAGAACATTTGAGCAAATGGACCACCATTATGGATTTGTATACACTTGTGGAGTTTTTCTAAGGCACCTCCAGGGAGATCTTCAACACGATAGAACACCTCTTGGGGGGTTTCATCCAGCTTACATCTGTACAGATTATCCAGTTTTTCTGCTACAAACTTTTCCTCATATGCTGGGATATTTCTGAAATTTAAAACACATAATGTTTATTTCTCAAGCCAAGTTTCTGAATGTTTAAGTGCAAGTACAGTTAAACCTGTGTCTATTGAACATTTTTTGCGCAGAAAAATGGTCAGTATTGGTAAGTGTTCACTACATAGAGCGTAATTTATACAGAAGTCAGTAGGGTATGCATGGAGGTTTTACTGTACGTGTGCTACATATGAGATGATTGCACAGAATCAATGACCCAAAATGCTTTAAGAAGCTCTTAAATCCCTTGTGCCTCAATATCTGTGTTTTTTAAGTTTGGTGATGTTAACACATATTTTAAAATCTGAAGAAAAAGATATCATTACCTGAGTGAGCCATTGGGATAATGTGTTATACCCCATGGGTTCAGATAGTAATGTAATCCATACAGGTTATCGTAGAATCCAGTCAGAGGTTCAAACCAGTACATTGCTCCAGGATCAGTCTTAAATATATCACCCAGGAGAGTTGTCCCTCCACGCATGTAGCCATACACCAATAGTTTAGTGGTATCAACCCGGAGTAAATTTCTACTGTTATGATGGCCAAGTTTCTGATCATCTTCAAAGCCAGTTCCTGCATCTTCAAAACCTGTTGCTGCATCAGGCCCAGTTTTTTCATTGTCAAAACCTGTTTCTGCATTGTCACCATTAGTTCCTCCAATGTTTCTATCAACCTCAAGCTTATCAATTTGTGGGTCATTAACAGCATCTTCCTTGATGTTTTCTATAGTCTTTCTTGGGCTGCTTACAGTATTTATTGGGTCTTTCAAAGGTTCCACATTGTGCTGTTTTTGGGATTCTTCAAGTTGCTTATTTATTGCAATAGTTGGATAATAGTTTATAGCATTGCCATTTTCAAAGCTCTCAGAGTCTATAGGATCTGAAAACAAAAATGAGGTATTTTGAAAAATTTTGAAATCCAGATATTGTACATTTTAAAAATTATCAATTCAGTGAAGAAGACATAACTCAGTATCCATTTTCAGAAATATGTTCTCCCCTTGATTTCAAGAGTATGAACTTTTGTACATAAAAGTCCACAAAGCTGAGCTAGTCATTTGAAACTTATTGTAGAGTTGCTACATGAAGCCTAGCTTTAAGGTGCCAACGAACAATTCAGATATCATACAGACAGAAAAGTTATGCAACATTTTGTGGATGTTAAAGTTGAGGAGGGAGAACATATTTATTTGACACCCTGTATACAGTGAAAACTGTATATCCGAACACCTGGCTAATCTGAACACCTTCCAATCTGAACACTTTTTTCCAATTCCATTTTTTCCTCCCATGTTAAAAAACCTTGAAATCTGAACACCTAATCCAAACACTCATATTTGAAAAATTAACCTGTCTAATCTAAACACTTTTTACAAAATATCACATATTTCTTACAAAACTGCTCAAATATTTTCAATTAACACTGATTTGTTATGATAATACTTTGAAAAAAACATCAAATGGTCTCAATCATAATGGGCCTTTCTAACATGACTAAATTCATTTGAATCAGATTTTGGAATAGCAAAAAGTTATGTTGGCAACAGAAATATTAATTTTCATTGAGAATGCATTTATATTTATTTAAAATTCATAATCTTACGGATGGAAAAACCTCGAAATCCGAACACCTTTCAATCCGAACATTTTTAGCCAGTCCCTATGGTGTTCGGAGGAGACAGGTTTTACTGTACACTATAGAAATGACCCCATAAATCAAAGACATGTACTTGGATATCTAAAACTGCATCAACGCAACACTACTGTACCTGCAATCCTAAAGTAATTAATCAAGCGTAGTAGAAATCCAACGAAAACTAAGGTCAAGAAAGCTCTCATCAAACTGAACCTGTTCCTTTTCATTATGCACCATAACTTCATCATCTTTATTGCTCCAGTCCTTTACTTGCCTGATAATATAACTAAGGTTTGAAATGTCCTTTAGTAACAAACCTACTCAATTTTACTCTATTTCATAGAATAAACCATATTACATTTGACACAGGCGTATATTTAATGATAAAAATACATCCAGCAAGTTCACGCCAAGTAAATTTGTGATCAAATTGGCAACTACTTTAGTAGTGCACAATGCACATCTATTATATAATAAGTTGATTAGGCCAGGCTAAATAGATAATGTGTGCAATATTTTTTTATCATGCTACAAGGTCTCCCTTTTCAGCAGCAACATGCTCTGTTATATTTATTTTTTATTTTGGTATTTATTTGGTTTGACAGTATAATACTTTAAAATCTAGGATGAAGAGGAAAAAAAGTTTTTTTCTCAAGATCCTCATTTGAAATAACATAAATGCTATTAATTTCTTTAATCATGAATGTTAAACACTTAAATTGTTTTCTCTGGCCTTACAATATGACTGCATATATTTAAAATATGCAGTTGACCAGCAATCAAGCTGTGTGTCATACCATGTAAAGTGTAATATGGTCTCATTTTATCCCAAATCAGCATGTCAGAAGTCCCAATGTCTAAATGTTTGCTTCATACTTTTCTGCTTTGAGGCTTGGGATTATAATATTCCCATTTTTGGGGTTCCAGAGGAGAGGAGTCTGCCTATTATTTTGCTAAAGGTTTATTGTATTAGGTACAGCTAGAAAATAACATTTTGGTAAAACATTGCTATACCTGCACATGTTATTTCCTGGTACAAAATAAAGTATGAAGGTATGTGGTAATTACTTTGCTTTTTTCAGGGAAGTATCATTACATTGTCTTCTTTTAGTATATCTGGTAAGAGGTCAATGAGAACTCCAGGAAATTCAGATATTTCACACTTTCTATTTTTCCAAATTTTCTTTCAAAGTTTCCAGACAGCACAGGAGCTACCATTGACCTGTTTCCAGATTTACTAGTAGACAATGTAATGATACTTTCCTGAAAAAAGCAAGGAAATACGCACATGCCTTCATACTTAATTTTGAACCAGAAAATAACATGTACAGGTACAGCAATTTTTTACCAAAATGTTGCTTTCCAGCTGAGCCTTAACAACATGATAGTATTGCCAATATCCAGGCTTTAGTCTGATTGATTCAGTAAAGTATAATAAATGTTGACCTCCTCCTAGCTGACCAGTTGAATAGAAATGCACTGAATTAAAAGTCAGTGAACCTTGCATTGTTAAACTACTGATCAAGTTGTTTACTGGCAAACAATTGTGTCGTGCAACAGCATAGGAGCAATGGTTGGCTGAATGTTCAGCTTTAATACATGAACTAAAAAACTCATTTTTTTAAAATCTGATAGTATTAGAGTATAAATGAGAGGTACATTTTTTCCAAATGTTTTGATCTTATTTTTTATTTTTTAGGAATTTCAATGTATTTAACATTGCATTACATTTATCAGTTTCTTGTATATGAGGCCTAAAAGATAAGTGTTCATCTAATGTTATTCCCAAGTGTTAACGGTGAACTGATCTCTTAATTTTTTCATTGCTTAGAAAGACAGGAGGGTGTCGTAGTTGTTTCCTTCTTGACCCCTTAAAAATAATTTTTACACTTTTTGAAGGTTTGAAAATTGACTTCCATTTAAGGGACCATTCTGAAAGTTTGTCTAGGTCAGGTTGAAAATTTTTGTGGAGGTCAAAGATGTTTTTGTTTCTTTACCAAGGAAAGAAAATAGAACTGTCATCTGCATACAGATATAATTGGCTATGATTAAGAACCTCATAAGGTCATTTATGAAAAGGAGGAAGCAAAGTGGTTCAATTATGGAACCTTGAGGTATTGAGCTTTATCCGGGGGAACGTTCTCATCCTTCTTTAAAGAACTTCATTTATGCTTAAATTCAGTTGGAAAGAAGTGAAATACCCTTGGACCAAGGATGAACATTCTGAGAACTCCCCATTAACTTTGACTTGGAGACATCTATCTGACAAGTAAGATTTAATCAAGTTAATGATGGTATCAGAAAAACCATATGATTTTAGCTTCTTTAACATAAATAATGTGGAACTGTGTCATACGCAGATTCTACATCACAGTTATTATCCATTTGCTCATCAATCATATTGACTATTGTTATTGTTTTCAGTGACATATTTGAACATATTGTTGAATACCAATCGTTCAAATATTTTTGAAATGTTGTTTAACAGAGATTAATTGGTCTGTAATTTCTGGGATCACATTTGGAACCTTTATTTATGTAAATTGGAACTACATGTACAGTTCCTAATTTCCAAGAACTCTGAAATGTATTTAATTCTATTACATTTTTGAAAAGGTCAAATAATGGTTGGTCTATACTGTTGCAACACATTTTCAACATTTTATTTGTTATTCCGTCTGGTCCATCCTGCTTTGAGGTATTAAGGTCACACAAAATTTTATTAACATCTTGTTTTGAAAAATCAATAAAATTTGACCTGTTTTTGAAGGAATCTCTGGAGAATCAAGTGAGTCAAAATTGAGATGAAAGGACGATTCTCGGTTTGGAGAACGAAGTTCATCAATCTAAATGAGCATTATCCCTGCTTCGGACAAATTTGATTTTTTTTACATAATATAGATTTGAAGGTCTTCTTTTGAATAGTCATAATTTAATTTGGGTAATATTTCTAGATTTTTCGCAAAAAAATATTAGCGCAGTACACTGATGAACTTCTTTCCCCAAATCGAGACTTGTATTTTATTGAATCGGTCTATTTGAGCATTATCCCTGCTTCAGACCAATTTGTTATTTTTACATATTGTAGATTTAATTGTCCTCTTTTGAATATTCATTGTTTAATTTGGGTAATATTTCTATATTTTTCATGAAAAAATTTTTAGCCCAGGAGGCTGTTTTCCAAACCGAGAATCGTCCTTTAGTAAAAAATTGTTGCAAAAGTAAATCTGCATTTTCTTTGTTGTTTTTTGCCAAAATGTCTGCACTTAATGGTCAATTGGATAATCTTTTATCTGAAGATGTACACACATCAAAGCATACTTAAAAATTACATGTTATATGGAATGATATAGCTCATTATTTATTTGTACAGATCTGTCATCATATATGTACCATACATAAAATGTGTCAAATATATTATGCTGTTCTTAACACAATGTCTACATTTGCCTTATATTAGGTACATAACAAAAGTAAAATCTGGTTCCAAATACTTCTTCATGCAAACTAATAAGTTTGTAAACAAGTAAAAAGAAAACACTTCTGAAATTGGAGCTTCCCTTTTGATGATCCTAACTCAAATGGATGAAGATACTATCTTATGAATTTATTCTTATGAATTTATCCAGCACTGACGATACTACCTTGATGAGATTACCATGTATTTTTCCAATACAGTTTGTATCATCCCCATTTATCTAGTTTCATCACTGACAAAAATGTAACTTGTTATCATCTGAAGCAAAGCTGATATCTCTGATTTCAGAGATTTTTTAGCTTTTTCCTGTAGTTGTGTACAACTGGAACCTTATAAGTTTGCATGACAAAATATTCCAGATTTTACTTGGTCTACCTTTTTTCTTATTTCTGCCCTGAAAATGAAAGAATGACATCACAACTAATAAAGGTGACATGATTTACTGGATTGGTCTATTAATATTTTTGAAATGATTTACAATATGTGCAATTCTTAATAAAAAATAGACAATCACGTTACTATGTACAATTTTTATGTACAATTTACAACTACAGTTGTTAAATATTTTTCAAATATATGACATGCTGTTTATGTAAAGCTGAGTCGGAAAACTAAAACCACCAGGTTTTGTTTTGATAATGCAGATCAATATAAAGAAATTCTCTCCTCTGGTCATATCTACGTGTACGTTTGAATCTCTAAACTTGAATGAGTGCCTCATTTTCTGGAATTTCATACAGTCTGAGGTACTGACTCATGGAGACTTTCCAACTGCTGCATTCCTTTTTTGCCTTATTTTAAACATGAGATAGTATTTTTACGACATTTAAAGCATCTTTGGCTGTTAACATGCATATACAAGGCATTAACATGCAAAATGTCACCACCCGCCATTTGTTATAGACACCAAACTCTGAATGCCAATCACCGAACTCCAAACACCAATGACTGAACAACGTCCACAAAAAAGTTGGAGACTATAACAATATGTCACCACTTGTGGCAGTGTGGTGATGACATAAAAATGTCATCAAAGTCCTACTCCTCTGTACAGCTGATGTTTGACGGATGTAATATATTCTTGCCTGAGTGTATAGATAGCGATTGGTCATATTTTTAATTTAATTCAGGCATTAACATCATCTACAGTAATTTGGCTGGATAATTAGCCATAATGTTCCGAGATAATAGTCTACACTATGTGTTCTTACAGCCGATGCCTCGCTGATGTATTCTTGCCTGTCTGCATTGGTCCTCTTCATTTGAATAAAGTGTCAAGTTATATCTATTACGATCATGAGGTGTTTTGACCCTCTGATGTCTGGCTATTTGATTGGTTCTCCTGGGTACCCTGTTGGAACACAATCTGTTGGCCCTGACTGCCCATCTGGAAAATCTGAAACCATTCCATAATGTCATTAATAGTGTCATTGACAATGTTAGCTCCACAAAATACCAATTCAATTTCAATTTTGGAAGGATAATTATTACATGTTGACCCTCCCCTTACTTCACAATTCAGAAAAATTGGCTATAAGTTATAAGTGTGAGTGTGCTTGTTCACTGTTCAGGTCCAAGCATTTTTTCGACATAAATTCTAATTTTCAAAACTTTGTGAAAATATTATTTTTCATGATCCTCCCCATTTTGAAATGGTTGTAAATCGGTTTTCAGGTAGATGCAAATGTGTTTTTTGGTAAGTCCAAATGTGTTTTTGGGTAGGTGCAAATGCAGGCCCGTAGCCAGGATTTGCCAAGGGGGGTTCAGTTTTCAAAAATTTCCAGGAGGGGTTCTCATTTGACAATTTTGGCTCAAATATGGCTAAAATCACTTGAGAAGTGCTCAAAATGGTGAAAAACCGCATGATTTTGAAAGAATTTTTGGCCAGGGGGGGGGGGTTCGCCCGAACCCTGCGAACCCCCCCTGGCTACGAGCCTGAAATGGGTTCATGGGTGGATGCAAATAGTTTTGTGGGTAGGTCAAATGGTTTTGATGGAAGGTGCAAATGGATTTTCAGGTAGGTGTAAGCATAATCTTAAAATCCCAGGTTGGAAAAGTGCAAACTTGCTTTCATGCTAGAAGACCACAAGTTACTAATACACCCCCTCTAACTTGAAAGTGTAACTACTATATTTAACATTATTTTCAGGTAAGGTACAATTTAGCTAGTATGAAAGTGCTTCTTCCATAAATCGCCCACTTCCCCTATACCTTACTGTTAACAGACATATTAGGAGGTATGACCATTACCTGTTGTTGTTGACCACCCTGCTGCTCAGATTCTGGGGCAGGATTTGATGCCTGTATTACTACAGATTGTCCCGATTGTTTTCCACTCATCTGCAGTTGGATGGCTTGCAACTGTGCCGGGGTAAGTTGGATCTATAAAATAGTTTTTGATTATTTATTTATAAAGTGCCATTATAAGTGCCCACTGGCCTTATCAGGCTGTCATGAAACACTGAACATGTATATCATAACAACACATACCAGATACAATCTGATACAATGTGATATTAGTATTTAAGCAATTTTCACTATTTTTCTAGAATGAAATTATACATTTTTTGTTAATTTTGTATCATTTTGATTTGAAAGAAGGTGAATATGAAGAGTAAAAATTTTAAGAAGATGCAGCAGCTAAATCCCCTGATTATCAGATTATTGATCCAGTTAGTATTGAAATGGCAACATCTTTGACGTTACTTCTGGATCACCCTGTACATTTATTGCAGGATTTCATTCTACTAAAAATTGTCATTTAGGACCAAACAAAAATTTCAATAAGTTGATAGCTGAGTCTCAATAAGTAGATTCATGTGATGGTACAAATTATAGGGGGGGGTCTAATATCAGACCATATGAATGCATCTCTCTACAGGGGAAGACTGTTACTAAAACAAACTTGTTTTTCTTATATTGGATTTGTGTAGGTAGGTTAGTAAACATAACAGAAATTATATGATAATAATCTATGTTATAGAGAGCGTTGCAAGATAGTAAATCAAATATGTTATCTCTTTGTCTTCTTTTTGTTTCATTGCATGTCTCTGTACATTGTTAAAAATAGATAAGGTGTTTGTACAAGGTATGTAAATTCAATATACCCAAAGCTAGTTGAATGATGAGGAATAAATCAACTTAAATTTGAATGGTCTACTTACAGGTACACTCTGTACCTCTCCAGAGGGTGTAACAATCTGCTGTATAACCTGAGGGACCTGTTGCACCTGGGCTGCACCAGCCTGCTGGCCACCCTGGATGATCTGGATCTGGGGCTGTTCTCCTGTACCTGTACCCTACAATGATGAAATATAAAAATAGAGAATGAACACGATGTAGCCAAGAAGTTACAGTGAGATTTTATTTATAACTTCATATAACTAGTAATACAAGATATTAATAACTAGTTATTCAAGAGGAGGGAGTTGATATGGGAAATATCACAAGGATGATATCTTCCCCTTTCTTGAGAAAATGCAGTGACTGAGGAAACAGATCAAAATGAATATGTGTATGTACTTACAAAATTTGTTACAAACGACAACAATTTGAATTTCAAGTTTAACTCAATCAGTTTCTTACCTGAATCACCTGAATCTGTTGCTGCTCACTCCCTTGTAGCTGCACCTGGTTGACAGTAGGTGTTGTTGTTGTTGCTGCTGTCACTTGAGTTTGCTGCTGTTGCTGTTGTTGTTGCTGTTGCTGATTCTGCTGCTGTAATGCTTGCTGATGTTGTTGAGCTAGTTGGAAATAGTACTGGACTTGGTCAGGCATCATTGATGTTTTAGCTGATTGTGTGTCCTCCTATTGAAATATATAGGGAGATGTAGATGTATAATAAAATAAGACTTGTGACTTTGTATCTGCTCTAAAGTTGGCTTCTTAGATGTTGTCAGATTATTCTCATAGATGTACAGTCTACAGTAGTAGCATGTGAAATTTTTTCTTTCTTATTTTCCTTTATAGAATATGATGAATATGATGTCATGAAATAAAAGCATCCTCCACTGACTGGAAATTATTTCAATGAAAGCAGTTTAAAAAGTATAACTTACTGGACGTTTCGTTTGTTTAATCTCATCTCTAGGTACAATGTCGATCAGGAAGTCAAACTGGTCATACTTAGTGATTGCCATAGCAATGTCATTTCTCTACAAATACACAGTGCCATGTTCAAGTATATGTTATAAATAACATTTTTGGTTTTATCATGATGACGTTTGACATTCCATTTGCATTTGACACAGTGTGGAATATTCATCAAATAAACTGAAATGCGTAATGTTGAATATACATATAACATATTAGTCAATCAAGTTAATTTTCAGTACAGTTTCAGAACCAAAAATACATGCATACCCTACAGTAAGAGGGGTAATATGCTCTGGATTATTACTAGTGGATGGACAATAGAAGGAGTGTATGAGAAAATGTTACCTGTAATGTCCTTCGTTTGTTGTCCTCAGTGTGAACCCAGGCCCTAAGTGACAGCTCACTGATAAACATCTCTGCAGCCTTAGCAAAAATCACAGGTGCTTCAGAGCTAATCATCTGAAATGAAGTTATTGCACATGTAGTAATACAGTGATATTTTGCTTTAATAAATTATGACAACATGTATCAGACCCACAACTCTGTATCTAATACATGCTGTGTTGTGTTTGTCCATTGTAAAACAGCATTGTTTTCCCAATAAATATTCTAATTACTATTATATTTCATGCTTAATCAATGAGTGATCAAAAACTGGTCTCCCTACTAAGACTGATGTAGAATATCCTTGGTCAGTGTCCAATGTTGATGTCTTGAAATTCAGTGATATTCTAACTAGCTGGTATCATTGGTTTTAGTTACAAAGCTGATTAAAAGATGCTTCATAAAGAAGCCATTTATCCATGTTGCATATAACAGGTACCATTGTCTATCATCTTGTCATGAAATGCAAGCTCTTCAGATTTCAAAACAGAAATTCTTACTTTGACATCTTCATCAAGCTTCATGATCTTCTTTATCCTGGCCAATGGTAGTTCTTGTGTCTTATAGTCAGTCTGTAAGAAACATAACCTATCGTTACATATATAAATGTTTATTTTACAATATCTAACTAAATTAATCCTGTTTAAGTGACCACAAAGTGTTTAAGTTCGAGTAATTCTACTTGAGAGCTTATTATTTTTGTATCTAGTTTGTCTAATTAACCTGTCCAAGAATCAATGTACTGTGCTGGTATACCTCATATTTTCCACATCATGTATATATTTCACAGCAAACTCATTCAACATTCTTTTAAAATTATCATGGAATAACATGTACTTACCACTCCTAATGTTCTCATATCATTGTTTTGTTTTGTCCAAAAGTTAGCGAGCAGTCCCTGTGCCTCACTGGGACTTGCGCTCTCTGCCTCAGTAGGGGGGTCAGGATGTGCAACTGTCACCACCTGACCAAAGGTGTTACCCTCTGCTGCCATAGTCTGGTATCAAACTAAAATATAAATATGAACAGTCTTAGGCATATAAAAAAGAGCTCTGTTTTAGATGTCTCTGATATCACTTGGTCACATACCTAAATTTAGAGGATTAAGAAGATGAAAATGTACGTAATTGGACATAATTCTACCCAACTCTCTGACGAAAAGTAGGAGGTGTAGATAAGTCATGGGCCAAATGAGAAAATAAATGGATTTTTTGACTGTCGGACAGCATCTGAATAATATTTATATGTAGTGTTGGTATTGATCTGTTGGTGGAAGTATGGAGGCACGTCGATGGCAGGTTCTGCTTTCCTTTATAAAAAAGGAAAACTCTAGCAGCCTCTCGACGCTCCTTCAGTGACTCCCACTGTAGATCTTGAAGAGCTTTGGTGACACAGCCTGGTTCCCTAGAGTGACATTGGGTTACAAACCTGGCTGCTCTTCTCTGTAGGGCCTGTTCCAAAATTATCACATCTTACAATGATTTGTAACATCTTTCCAGAGGTAAACAATGATCATATTTAGACTTGAGTAGAGAGCTATAGCTCATTTGATACCGAGGACAAAGTACTAATTCAGCTTTTCAGGAATATTTCAGAGCCACCAATCATTTTCTCATAGATCTAGTAAAAGTATGGAAAACCAATCAAATAAGCTGAACGTTGACCAATGAAAACAAAGCGGCTGGATTTCAACTTTGAAACTATAAATTGACTCAAAATCTCCATTGTCGTGCTCTTACTATGAAGCTATGTACGCGCTGAACTTCAGCTCATCATATTACATGACCACGTTATGCAATGAGATTCATATGGTGAAATGAATGTAAAAATTACCTTCAAATCACAATCGAAATAATTCCAAGCACTTGTAACAGGACCATTGACGCGAAACTAAATGGAAAAATTTGCGCAACATTTAGAAAACCCTGTCAAACTTACCATTTATGAATAAATGCATTCAACGACATCAATATATATAATGAAAAATATTGATTCAATAATTGAGTATCGTTGAACTACTCAATTGAACCATGTTTCAATGAATAATGCAGTATGCCATTTCGACGGTAATATTTCGTTCTAGAATAAGTTGTACACTCTGCCATGGCTGCGCATGCGTATTACTAATTATGTTGACCTACTTTTCATAGGAGGAAATGTCCTCGGAAATGCGTCAAATATATCGAAACCACTCAACATAACTATTTGAATCTGATGGCATATGCAAGAAAACTCATAAACATACACGTTGGCCCAGTATGAAGTATATTCAAGAAGGATAAGTGTATTTTGGACTGATAGAATTTCTGACGCCATTGAGCAGAGGGTCGTCGTGATTGAGCAGAAGATTATTTCTGCTCATCGATCATCATTCAATCACTGATTAATACCGGAACATTAGGACAGTGTTGTACAGTACAGCACTTGAAAAATACATACACTCCTGTTATACCATACCGTATACATCTTTTTGTAACTGTGAAGTCACAAATTATTAGATAAGATGTCAGCTTCACCTTCTGCAACATCAAGTCGCTTCACTTGTCGATTGTGCAGTAAATCATGGTCCGCCAAATCTGGCAAATCTTGCACACTGATTCCAAAGGATTCACCAATTGCGAGCAATATTGAGTCTATTATTCCCACAATCAATTCCATGTTTTCATCACGATTTGGTAGACGCTACAGTTTACCCGAAGAGGCTTGCAAACTATGTTGCTCGAAAGTAAACAAAATTATAGAAGAAACGGTTTCTATGAATGCAGCATCATCTCCTCGATCACAAAGAATAAGACGTCCACCTAGGAGACTAGAGGATATTGTTGAATCAAAACCAAAGAAAAGAAGAGTGAGTTCTACTCCAAGAAAACTCACAGAATTGCCAGATTCTAGACCAGTAATCCTCCGCACAAATAAAAAACAACAGAAAGGAATGAAAAATGTAGATCGTGTAACTCAAAGTGACCAACATGATAGAGTTTCGAACACTGTAAGTCAACAGCAGGATTTGTCAATTGAGATCCCTGCTTACTCAACTGAACAGGCTCTTGAACCAGTTGTCCATACAGTATTTGACTCACATCCAATTGAATCTGATCAACTTCAAGTACAAGTTAAAACACGTAAGAACATTTCACTTTTAACAAATAAGGAAGTTTTGACTGTCGAATCTGTCACCATGGATGGTATGGAGAAAAAAGTTATTCATACAGATGGTGTTCATGAAAAAGTCTATTCTCCTGAATGTGTTGTTACACTTCAGAATAAAAATGAAGATAATGTGAGTGCAGATACTCAAAATTTGAATGTTGTTGGTGTATCGATCCAAGATATCCTTAAGGCTGTAGATACTGATGCTGTAAATATAAAGACAATTTCACACATGAACAGAACAGCAGAAGCACATCTACAAGAATCTGTAAGAAGCACCAATATTTTACCAAACTCTTCTCAAGTGGTAACTGAAAGTGATTCCCAAGTAAACAAACGAAGAAAAGGTACAGTCAAGAAGATTTCTGACAAAGTTTGGAAAACAGAACTGTTGCCAGAAGTCGATTTGAGCACAAAAACAAAACCTGAAAAAGACACACATGTCAAACAGAGTGAAGAAACTGTTTATGAAGTAACAGTCTATGATGAAGGTGAAAATGTCATATCTTTGGTAACAGACGATCTTGCAGAAAAATCCAGGAATGATATTGATCAGTCATTCATAAGTACTTCAGAAGGTAAATACTTTCTTTTGTGATGTCGTACATCATTATATTTAAAATGAACTGCAGCAAAAATTGATGTCATTTCTGAGAGCTTCAAAATCTTCAGATTTATGAACAGTAAATGACATAAAAAAAATCCAATTTATATTTGAAAGCTGAATGTCAGCTTTGAATGTATGGCCTATTTACATAGATAACCATTCTATAACCAGGAGAATTTTTCATGAATCAAATTTTTGTTTTAAAACTTTTAAAATGTCAAAATGGTATGATCTTAATTTTTTTTTAAGTTATACAGGGATTTTGTATATATTTTTTCTATATATTTTACCCTTTGCATTTGTTTGACTTCACTTCTCAAAAAAGAGCTTTTTCTTCACTCTTTCAGTTAACAATAAATCTCTGATCTCACCGAGCCAATCAGAGTTTGTCGTCGAAATACAGATGACTTTCTATGTGGTCATTTCCTCTGACATCACCTCATAGCATGTATTTAGCACGTGTTCTTTCCACTTCGCTGGCTGGTTGAGAAAGGTGTCAGCGTGGTAGATTAGAAATGATTTATTATCCGGGCTGTCACAGGCACCATTCTTTGGGGTGGGGCTGCTAAAATGTAATATAGTCTATACTAGGCAGAGGGTAGTTTATAACTAGACTGCATACTGGTTGTATATTTTGATTTGATATTTAACTCGCTGTTTTATGTTACATTGGAGATACATGTACATTCCTGAGCTAAGAAGGAATCGCTTAGTGTGATAAAGTTCAAATGTCAGTCTTTTTGCTCCTAATATTTTTATGGGGAGTGGTCATCACATGATCTCCATTTTTACTATTGCGCAAACAGGCTTTAAAGTATTTCTCTGTGAAGACCGATAAATACTATAAGTTATTCAAAGATTCGAGGGAAATACAGAAAAGTCTGTATTTCACGTTAATAATGTTTTTATTCCATGATCAAGGAAAACTCCGATAGCTGGCACAAATGGCATGAAGAATTGTGTAGCTGAGCTCTGATATTAAATTTTTGACATGCATCTTTGAATTTGTCAAATCTCAATACTCACATAATACTGGATGAGCATAATGTAAAAGTGGTTTTGAAAAGTAGCAAATTTCTCTTTATGTAGGTTTTTTGTGGTTTATTATTCTACATTGATTCTGAAACTATTGGTGTCTAGTTTTTCAGCGTTTTGGAAATATGCAGATTTATACCCCCCTGGTGTTATTTTAAGGGGGGTCCTAGGAAAGCCATGTATAATTACTAGAGTATCCAACCAATCATCTTGAAATTTACAGGTAATCATCTTCTTATCATGTCCTATCATTGTGAGCAGTTTCATCAATATTGCTTAGCTGGTTGCTATGGTAACAGAAATCACTTGTTAAAAAAGTACACATTTTCGTAAAAATTTAAGACCTACCCTGAGACAAAGCACATAATATTTTCCTGGAATTGGGAGGAATTGGCATGAAAACATATTAGAAAACTTATTTAGAGTATGGTTGATAATACTAAATCAATTGATGTTTTATTTTAGCCATACAATTAATTATATTTGCCGATGATAATATGGCTATGCAAAAAATGTGTAAAAGGGGGCGTGGCACTTTTTCCAAGAAAACTTTATTTGTACCCAAGTTTGTGAATAAATATATGACTATTCATTCTGATATTAACAGATATTAGTAAAGTTATGATGTTTAACCATCATGGGAAGTTTTGCTATTGTTGGTCTGCTGGTTGTTATGGTAACAGAAATCATTTGTTAAAACAGTTGACCATTAAAGGGGGTATGGGGTATATTATCTAATTAAGGATATAAACTTTGTCTTCAAATATACATTCATGGCTTTGTGAGGTCATCAATGTGATTTTATTTATGTGTGCTTAATTTGCATCTTGGAATGAAGTTTTGAGGAAAACACATTTTAACAAAATCAAATAAATTATTGTTTATATTAAATAAATTCATTAATCTCCTTCTGGATGATACTAATTTATCACTCACTCACATGCTTACCTATATATTTGTTTCTTTTTAAATCAACCTGATATCTTTATGAAATATACATGTTTGAGTGATTCCCGTCATGCTTAATATCCAGATAGAAAATAATGTTATTCATAAAAATAGTTAATAATTCCTATTTGATATAACAATAATACCAAATTTAGAGCATTATTTAAATGTTGCAATTAGAATTTAGACTTCATTAATGTGATGGCAAATTAAATCTGCATTCCTAGGAATAAGTTGTATATGCAATGATAAATCAGTTGTTGATATGAGCTTTTGTTGTCAATGTTATGCTTCAATTACCACAGTCCATGCCTTCTTGATTAGCTGTGCAGACCTGATGAAATAGATATACGTTGTGCGGTTAAGCTGTGCTACATCTAGATAGAGGTGAGTGATTGTGGGTAAATACAGTGAGTGATTTTGACAGGTGAGTGATTTAAGTCAGGTGAGTGATTTTGGACAGTGGTTCCAGACAGTGCGGTGCGGTTGCGTAACTGTGTAGATGCAGAGGCATTCTTTATTTTCTTTATTTTATAATTTTAGGGTGAAGTCAAGGTAGGTGATCTAATACACATTGTTTATGTGTGCCGCATACAGATAAAGTTTAGTGACTCTGTGTTAATAGATTGAGTGATTTTGGACAGTGGTTCCAGACAGTGCGGTGTGGTTGTGAGTGATTTTGGACAGTGGTTCCAGATAGTGTGCTGCGGTTGCAGTTGTGCTATATACACAGTTATTCCTTATTTTTTACTTTTACGTTTCAGTTAAGGTAGGTGATTTAATACACCATCGTTTAGTTTCCATTATTGCATCGTGGAGTGTTGCCCTTCCAATATATATACTTTTTTCCATATATCATGCAACTGAGTAGAACCCTGTAAATCAATGTATTAGTGTTGTTACGTATATATCATGTCCGAGAGAAGTTTGAGGAAAAGATCCTCTGCTCTAGCAATTGGTGAAGAATGTCATAGTAAGAAATTACGCCAAAGCAACCTTTTTGAACAAAACAAGTGCCTCTTTTGTGAAAAAGATCTGAAATATCTCAAAGGAAACACAAAAGAATCACTAACAAAATGCCAAACAGACAACGCTTCAACATCAATAATAAATGCAGTGAAAGCCCAAGAAGACTGGACTTTACATGCAAAAATAGGAGGACGCTGTTTGATATCAGCAGAAGCTTGGTACCATAATACCTGTAGAAGAAATTACTTGTGCAAGAAAGAACGAACGATAAATGAAGAGGAAAAGGTTTTAATAACATCATTTGACGTCATATGTAAGCATATAGATGAACATGTCCTTCAAACCGATGGAGTTGAAACACTTGAACATGTCCATGAGCTGTATCAGGCACATATGAAGGAAAACAATCTGAGTGACTATAACCCCAAATATAAACAGCTCTTCCTGAAGAACAAACTTTCTGTTCGCTATAAAGATGACCTTTGTTGCAATCTACTCTTAATTGCCTTTCATTTGAGTATAATAAAGCTATACTTCAGAAAGATCTAAAAATTAGCGAAAATTTCTGTTTTCCTGAAAAACACAGAATATATGTGAAATAGATAGATGTTGCGAATATAAATATATAAATTATATATAATAATATAAATTTCAAACAATAATATTAATTACTTTGGTTTAGAATGAAAAATTTATGATTTTTGCGAAAAAGTCCCGTCATTTTTAAAGCGGCGGCCATCTTGAAAAATTGACTGACTGACTGACAGACTGACGGACGGACGGACGGACGGAGGGCTTAACTATATCCCTACCGAACTTCGTTCGTTGGGATAATAATGTAGATATCAAGGAAAACTGACATTATTTTTTCACTTTGAACACAAATAAAGAATTCTTAGGAAATTGTGCCATGGCCCCTTTCTAATTTTTTTGCAAAGCCAGTTTACCATCAGCAAGTAGAATTCTTTGTATGGCTAAGATAAAGCATCAATTGATTTAATTTTATGAAACATACTCTAAATAAATTTTCTAAAATGTTCTCATCCTGACTGTCATAAAAATATTGTGTTTTGTGTCAAGGTATGTCTTAGATTTTTAAGAAAATGCAATCTTTTTTAACAAATGATTTCTGTTACCATAACAACCAGCAGACCAACAATAGCAAAACTTCCCATGATGGTTAAACATCATAACTATACTAATATCTGTTAATATCAGAATGAATAGTCATATATTTATTCACAAACTTGGGTACAAATAAAGTTTTCTTGGGAAAAGTGCCACGCCCCCTTTTACACATTTTTGCATAGCCATATTATCATCAGCAAATATAATTAATTGTATGGCTAAAATAAAACATCAATTGATTTAGTATTATCAACCATACTCTAAATAAGTTTTCTAATATGTTTTCATGCTAATTCCTCCCAATTCCAGGAAAATATTATGTGCTTTGTCTCAGGGTAGGTCTTAAATTTTTACGAAAATGTGTACTTTTTTAACAAGTGATTTCTGTTACCATAGCAACCAGTTAACCAATATTGATGAAACTGCTCACAATGATAGGACATGATAAGAAGATGGTTACCTGTAAATTTTAAGATGATTGGTTGGATACTCTAGGAATTATACATGGCTTTCCTAGGACCCCTCTTAAAATAACACCAGGGGGGTATAAATCTGCATATTTCCAAAACGCTGAAAAACTAGACACCAATAGTTTCAGAATCAATGTAGAATAATAAACCACAAAAAACCTACATAAAGAGAAATTTGCTACTTTTCAAAACCACTTTTACATTATGCTCATCCAGTATAATATAATATTTAACCGATCTCTGTCATATTTGTACTGCTTGCAAGTGACCCTTAATAGGTTACTTTCTAGAAATTTTCAGTTTCATCATATGAAGTGTCGCAAATCCCTTTTTTCAACCTTCATCTGCCATATTGGCTTCATGAAAACAATATGCATGTTTCAATTTGCTCTTTTATATTCAAGGATGAGTGTTTTATCCTAAAATTATTAATTGCTATGAAATAAAATGTGGTATCCTAAGGCAACAGCAAGTTAGGTGTTAATGTAGGTCAAAATGTCAAGGTTGAGTTTTGACCATTTAAACCTTGGAAACCCTTGCAAATATATCTTTATTTTAACTGATACTGTGCAAACTTTTTATGTCACCACCAAAAAGTGGTGTGGTGACATATTTTTATGGTCTCTGTTTTTGTGACAGGGGTTAATGGTCTGCGGTTGGCAGTTGTGTTGGTCAAGGTCAAAAAAGCTATTTTTCAACTTGCTTCAAATTGACTAATTTTTTTTCAAAATTATCTACAAGTTCGAATAAGTTCAAATCTGACTTGAGATTTGACATTCTCAAGGTAAAAAAAATGTGAAAAGGGTTCAAATTGACCAAATTTAAAAAAAAATCATCCACAAGTTCTCAGAAGTTCAAATCTGACTTTAGATTTGAAATTTGACTTTCAATGACCTTCTCATTGTCAAAAAAGGGCAAAAAGGTATTTTTCAAATTGCTTCAAATTGGACAATTTTTTTTCAAAATCACCTTCAAGTTCTCAGGAGTTCAAATCTAATAATATTGTTAGCAACTAGGTGGGTTGTTTTATAATGCAATTTGTGAAGCAAATTTAAGCAAATGACGCAATTATTTGTGGATAATTCAATCCACTTTTGTCTTCTTTTTTTTTTAAACCAATGAAACATATTTACAGGTTCTAGTGTCTTGTATCCTAGACTTTGAATTCAGGCTATTCAAAATCTGGAAAATCATGGGCTTAAATCATTTTATAAAAAGTCATTATGTAAACCTGTCAGATCCTGATTATTCTACATGATACCCTTTTCTTTTAATCTCTGATCTTTGAATTTGTATTATATATTATATATATATATATTTGATTTTAAGGGGCAGCAAATTGTTCCCATCTGTTTGAATCGGGACAACAAGGAATATCTGAAACCGTATCAGAAGAACAGCTTGAAACTGTATCAGAAGAACAGCTTGAAAGTGTAGAGGCAGAACAGCTGGAAACTTTAACTGAGGAGCAGCATGCAAATGAGAGACACGAAGCTGAAACTATTGCATTAGTTGATGGGCAGGATGGTTCTGAAAATATGGTTGAGCAACAGTGTGATGCTTCAGTTGAGGAGCAGCAGGCAACTGTTGTTACTGAGCAGCATGAAGCTGAAACTATAATTGATGGACAGGATAATTCTGTAGCTGAACAATCTGAAGAGGGGGGAGTGCACGAGGAGTCCATAAAGCTGTCAGGTAATTTAGTACACTTGCACATGTTAACTCAAATGTAGGGGCCAAGGTCAATAAATTGATGAACAACCAGTACATAATTAAAAATCAATTACTGTTAAGTAACATTTTAGCTATCTGTGTACATTTTATGAAATGATATACACTGTATTTAATTATACTATAGAAGGAACATCAAAATATCAACCTGGTCCCTTATGTATTTACCATTAGTCTGCAAATTAAAACATTGATTATGACTTCCGTATATGTGTATTTTCTTTTTAGTTTTTGTTCAGCCTCACCATGTTACTTTATAATCATATTGACCAAAATTATCTTTGAGATTCAACAACAGTTTGACTTGGAGACAATTAGTACTCTATTTTCCATGTTAAATCAACAAGTATTTTCAGTTGAAGCATGAAAATAATTTTGTCAGAAATATAACACAATGTATATTTGTTTTGTTTTCAAAAGAACAAAAAGAAAATTAATCTAATCTTTGCACTTAATTCTGCAATTTGCTCTTATTGCTTTTTTCAAATTTCTTTGTCTGAGAGAAAATATAATAGGATTTAGAAATGATGTAAGCAAAGTAATTTTGTTGATCACTTTATGCCATATTTTAAGACCAACAGTGTCGCCACCAAAAAGCAAAGTGCCTAGTACTCGAAAGAGTAAAAAGCTGCCCCACATACCAATGAAAAATCCAAATAACAGTATGGAGGATTTAAGAACTCGAAATCCTTTTTTGTATACAACAGCACTATTGTGATCTATAGCTTGGATTTGGTTGAAGATGTTGTTGTGATGTCTATGTACAATCCATTGTATTTGAATGTGAAGGCCAGTAGAGATTGAAACACTGACAATTATCCAAATATACATCATGACATCATGGTTTGGTAGCCAGTCACTATAGTTTGAACATATCATAGAGGGGTCCCATATCCTTAGGTCAATGATAGGTTTCACAAACATAACACCTGAGCATAACCAACACAGGCTGCATGCTTTACCTAAATGTATTTTAATTTTGTCATATTTAAAAGGATATATGATAGCTATGTATCTGTCCACACTCATAACTATAAACAGAAGAAGCGTCAGTCCACATGGGATGGTTGAAAAGCCTAACCGCATTATGCAAAAATATTTACTCATCACAGCACCATAAACAATATCTTTTGCAATGTCATATTCATAGTTCATCAACAGCCTCATCGGTGTCGCTATAAGTCCTTGTAATAAATCAACAAGTGCAATGTTCACTGCGACTATATTTGTTGGAGTGTGAAGTTTTTTGTGTTGTGCTATCGTGATTATCACTAAGATATTAGTGCATACTATACATATCACAAGACTTGCTGATATAGATTGTAACATCAGAAATAATCCAACAGGGTAGTCAGTATTTTGCCATGTATACCTAGATATATTCATAAGAGCTGTGCTGCTATCAAATTCCATGTTGTTATGTGTAACAGACAAGATGCAATGATTTGAGCTGTAGTAAACAGGCCTTGCTTTAGTTCCTCAATATCCATCAGGATATTTCCTAGTTGTATTAATCATCTTTGTTTTTAAGTGTTTTCCTTGGCTGAAATTAAAGAAGCTTTTACCTGTTAATTAACCAACTGAACAAAGTTTAGTCTTGGGAAATAGAGCAGCATTTGTGAGTTAGTACGTCCATCGATTTGTCCATATGCTAATTCAAATATCACTTGACAAGCTTTGGTTCAAATCCAGAGGCTGATTTGCTCAAAAAGTAATTTTAAAGAGGGTTACCGGTGGATCATTTAAGCTTTGTACAGTGTCCGATTGATTGTGTGAGTAACATATTTCCACAATTTTTTGTTCCTTTTCTTCTTATATATGCCTTGTGCCTCTTTCATGGTTTATGCAAACTGTATGTAAAGCTAGTCTACCCAACAGGTTTTCTCCAAACTTGCTGAAATCAAAATGTCTGCAGTGTCTCGTGAACATAAAATTGCCCAGTTTGTATTGCATGCCACTTCATGGATGTAAGTTTTGCAAACCTTTCTATCATGCTAATTTCAATATGAGGAGTGATTTGATATGATATGTCTTGTTCAATGGGGTTTGCTTCTCCAGGGAGGTGCCATTTTTCTGGTTAGGCAGTAGATCAAAATAAATGGAAGTTATAGCTGTTATGATAACAAAACACTTATACAAGTCTTATAAGATAATGGTAATATGACGTGACGTTTCCCAGAAGGTTCATCATGCACATGCAATGTAGTAATAATATAAGGATTGATTCTAATTAGTAAAGTGGATTTCCATAACATTCACACCTGTAGTATGATGAAAAAATATGGAGAGTGGGGATTGAAAGATTTTTCCAAGGAAATTGACAAATTTTTCCAAGGAAATTGACAAATCTGCAAATTATTTTTATGAGAAAGTTTGAAAATAAAACTCTTTAAATGAATAAGCCCAGGGTATGGTAGAATATATGAAAAAGTTTAGGCTTGGGCATGTGGCATGCTCTGTTATAAGTTATGATATGTGTACTGAGAGCATTGTAACAATCCTTAATGAATTTAGTTAGGAAAGTGGCATGATTTGAAGAATGCAATTGCAAATATGCATAGAGTGCCAAAACTATTCCTACCTAATACTGATAAGCCTATGTCGAGAATTAAATAACTTATATTGAATATCAATATTTGCAGAGATTATCGGTGAGATCAGTGAACCAGTTATAGTAACTGTGGAAGTAGAAAATGAGACTACACGATTTATGGTGATTGGTCCAGATGGCAGAACCTGGGAATCTAACACTTTACCAGAAGCACAGCAAATTATAGATGAATACCATAAGTCATTAGAGAGCAAGAATGATACAGACAACACAAAGTGCAAGGTTTGAATCATATTTAAAACATTGTTTTATTTTTAATGCTAGTTTTGTTCATAATGGAAATGATTGCAGTATTTTGTACATAAAAATGCATCATCAAACCAAAATAAAATGCCAGGAGCAAGCTTAAGGGTCAAAAGCTTGTATTTTCATATAAATATTGACTCCATGAATCATTCTATTTCCCAACTTTTTGTGAGATTGTAATAGTCTCTCCTACAATTTCAATATATACGTCGTATGTTTAATTCAGGATGAAGCTGCTAAAGTGGTATGTAAGGTTGAGGTTCCTGAGAAGTCCCCAGATGAGCCTGATGCTATTAAAACAGTTGAACAGTTGACTGAAAATGACGTTCCAGAAACAGTTGCTTGTAAAGTAGACATTGAAACATCTCAAGCCATAGAATCCATAAACACGAACAAACAAGAGGAATACATCAGAGCTAAACAGGAAAGAATTGATGGAAGAAATGTAGAAAATGATACAATAATAGTAGAGTCTAGACCTATAGAGCTTGGAAATACAGACAGTAATGTACCAATCACCCAAACATCAAAGATATGTGTGAAAATACACAGGAAAGAACTTAAGGAGCTTATCTGCCCAATATGTGATGTTCAATTTGTGTTCAGACCAGAGCTGATAAACCATGTTTTGAGTGACCACCCTGACAAGGTTGTTTTGTGTAAGACTTGCAATCAGGTGTTCAAGACGAAAGAAGAGATGGTCGAGCATGTCAAGTCCAGTCACCCTAAGAAGGCTTGCCAGGTGGAGGGATGCATGTTCATTGGTAAACCCCATGATGTAATGAGACATGGCTCAGTACATACCAAGGAGAAAAACTTCCAGGTAGGTAGATGAACTTTCGTATATGTAAATAAAATGATTCCATTAAATATGAAATCATTACCATCTCTGTGTATGTCCATCTGCCTCTTTTGACAATGATTAATACATCATCTGTAATATTTTACATCAAACACTTTCAACTAAAAGAAATTTAATAAATCATTGTAGGACTGTAGGTTTAGTCCTGCTATATAGTCTCTTTTAAAGTTAAATTATCAAAATATGTTCATGAAAGGTATGGTTGATTATAATACACTTACTTATCTACCATCATGATATCTCAAGAACCATTCATCGAATGCTTCATTCTTGTATTATATTGACTGATTGAAGTGAATTCAGAATTCTAGCTTAATATGTGCAGCTAATGTAAAACATTTCTATGTTACAGTGTGGTAATTGCGCTAAATACTTCAAGTCCCAGAACTCTCTTCATAATCACATCCGCATCATCCATGAGAACTCCCAAGTCCAGAAGTGTCTCGTTTGTGGCAAATCATTCAGCAGGACAGCCTCCTACCATGAACATATGGCCTCGGCTCACACCAAAGACAAGCAATATAAATGTAAAGTGTGCAGCCAGGGTTTCGTATCTAAACATAGTAAGTTGGGTTCAGTGCCTGGTTGAGTACAGTAATAATGTGGCTGAAAATCCTATTGCACTGCCACCCAAATCTGCAGTATTCTTGGTGAAATTAATAAATATAAAAAATACATAATTTGTGTGGATAACAACAAAATACTTGTGAATGAAAAATGTATATAATGGATAACAATCCAATTACATTTAGGGGAGGGGTGCAAAAGCTCTTTGCTTTCTTATAAGAATCAACATAAATGCATTTCAATAAAAAGTAATTTGACAAAATCAATAAATGCTTCGTTACCATTTCCAAGAGAGGGAGGGACTTAATTTGATATGTAATAAATAAGGGTTGTGTACTGGGAGGTTTTGGATATGAGGTTTATCCAGATGGATAAATGCATATCTACCTGAGGAACCGTGGGGACTGAAGGTAGATGTGCATACATGTATCTCACGAGGGATAAACCCCATATCCAAAACGGCTGTACATAACTGCTTTGTCCTATACCCAGTGGAGTTTCTATATGATGTTACCAGACAACATGCAAATATTTACTTGGGCCTCATCTTAGCCTATAATATGCGTATGTTTTGCAATCTGTTTCCTTTGATTAATTTTTTTAGGTTGGAAGAGGCATGAGAATGAGTACCATTGCTCACCAAAGTATCAGTGCTCCTTGTGTGACAAGTTATTCCTGCACAAGGGAGATGTCTCAAAACATGAAAAAACTCATGACAAAGATACCTACAAAAATGTTCCTTGCCCTGTAGAAGGTAAATCTTGTCATTATTTAACTTTATATTCCTTCATATTCTCATCATATCAGGTCCCGTATTGCATCTCATATCAGCCAAAATCCTGTATATCAGAACTATTATTATCAGAACTATTCCCGGGGATTTCTTATGATTTTAATATTTTAAACTATTGTTTCAAAACTTGTAAATAAAGTTGAAAATGCTATATGATAAATTAGGTTATATTAACACTCATGCTATCGACCAACAACTTTTTTATTATCACACTTTGAAAAAGTGCTATGTTGTTGTCATCTTGTGTCGATGGATTAGCATATGTGTGTCTGGGTGGGTGAATGGGCACCATATAAATTTTGTTATCAAAAGTCAAGGAAAACCATGTTACTGTTCAATTTGAATACTTGCAAGAGCAGGCTTTAAGTGCCAAGATCTGACAACTTTTGGGCAAGCTGTGTCTAAATTACATAGTACTCTAGTAGCTCATGCTGGTTGAGTATGCACTTCTATGTCCAGAGATTTTCTCTTCAGAAATCATCTATGTGAAGGTCATTGATCAATTTTGGCTTGGTAACATATTTGCCACTGAAGGCGAAATAGGTCAAATGGCCACGCCCTTTTTTATGCGAATACTCCCCCCCCATTTTTGTATCTCCGGAACCGTTGGACATAGAAGGTTGTGTGACCACTCAAAATGCCCGGAATGGCCACATTATAGGGGGTCAATAATACATATGTATTTAAAAAAGTCAATGGTTCTCAAGATATTTGCCAAAAACTGATTTTAGCATGTTACGCACAACAGTTTTCATATATCCTGCATCATTTAAGACTGAATCCGCAGCCTCTATCTAGTCAGATCAGCGAAGGAAACAAACTTACCACGAGGTTGCGAGTTTGAGACATGTGTGCTCCGTATGTTCATTCTTTTATGAGTACCATATCTAGTATCTACAAGGAATGCTGATGTATTATGAGTATTGAATATCGATTGAGTTTAATTATAAACCACGAGGTTGTGAGTTTGAGACACATGTGCTCCTTGTGTTCATTCTTTAATGAGAACTAGTATCTACAACTAGTTATCACTAGTTTTCATGTTAAATGTGGCTATCAATTGAGTTTATTTATGCGGATTTTTACACTTTGTGCCTTTACTACATCCACAAAACACAACACATTTTATGTCCATTGCTCTGCAGGTGCATGTCTTGGAACTAATGCAGGGTGTTGGGCATTTGCATGGAGGAGGTAGGTCATCAGGCCTGCATGGAACTGGTAGTATTACAGGTGTAATACCATCATCTGTTGCTTTATAGGGGTTTACGAAAGAGACCGACCCCACCGACCGGTCGGTGTTTTCCACTGGTAGCCTCAAAACAGGGTTTGAAGAAAATGTGTAAAAGACCGACCATATCATGTAAAAGACCGAACATATTTGTAGCCTTAAAATATTAATAATTTGATTTTGAATGTCAATCGTTGGACTAGGCAACGTTTTACCGATTTTGTACCTTGCAACGAATGGCAAGCAAACAAATTGGGCGTGACCGTCTCCTCTCGATTAATTGTCCTGCCTTAGGTCCTAACCTATCATTAACCAACCTATCGTTTCTTTTTAATGAAATTTAACAATTTCAAAACAAAAATGATTTGTTATCGTCATAGCCTACTGAATTCTGAACACGATATAATGCTACATGCGTTCTCTTATCGGGATTAAAAGTGACTTACCATTTCAGTACACCATTAGAAAGCTTTTTTTGTCATATCAAATGTAGATTTACCAGTTGACGTTTAACAACTGAGAAATCAAACATAACGTTACGATGTCAACATCGACGATGTTTGTGTGTTTTTGTTATTGCGTTTCATATGAATGAACTTAATGCAATGTTACGTGCATTTTTTTCCAAAGTGACTTACCCCCCTATCACACCAAACTAGTTCTTACCCGTTCTTGCCAGTCCTAGGAAATGTCGTAAAACGGGCTCAATCTGGCTGCGGTCGGGATATATGTCTAAAATGATTAGCTACTTCGTTCATAAACAGTCTTCAATACGTCCATCTCATTCGCAGTTCGTTCAGGTCGCACCACGTCGGTGTGCAACGTAGTATAAACCGTCCCTTAGTCTAGAAGGTCATCATGACCTGATTACAGAACGGTATGGTCGCCATCGAATTTTGAATCGATTCAAAATTCTAAATCACATACCCCGTCCGGGAAAGTCCATGATGTTCGTAAACAGACCGTAGAACATTGTAGCTACAATCATTCAGTTCGCACACAGTTTAAAACCGATTTGGCAACGTTTTGACGATCACCAGAAAATGTTGAGCATGCTCTAAGTGCTGGAGGACCTACTCGTTCTAGTAGTTTCATGAAGTTTGTAAACAGATCCCAAACGGTTCTTAGTGGGTTCTTAGTACGTCAAATCCGTTCGTGCACATTTTAAGCCCGTTTTCGAGAACGTAGTGAGAACTAGTTTGGTGTGATAGTAGGGTAACCAGGATGAAATTGGTCTTCTAACAACTGAAACATCACTTAAAAATATGACATAACACACCACGACGATGTAACGTTTTCATCGTGATTTGAAATGATAAATTATACGTTTTTAAATCACGACCTAGTAAAGGTACTATAGTCATTGGATTCCCAGTTTTAGTTTTACTTCTAATTTTGCATTTTTTCATCTTTATGTAAAAGACCGTCAGCCGACCACCGACCACATACCCAACTGTGGAGAGTGACTGGTCGGTGGTCGGTGGTCGGCAGTCGGTGTTTTTCGTAAACCCGCTTTATAGCCATACTGGCATGGATATAGTAAAGGCACAAAGTGTAGAAATCCGCATAAATAAACTCAATTGATAGCCACACATAACATGAAAACTAGTGATAACTAGTTGTAGATACTAGTAGTCATTAAAGAATGAACACAAGGAGCACATGTGTCTCAAACTCACAACCTCGTGGTTTCTAATTAAACTCAATCGATATTCAATACTCATAATACATCAGCATTCCTTGTAGATACTAGATATGGTATTCATAAAAGAATGAACATATGGAGCACACGTGTCTCAAACTCGCAACCTCGTGGTTTAGGGTACCCATTCACCTAAGACCTCTTGGCCAACTCAACCAAAAAAGTTTGTTTCCTTCACTGATCTGACTAGATAGAGGCTGCGGATTCAGTCTTAAATGATGTAGGATAGATGAAAACTGTTGTGCGTAACATGCTAAAATCAGTTTTTGGCAAATATCTTGAGAACCATTGACTTTTTTAAATACATATGTATTATTTACCCCCTATAATGTGGCCATTCCGGGCATTTTGAGTGGTCACACAACCTTCTATGTCCAACGGTTCCGGAGATACAAAAATGGGGGGGGGAGTATTCGCATAAAAAAGGGCGTGGCCATTTGACCCATTTCGCCTTCAGTGGCAAATATGTTACCAAGCCAAAATTGATCAATGACCTTCACATAGATGATTTCTGAAGAGAAAATCTCTGGACATAGAAGTGCATACTCAACCAGCATGAGCTACTAGAGTATAGTGGCCATCTTGCTCTTTAAATTATGATATTTATCTCCATTACTATTTTTAAATGTCTCAAAGTATTTTTATGCTTTTGAGAAGTAATATTTGGGTGATTAGATGTTTTCATGTTCCATGTGGCCTTTAAGCTCAATTTACATTTCAGATTGCAATTATAAGGGTTACACTAAGCTATTGGTGTGGAGACATGTGACTACATCACACATGAACATTGTGAAGCCTCGAACAAACAACATCAACAGCTCGAGGAGGAAGTTTTGTTCAAAATGTATGCAGTATGTGCTATTTTATGGTAAGTAAAGGATGTACATGTATTTTCAGAATATACAAAATTTAGGTGTCACCCAATGTAGAGTGTTTGAACATAAGAAAATTATTTTGTCTCAGTCAGAAATTGAAACTTGTATCACAATATATGTTTCCTCTTGCCCATTCGCAAACAACAGGAGTTATTAAAGTTTTTATAGTACCTAAAAAATGTATGATGTTGTTGTCAGCTTGTTATCCTTTATTTTCACATTTTTATTTCCTGCACAATAGCAAGTGCACTTCCACAAAAATATAAATAGCATGAATATAATGAATATGACACCTCAGTTCCTGTTTATCCTGGTGTTCCAGATCAACATATCCAAGCATGTGAAGGTCTGAGTGAGGCAGAGTTGAAGGACAGGGAGGAGAAGAGTGTGCATTATGCTGAGAAACTGGATGGCATAGTTAAGCAGGTTAAAGAGAGAACTGGTAAGTCTCCAACTCTCACAAATCATCAGTGTGTAACTTGGCTGTACTCTTGCAATACATTGTATCTCTCCCCATATACACATATTTATACAAACACATAACACACAAATGGATCCCCAGGTTTTTAGGCTTGTTATGTCACCACCAAAAAGTGGTGACTTGTCGTGGTCTTCATTTTTTGTGTCGGCGATTGACAGTTCGTGTCTGTAACAAATGGTGGTGACATAACGTAGACTGGATATGGGGATTCCCCTTAATGATTTACTGTTATTTAGAAGCAATATAAATTTTCCATTTGAAAAACTAGATGGTTAATCTTATTTTAGGTGTGACTGTTTGTGAGGAAGAAGAGATGGGACTTACCATGCCTGGAGCACTCGATATGGAGGAATGGTCTCAACTGGTTAAAGAACGTGTCCAGCTTGTTCAGACTGGGGGCTTCATCAGTTTTGATGTACCTGTCATGGTATGATTCATCATCATTTTTAGTCTTATTCACTGTAGAAGAATAGAATATTTATTTTGTGAAAAAACAGTACAGGTTGAAACGCATCAAGGAATATACTAGATGCAAGTAGAAATAATCTCGATAATAATCTCGATTTACAAAATTTCTTCAAAGTGATATCATATTTGAAATCTACATGTAAAATTATGTCTAGAAATGTGGTTTAATTGTTTTTATGAAAATGTAATATTTTCTTATAGTGGAAACTGAAAACTGATCAAGTTCATGGGAACTCTCTTCTAAATCTGCCATGTTAATTGACCCGAATGAGTGAAACTGGTAACTACCTACCTACCTACTGGCATTTGGGTTATTCACAGTGGATTTATGTTTTCAGTGGGAGGAATTCATTTAACCGTGATTGCTTTCAACCCCCCCCCCCCATTTATCCTCAATTGGAAATCAGTAGGCCTCTTCAAATGCCGTAGAGACTCTAAAATGTCATCTTTGACATACAATGATCAAAATTTTGAAAAAATGCTCAACCTTGAAACTGATTTTTTTGATTTTTCCAGGAGGACCAATATGTTCAAGACCCTAACCAAGCAGCTGGTGCTCAAGCAGACCCCATTGCCACAAATGAAGTACATGTCCAAGAGGATGGGACAGTTATCATTGATGGACATGTACAAGTTGAGGAGAATGAAAACTCTGATTGGACACAATCTAATATAGATAATGTCACTAATACAGAATATGTATTAGTTGAAAATGACAGTGGTGAGACGATGTTAGTTGAAAAATCATGTGGTCAAAATGTAGTTGTTATGGAGGTTAATAATGAAGAGAAAGGAACTAATGATAAAGAAGCCTTGGAAGCTGCACAAGTTCTGTGTGCCATGCAACCATAGAGAGATGGCTTCAATAATTGATAATTATGGGATTTAATGCACACAAATCCCAATGAGTCTTTAATTAAAGGATTTATGCTTCAGAACCTGTTTATAAGAGGAAGAATAACGTATTGCATTATATGCAGTTAAACTTGATTTAAAGTGAATGCACTATTCCTCATCAATAAATAGGTCCTTAATCTTACTAGTATAGTATATCACACATGTTTGAACAGAGAGAAATTGCGAAAATCATGCAAAGGCAAACTGCTGCCATGGATGCTGAAACCTAGGAATTCAGGACTGATTGAACCCTAGATAGCTGATAGAATTAAATCTATTTATTTAAATAATATTGTTTTGTCAGAAGTAAGATCAGAGGAGGGAACATCCCAGGTTTCAAAGTGTATGACCAAATTTGTATAGACCTAGATTTTTGAAAAATTAGGCCTAATGAAATTTATGCATTCTAAGAATTCAAGAACCATTATACATGTAGTGTAAGTTACAGATGGCTATGATTTTATTTTTGGGGGAGTTACACTATCTAGAGATACTTGACATGATGTTTCATAAGTCCACATGCCAACTTCTATATCAAATATATTGGGTTATTGTATTGTTATATAAGCTTTTTATTATATTGGAACGATTTACCATTGTTTTCGTTTTGTATATAATATTGAGAATGGGCAAAATAAATATAAATTTTATTGATTGTATTCATAATTTTGTGTTTAATGAAGAATGTAACTATGGTTCATTTTTGTGGGTTAAGGCTATACAAGGGTTATCTTAGCAGCCTAGGAAATGTTTAAGAATTTTAGAATTTCCTCAAAATTAGCTAAAATCATTGAGGAATTTTGATTGAAAAATTGGACCACAAACTGAAGAGACTGTGAAACTCAGGGAGGATTTGATCCCAGAATGCAATTTCGATATTTTCCAACGATGAAAATGTCAGAATGTCATTATTGTCTGACATTAAATTTGTAATAATTCATCATCAGAAATCCAAAAGATTCCAGCTAAAATCTTGATCACATGTTGTGTATTTCTAATTCTTTGTAAGTGATTAGACTAAAATTCATGATTCAAGATTTGAAGCAAAAATCATGACATCCTTCAAGATTGGATTCATTGTTGGAAAATGTCAAGTTGTGTCCTTGGGATCCAAACCTCCTGGATTAAAAGGTGGGACCCGGTCCGTCAGCATACCCAGCACGATACTATTGCTTAATTATTAATGTAGTTTTTCAAACTCAAAGACACCCATCAATACGAATAATTATGATGTAATAATAATACGAATGTATTTAAACATTCATGTACGAAGAAATATTTGCATCTTCGGGCATTTATCGTTGGGAGATTTAGCGTATTGCATTTGAAATATTTGAGCGCTAGTAACGTCATGGTTTCTATGACATGGGAAAACAATGGCGCTCAAATTTTACGCGCAGCATCATGAAGTATACGGCGATGAATGATTGAATTTTTCTAAGTCATATTGTTATAATTCTTTCAAAATATAGTAAAACTAATTAATCTAAAACACACATATGAAGCATGTTCTACATTTACAGCATATGAAAAATATGATGTGATATAAACACTAGTTGTTTCCTGATCATTGTGTACATGGTTACCGACACGTCACATTTAATGTTGCTCAAAATAATATAATGTTTCTCGTCGCACTATTTATATTTGTAAATACGTATTACTCTGTATTTATGTTTAATAAGTTCAAAAATGACTTTTGTTCGTTTTATTACTTCGTAAAATTGTATATTCTCTTATATGTAAAACGTTTTAGATTATGCTTTTTATTGGCACGACTTTCGTCCTAGTTGTGTCCTTTCGCTTGAGCATGGGCTTCGTCTAGTTATATTTTCTTTGCCCTTTTTACATTTTTTATATATGAATTGTTAATTCGTCATGGTAAAATGTTTGATAAGAGATATCTTAACATCCGAGAATTTTTAAAACCGAGTGCAACTGGCCCAATGGCAACACAACCAATGCGCAATGTCGGGAAGTGTGCAATAATGAGTGCGAAGGGGCGTGTCCCCAGGCGTGTTATATGTCGCCAGATTTTGTATCTCTGTGAAACTTGTCCCGTACCCATCCTTCGTAAAATTCGATTTACTCGCGCACACGTCATTTTGCGAGACACAAAAGTGCGAATTTCTCTTTAACCGGGACACGCTTGGATGAGATATTTGGTGAATTAGATCGTCTTCAGACATTGATGGTACGGGACAAGTTTCACAGAGATACAAAATCTTAAAACATGTAAAAAGTGTGATTACAAACCTCAAGCGAAAGGAAATGCGAATCACTCGCGCACACGTCATCCATGAAGTCACGTGACAGACTATACCCAGGGTGTACTTGTTGCCGCAGACATTGGGTACATCCCGATCGCGCTATTTATGTCGCCATTCAATAATGACGATCATTAATATGTATGCTTAACTCTTTTATGTACGCGAGTGCCGACTTCTTGCTGATGAAACGTGAGTTGACAAAACTATATTACACATCAACAAGCGAGAACAACGTACCGAGCGCGACGTTTATTAACTTGTACGTACATCAATAGTACTCGAGCCTTATCGTATTGTATTTTAACTAAATCAAGTCAGACGTGCACAGTTTATTCGACAAAGAAGGCTTTCTGATTTTTATTATTAACCGTTGATTACAAACGTTTGATGATCACCTTTACTTGAGTGAATTGCCAAAGTGCGCGATCGGCGATCGGCGGAGCTTCTGTTTGCATACATGAAAAATCAAAATAAAGAAGGGCCCTAATAATGGGCAATCTTAGGCCTACATGAAGATAAAAAAGACGATATGATTCAATGATATGATTTGACACAACGTATACGTAATTAAATCTCGGCACATGAAAAAAACAAAAGTTTACTTTTAACTTACATCAATACTTAAAATAGCAGGTAGATGAGGCGATAATTTAATTAATAGTTAGTTATTTTGCGATCGACCGCGGTTGATTTAGCACGTTATTTACGGTCTTTGTACTAGGCCTATAGACGTCCTTGATTCTAAAAGACTGTGGGACGCTAACTTTAGTGGAAGTAATTCATACCGATTGACTTATATTCAAATTCAACTAACTACATTTGATTTAGCAAGGCTAAACCCCATTATCCTGGGAATCGTCTTTATCTTTGTCGGATCATTCAGGTGAGAAATTTATGACGTAATTCAATTGTTCTCTCCGCCAACGGATGGAATGGATTAAAACGTCATATTTTGCCGATAGATGGCGTATTACCCTATTATCGCCCACGAACGGTCTCTTGGATACGCTAAACAATTACTGTGAAAATGAACAACTATGGCAAATTTTCGCTGAATAAGCTTAAATTAGAATTACAAAAACGCGGTGCTCGCACACAAGGCCGAAAGGAAGTACTAATACAAAGGTATGATTTCAAAAATTATGAAATTATGCTTAAATATGTCTCCTATTTGCCGAGACGGCTTATTTCATGAATATTTTTGGAGAATTTACAGATTTAGGCCAATTTGTCTTTAACTCCTAGACTATGTAAACGCTAAAAAGGTATGTTCTTATTTACTCCTATATTTCATAAACTAATATCTAAACCTAGTACATGTGCTCCAAGAGCATATTCTACTCCACAGGGGATGGTTATGATGAAAAATGGCCCTACCTGTACGCCTCATTTCTTTCCTCATGAGAGTTACCGGGGATTTACCTACCCCACAGTCAATGGCGTGGAAAAACTGCACATACTGCACATTTTATTTGTTTCTACTCAAATGTACCTTCAAATATTTTTATTATATTTTTAGATTGGAATATTATGACCAGAATGAAAACTTTAGGGCTCCAGCTGTCATCATGGAAGATACTATCCCCATTGAGAAATGGCCTGAATCTGGGTTCAAATCGCTCTCGTCACAGCACAAGAGTCAGCTGCCAAACATCACCAATGATATCATCAAGGCGTACTTCATATCCCGGCTCTCAACAGACAATATGGATGTCAGTGATGCTGCGTCGCTAAAAAAGGGCAGAGCCCTACTTAAGAGCAGCTTCATATCTGCGTGCAGTGTAAATGTTGAGGATGAGGCATTTGTTTTCTTTTCTGGGCTGACCAATGCAGCAATGAAGAAGAAGGTATAGGCCTTTAGTATAAACTTGATATTTTCACACTACCCTTCCTCCCCATACTGTAGCTTGTAGGCTATTTCTTTCAAAGGAATACATGTAGAGGCTATGTACAGTGAGGTTGCAAATGGAGGTCTATATTTGTTTATAGGGGTTTTCTGGTTATAATATACAAATGTACATGCAATGTACATTGTACATGTAATGCCATGCAAACTGCTCGATGAACCTGTATAATGTATAGTAGAACTTGGTAAACCTAGTGCACATATACATGTATCTTTAGAAATATGGAAATAAACAAACATCCTCCATTTGCAACTTCACTCCACCAGACATACATGTATAGCCCGTAGCCCAGCGTTATTTTAGTATAATGAATTTAAACACTGATGGCAAAAGTTTATAATTTTTTAATATAACTTTTGGTACTCTATCTGAAAGCCCATGGTGAACATTACTGATTTTCATTTTAGGTATCCTACAACTTCCAAATCAGACTTTCTAGAACTACAGGTGTGATCCTTAATAGCAACTGTGAATGCCCCGCTGGGAAAGGACCCCACGGAACTTGTAAGCATGTGGCAGCAGTACTCTATATGCTGGTGGACTTCGTGGCCACTGGGAAGGCCAGTGTGACCCTGAGCTGCACTGAAAAGCTTCAGACATTTCACAAACCCAAGAAGGGTCATTCAGGTAAAGAATTTACCATTCTTACAACAAATGCACAAGAGACTCTTAATTGAAATTAAATATTTTTTATTACATATTTACATATATCAAAAACACATTGTTTAAACTTGGGTATATATTATATATATTTATACCATGGTCAGAGTAATATCAACCCTGTGAATACTGTATTTAAAAACAATTTTTTCAAAAGTTTTCATTTCTCAATTTTTTCCAAAAACTTCATTTTCAAACATTTAATGTTTTGCCCCAACATTTCTGTTTTTCAAAAAGTTTTCTGGTACAAAAATAATTTTAGTTTTTCAATTTTTTGAAGCACATATAATATGTCATGTTAATATTTCTAAGATTCAATCATTTTTTCTCTCATTCAAAAGGGGATTTTAGGTAGATACAGTATTGGTCTTGACCATGGTTTAAGGTTGCTATGGTCACCTCTCGAGATGACCAGGATGATATGAGGAATGTCCCTCAGATGATATCAATACTCCCTCTGTGTTCCCTCATGAAATATTAATAACATCCCTGTGATGTTCCCCACATCATCTCCCTCCTGGTGCATAATTTACATGTATGTATATACCATAACCCAAATTTATGAAGTTGATAAAAGTCTTAATACTTTATACATTTTTAGCACAACAGCACACATGTTACTTTATTGATCACCTATTTAGCAGTGAACTAATTACATTTACCTTGATCCATGTGCATTATTACATAATTTTGATTTGTTTCTAATTCTAGGTTCTCCTATGAAGGCTGAATCAATGGGTGCTCGAAAGCGCAAGGATGTGTTAAAAGATCCACGTCCCTTGAAGTTCAGAAAT